AGGCGGGGGTGGGAGCTCCTCCTCCCATACGCGCTCGACGACCCCGGTGCGGACGTACGTCCACAGTGTGCACGTCGTGCGGAGGCGCGCGAGGCACCAGCCCGACGAGCAGAGCGGGTAGATCGTCGTGGTGACTGATTGTTGGCCGTTAACGGGGGTCTGGACGCCGCTGGGGAGCTGGGAGGATGAGCCTGACGCAGAGGTGTGGTTGTGGTTGTAATACGAATTTGACGACGAAGAGAGACCCTGCGAATGGGAAGTCGACTTTGGGAGCGAGGGTATGGGTATGGAGAGCGAGGGCACGGAGACGGATATACCGGTGGATGTTTGGGGGGCGAGGCGGAAGATGTACACCTGCTGGTGCTGGTTCGACAGGCTGGTAGACGCGGACCGGGCGAACGTCGGGTACGAGGGTGAAGGCGGCTGCGAACCGCTGTTGCTCCCTGTCACCAGGCCCAACGACGGCCGCTTGAAGAACGCCCCGGACCAGGTATTCGTTGGGGTTTGCGCCTGCCCGTGCCCGTGTGTGTGTGCGTGGCTCTGCGGATGAGTTGGTGGGCGAGGGTGGTGTCTTTCTCCGTCGGTGGGCGGTGGTGGAGGGAAGACGGGCGCGCCGCAAAGTGCACAGGAAATGTTGTCGTTGGAGCTGTTGATGCCGACGACGGAGGACTCGGTAAAGAGGTATGAGGGTGCGACGGGCTCGATGGTGAGCTGGCCCGAGTGGATAGCAGCGAGGACTGAGCGGCGCGAGAGCCAGTTTAGGGATGGGGCGAGGTCGAGGCGGATTGTAGGTTCTCTGTAATGACATTAGGAAGTGGATAGATGTGTATGAGGATTGCTTACGAGTCTTCTGTAAGTAGGCGAGTGAGGAAGGGAAGGGGCAGGAGGGTCGACATCGGTGGTGGGTTGGGCGACGTCGGGTGCAGGAGGCGGAGGTGGGCAAGGAAGGCGAGGAAGTCGAGGTACGGGGTGTGCATGTTCATTAGCTTGAGGCTCGTCGTCGTCAACGGCCGCTCGGGCCACTTTCCCTTGTCCCTCCTCGTCTCCTCCTGCTCCCTCTCCGCCTGCATTGCCTGCATCTGCGCCTGCATGTCCTTCACCGCCTCCTCTGCGCTCTTCAACGCCCTTTCCGCCTCCTCCACCTTCCGCTCGCTCCTATGCTGCCCCAGCCTTGCCTCCGCCACCATCATATTCGCCTGCCCGAACAGCGACGCACTTAAATCATCCAAATCCTTCTCGATCGCCGCCCTAGCACTCTCCGCCTGCCCCCGCTGCGCCGCCTCCTCCGTCGCCTTCTCCATCAGCCGCGTCAGTTCCGTCGTCACATGCGACTTCTCCACCAGCAGCCCGGTGTTCAGCGCGGATAGATGCTGCGTGCGCTCGAGCTCGAGGTGCGAGATCTTCAGAGAGGACTGCCGCAGGTTCGCGGAGGCGACGTGCAGGTCGTCCTCGAGGTCGGAGACGCGGTCGTACGATTTCACGAGCTTGGCATTGAGTTGGCTTACTTGCGAGATTAGGTCTTGGATCTGGTGCCGCAGAGAGGAGATCACCATGTCCTGCGCATCCCGGTCGACGCTGCTCCGCCGTCGTTTGGATGAGGATGATGGGAGGGCACTCGGGGGTGGTGACGCTACCACTTGTGGGCTGGGGGTATCTGGCGGCGTCATGCCGTTCGTGCGAGGTTCCTCCTGTTGAACGTCAGCCATGGATGTGAGTGCCACCAAGGGCTCTAAGGCGGGGTGGGGTGAGTGGGGGTGAGTGGTGCTCTGTTGCGGTGGCAAAATTGGCTTCCTAGTCGCCCATCAATACGGTGGGTGATTTCCGAGAAAGGAAAGGCGGGAGGAAAATCCTTCACGTCAACTCTTCTTCAGGCTTCGAAATGTCAGGACGAGGTACAGAGATAGAAGCCCAATGCTGTGAACTTCCTCAGCGTCAGGAAATAATATTGGCCAAGAGTTTCGCATGGAGGAATAAGTATGAGGACCGATCTACTAGGCCAGAAGATGGCTTCCAGTTGCTTAATTTTATGGATGGAAAACACCTTGAACGTTGTGGGTAATTATTCACCCGATACTTTGCTCAACTTTGTCGACACCGTCTACCCTAGCATTTTCTCTCATCGTAAGCACAAAAGTGCTAGGGTAGACGGTGTCGAAGACCACTCCGCGCCTGACCAATGTCGATGACATCATCACACCGGGCCGAGTGCCCCGGTCGCTCCCTGAACTTCTCCGAGTCCTTGACCTCTTCACGAACCTTACCTGCCAAGTGACCCACCACCCACCTTCCACCCATCCTCAACGTTTCAACCCCAACCATCTACCTCCCCGCAAACTCAAAGACCTTCAAATACCAATTGCAACTCTTCCGCGTGTACCCAGCACCTGTATTACGCCCGCCCTCCGCCCGCCGTCTTCGTTGACGCGCACGAGCTTGCGCAACGGGGTGATATTTAGTGTTGAGCTGGAGGGGCGAGCTGGAGGGGCGGAGATGGGGAGGGTTGGGCGGTGCATGTGCGGTATAGTGTCCCGCAGAGGAAGGACGAGGAGAACGGAACTGGTCGGTTGATAATGGAATTAGGAAGAGGGAAGCCGTACGACTCCGGCAAGGAGGTCTGCGCCGACTGACCGATGGTAGTCCTCTCGCGTCCGCGCACTCCAACGTCAAACTAGGTGCTTCTCCTCCTTCGTCCCTCCCCATCTCCTATATAATGATATCCTCACCTCCCTCGCCTCCTCTCTCCTCCCCGCACACGCACACGCACTCGTCCCCATCGCCCGTCATCCCAACTTAGCTCTGACTCTGTCCTACCCCAGCATCCACCTTACACTATACGACTCTGCTTCTGGCTCATATCCCTTCGCCCCGAGGACCTCGCGCTCGTCTAGCCGCTTACGACGTTGATTCAGACCGTGCTAGGGTGTGATTTATGGGCCATCTGCGTCGCGTGGGAGGATGGTTGGGCGGCGGGAGATCGTGCGGTGGACAGTGAGGGGGTACGGGCAGTCAAGAGGGTTGACGCGTTGGCAATGACTCAGGGCGGGAGTCTTTTCAACGTCAACGTTCGAATCCTGGGGATGAACATGTCAAGTCGGTCGCACTCACCTTCTCACCCTTCCCAATGGGTTTCTCGCCCTCGCTCTGCCTACCAGTATCGCCCCATTGGATATGGATATCTGATGATTAGCGCTCAACGTTCTACTCCAAGCGCGCAAGGATCTAGAAATCAACGACGAGACAAACCTGTGGCTCCGATTATTCACATAATATCCAAGCCTCAAGGAACTCCACCCGGCAACCCATGAAGGTATGCTAGACTGTTCGACTGGTGCATTATTTAACGTTGGATGATTAGCTGACGCGTATATTTATGTTGTAGAGCCGTGCAAACTTTTGAGTCGAGTGAATATTATCTCTCCAGAGGCTCCACTTCAGTCCTAAGGCACTGAAGTGCGTCACGGGGCGCATTTTGGCGCACAAAAATTGCAATGAACGCTGTTGAACCCGTGAAGCACTCCGTATCTTTTTTTTGAGCGCTCGAAAATTCGTCACTGGTGGAAGCAAACGCCCCACCGCTTAGTACCAGTGGGGCCGATTTCAAATCTCATTGAATGTTTCGGGCAGGAAAAGGATCCCAAATGTTTTCTACGTGTTTTCCCCTTTGTCTCCAGGTCGAAAACACTTTTCTCTGCATAACGTGGTTGCACCGAGGCAGCAAGGATATTGATGTTTGTAAGTTATTCTTTTTCTCAAGTCCACCGGTAATTTCTTTGAGTTGCTTTCAGATGACTCCACCTCGCTAACCGTGCCACTCTATCCAACACGGGTTTGGAGATATTTTTACCGCAAAAATTTGACCTACGTATGGTGAGGCCAATTCGTCACGGTGGAAGGAAGGGAGCCATGAAGAAGGGTCTGCATTCCCTCTTGGCTCAAATTCTAAACCTCCAAGTACGCCAAGTTCCAACCCTCCTTTCAATGCTTGCTTCCGAATACGTTCGACTACGCGATTGAGATACCTCGCGCCCTAGCTCCTCCTTCGCCATCCTTGCCCCTCCCATCCCGCATCCTCCCAGCGCACCGTGACATCCTCGCCTTCCACGTACCCATACATTTACTCACCACTCGATCCAAATTCCCTCCCCTCTCGCAGTTACTTGATCGCCACTCGCTCTCATGAAGCATCGATCTTACTGTAGAAAGAGACTCTCGTAAATGAAGTCGAGCAACTCTTTCCTCTCTCCGTTTGACACTTCCCAGCGCGCGGTGGCGAGGTTTCAAAACTATTTAAATCCTCATGCATTCAACTTGATAGAGAGGTAAATAAGTCACTTTGGATCAATGAGGGGACTGGTGAGCAAGCCCTACTCTATTATGTGAACTTCGGCGAGCGACCTCATTTCGGATTCAGAAGCGCTCGTCACGGTTGATCGACTCTTACATAATCGCTTGGCCGAGACGGTCCGTCCCATTCCGGGCGTCTTCTTCTTGGCAGTCGCCGGCAAGGCATACTTAGGACTCAGGAGCGTGATTCGGCGGTGTTGGTGCGAGTAAAGATACTCTTTGTAGTAATGGTACAGGGTAATCGTAGCTACTACCGGGTATTTGTAATGTACACGAAGAAGACGCTCTGCAGGTATTTAACGGCCATTTTACAAGAGAGATTTGATACTTATGTTTTGTGGGTTTCCAGGAATAGGGAAGTGAAATAGAGTAAGAGCCTGTCAAGTTGATAAAGGGGGGGTACGGGAACGTATATCGTAAAAGGAGGGAGCAGACGCGACCAGGATGACGATGATTAAATTCGTACTACAACAGACTCGGGGCTACCTTGAGGACGCCGAGGATGTACTTGAGGACCTTGAGCTCCGTTTATTTGGTGATGACTGCAGTGCCATCGCGTGGCAGTATGGGGGCGGAAGTAGGGAGTGTAGGGAGTGCAGGGAGTGCAGGGAGCGTCGGATACGCCGGGAATGCCGGCCATGCCGGCCACGCAGGCCACGCAGGCCAGGCGGGCCAGGCGGGCCACTCCGGTAGGCTGATGATTTGCCTCTCCTCGATAGTCGACTCAATCGGGAGCGCGTCAGCAACGAGGATTGCAGTCGATGCAACTGCGAGGATGAGGAGGCGCTGGATAGATTGTTGGAATCTCATTGTGTCAGCCTGTTAGTGGGCTTGAGAATTTGGTATTGACTTCGCATCGATCTCCTTTATACCTCGAGCTAGTAGTACTGTTCTAACTTGAAGTTGTTCCTCACCATTCGTGCAGCGTAGGACTGTGACGCTGCACTGACGCAATGAAAGTAATAAACATGCTTTGAGACATAGAAGTCATTTACATCAAACTGAAACGCGCTAGAAGGATGATTTGCGTTGTTTGTACGGATTCTCGTATAAAGTGGCTGATGGACTCGGAAGGAAGACGGATCCCTCGGTGAGTTTAGATGACTCCCCCACACGTCTGACTTCTGATGTCGCTCAAGCATCTCACTGAGTGTCTAACTTCAAAGAGACAGTCGAAAGGGTATTAGTAGAAAATTGTATCCATATCTTCATCGCATCCCGGCTGTCACAGCCCGGACGCAGTCTAGTCACCACCAAATAATCGACTTGGTTTCTGATCCATTTCCCCAAGAGCTCCTGACCTGAGGATATGATGTAGGTCGTCTCTCGAGGAGCACCTAACCAGAGTCGAGTATTTCAGGAGCACACTCTCCGAGTGAGGTATGGGCACATGCTGGTGATTCACACTCTCTGTAGCTGGAGCATCGAAAACTAGTCGAAGCCTACTGTCAAAAACTCGCAGGTTTTTTCTTTCTTGAGGACGTAGCGGTCTGTTTCTAATAAAAGGTCAGGATTACATTTATATCGGGTCGCCGCTCCCGGAGCTCAGTCGATTCGTGCCTATACCTTTTCACCCAATTCATGATAATAGAAACTAATTTACTCTCCTACATATTACGCCCCTCATGAATCACATAGCGGTGCGTGTGAGCGAAGTTATAGACAAGCTCTGAAAGCGTCAAAGCAATTGATGGTTCAAAATGAAATCATCGGATTGTCAGTGTGGCGCACTTCCCAGCTATCTCGGAATGATCCGATTGAATGTTTTCTCCATCGGTAACAAGGCGTTCCAACGTGAGATTGCGCACTTCTTCAAATTTCCTTCGATTTCATGCGAATAGGTTTCAACAATCATACATACGATGTGGACGAGGTAGAGAAAGGTGAATCGGTCTCGCGAATAATGGAAATAGAAGATTTAGATGTGGAAACGAGGGGTGAGAAGGTCGCGACGAAGTTCAGGTCCAGAATAGTATTCCGTAAAAGTCCGTAAAGCTCAGCGAGTGGCTCGGTCATGGCTTCAGAGGCACTTGGTAATTCTTGGCTGCATAGTCGAGACGGTCCGTCCCGTTCCGAACATCTATCTCTAGGTAATTCTTGCGACGTGGTATGAGTAAAAATACTCTTTATAGTAAAAGTACAAGGTAATCGTAGCTGCTACCGGGTATTCGTAACGTACACGAAGAAGATACTCTGTGGGTATTTATGCAACGGAATTTTATGAGAGAAATTTAACATGTTTTGGGGTTTCTTGGGAGCCTGTCAAGCTGATATCCGATATCCAGGAACGTATAGAACAAAAGATAGCATAGGAAGGGGGTAGACGTGACTAGGATGACGACGATCAGACGCATACTGCAACAGAGACGGGCGGCGGCGGCGGCGACAGCAGAGCTGCACTGGGAACTGCCTTGAGAACGCCAATGGGGTGGAGGAGATTCGGGAGGGGGGCGCTGAGGATTGATTTGAGGATCTAGAGCTGCCTTTGTTAGACAGCGACTGAAGTGTCGTCGCGTGGCAGTATGCCAGGGAGAATGGGGAGCGCTGGAAGCGCTGGGAGTGCCGGAAGTGCTGGGAGTGCCGGAAGTGCTGGGAGTGCCGGAAGCGCCGGAAGCGCCGGGAGTGCTGGGAGGAGGCCAGGGAGAGGGAGGTTAATTGGTAGGCCGAGGAGTTGCCTCTCCTCAATAGTCGAGCCGATTGGGAGTGCGTCAGCAACGAGGATTGCAGTCGGTGCAACTGCGAGGATGAGGAGGGGCTTGATAGATTTTTGGAATTTCATTGTATCGATGTGTTAGCGGGTTTGAGAAAGTAATTGTTGACATCGTAGCGAGATCTCTTATACGTGTAGCAATGCTGGTCTAACTTGAAGTTGTTCTTCGTCGTTCGTGAGAGTAGGACTATGACGCTGCACTGACGCAATGTAAATGATAAATACGTTCCGGCCGGGACGCAGAAGTCATTTACACTAAAAATGGAACGCACTAGAAGGATGATTTGCGTCGTTTGTACGGATGCTCGTAGACCTGATGGAAGGAGGGCGTATTCCTCGGTAAGCTCATATGACTCCCGCATATTCCTGACTTCTGCTTCGACTCATGCATCTTACTGACTGTCTAACTTCAAAGAGACAGTCGAAACTAACGACGAGGGTACTAGAAGAGTCAAAAGAGGAACGAATCCCTGCACTTAATTACCGGCTTGCATTCTGATATGTTTCCTCGAGAGCTCCTGACTTCGGAATATGATGTGGGTCGTCTCTCGACGAGCGTCTAACCTCTTTCCAGAGATCTTGATCAAAGCCTGTGTAGGAACCTGAAATCTATTAGCGTTTGTGAGTTATTTTTCTGTGGGAATGACAGCGAGTTTCCCATGCACGATCAGGATGATGCTTGAGCGAGGTCCTCCACAGACCCTGAAATCGGCAAAGCGATTTGTAATCCAAAATGGATTTTAGGATTGTCGGTGTGGCGCACTTGGTTTTCGCCGTCCCGGAATGATCCGGTTGACTGTTCGCTTCCTCCACCGTCATCATCGATGCATCATCGTTGACACTTACCTTTTCGATACACCCTCTCCTGTGATACTTACGAGAACATTGACTGGTATACGGAGGCACGGGATTCCAACCTTGGAATACCTTGTGGTCGAAGCGCAGCTTGGCTGATGGACGGCCTGCGCGCCAGCCAGAAAGTCCGCTATCGTCTGAGTAACCCTGGCCCCAGGTCCAACAAACAGACTTCCTTTCAACCCCCTGGTCAACATGGCATACCTCACTTCACGAGTCCACTCCCCACAAGGCTTCCATCCAACCTTCACCACCTCAATCCACTCTCCTCTCCAATTACTGGTCTCAGGGCACAATTTGACCAGCTCATGCACTCTTCATCTGCTCTACACCCTCCCACCCGGCATCTTCGTCGACAGGCACGAGCTTGCGCTACGTCACAACCAGTACACGTTCATTCATTGGGGAAGCAGGGATCTGGAGCGGCCGGTGGGTGCAGTGGAGGCGTCGGAGGTCTTGATCAGCGTTCCAGAGCCGGGAGGCGTGGAACTTGAAAAGGACGACGGTCAGGGCGAGGTGGAGGTGAGAGTGGAGGTGCCGATGCATTTGCGGTATGGTAGGCCGAGGAAGAAGGATCAGGTGGAGGGTAGAGAAGAAAGGGAAAGGGGAGGAAAGCCGTATCAAGAGATATGTGTGGATTGGCCGATGGCTTTCCTTTCGTGTCCACGGTGTTCAGATACAGGTGCGTCCGTTCGAAGCGAGTTTTCTTCTCTTTATTCATCTCGCTCATCCCACAGACTGCCTATCCTCGCAGGTAACCCCTCCTTCACCGACGACTATACCTCTACACGTCCTCTCCTCTCTCACAAACCAATCGACCCACACCCTCATCCCGATCAACCCACATCCCAGCTTCAACGTCACCTTCAACCACCGCAACCATACTTGTATAGCCCTCCTTCTACCAGTTGGTGACGCGTCGGACCTTGCACTCGTCGAAATTCTGACGACGCTGACGATGTTGGCGTGCTTTTTGTGGGTTGCGCATGCAGGGTGGGGGACTTCAGGACGATTGGACAGCATGGTGGCTTTCCAGCAAGCGAAAACTGACTGAACGGCTGAGGGTCTACGACTAGGTGAAGTTGCTCGAACTTCGAGTCTTTCGGTGCACACTATTCGCTAAAGTCACTGACTTCACTTTCGTCTAGAGCGAATCCCACACCATGCCTCTCCACCTCTGCAACGTGCACGTCACTTCTGGCACCCTATCACCATTTCCCCTTCGTGATGTTACGAGTAGGAGGAACCATGGAAGAATCGTCGACTTCAGTTTCTGATGGCACGAGCTGCCTAGGTTTCTTTCCTCCTGACGGTGAAGACTCAGGACTGCAAGTTCCTTATTCAGCGCTTCTGACCCCTCTCCCTTGTCTCTCGAACGAATCTCTCGTCGGATGAGCGCGGCCAGGCAGACCGGCGTATCATACTTCGCGGTTGAGTCCTGCCCGCTCGTTCAGATCGATTTCACATACGAAACGCGATCCCTAGTAGCGTCCACTCCTTGACCCTGAGCGACGAACGCAAACTCCCTATCGAACACCTACTCTTCCGTGCGCGTCAAGATGCCCTTCTTCCCCCCGTCTTCACCGACACACATGAACTTGCGCAACGGAGTCATGAGTTCGAGTATGTTTTTCGGTATTGGGGAGACCGGTGCATGGTGGGGTAGAAGGGGTCCCACTCCAGCAACCCTTGTATTTGGCTGTGTGACCGTCGAGCGACCACGAAGTGAGTACCATCCAGACTTCGAGTCTTCAGATGGATCTATCTGTTGCTCACTAGCTGCACGCAGCCTTGCACTACATTCCTCCGTCGTGTCGTAAGAACTCCCACCAAGGTCGGTACAGCTGTTGAACGTCAGCTGGGCGCTAGCTTTAGCTGACGCATCAATGTTATTGTAGAAGGAGACTCTGAGGAGACTCTGAGATGAGGTCGAGCAACTCTTCTCTGCCCTTTTTTCGCTTTACAACAAGCGGTGGTGAGGTTCCTTTCGTCGCCACGCTTCAATACTTCCAAGATGATAGCCCACGTATCCTTCGACAGGTGCTTGTCCTCCCCCGGATGAAGGCCCTTCTCCATTCAAGGGCAAGCGCTTACGATTCATCCCGGCGTCATCCGACACAAAGCGAAAATTATTGGAGCTCTGGACTGGCGACCTTGGCAGTGGGCCACGATAGTGGCTTCTCAACGGTCCCTGAACGGCAAAGGATAAAGCGGGCCAACAACAATAGGGACGGTGACTTTCTGAAAGCCGAAATGGGCCAAAGCCGAGCTCACTTCGCCCGGGCCACTTCTGTCGGTTGCCTGGATTTGGCGCGAGCGCTTGTTTGCGCAACCCAGTACAGTAGTTGCCCTTCCCAAAAAGGTAGTCAGCACGACGCGATCGACGGCCACAAATTCGTCAGTGGCTTAGCTGCCACAGTCAAAGCCTCTCCGCCTCGCGGAAGAGGGTAGAAAAGCTGTAGGCTGATGAGGGATTTCCCTCCAGAAACGTGGCTTTCTACCCCATCGCACCTCGCTCCCTCCAATCCAAAGTTAAGAAGATCCCCTCTCTCTTTCTTCCGAACCAACAATGTCGACCCCTCAAGACATCGTTATAAATGACAGGCTGGACCTGAAAGGCGCCCTCGCCCTCCTCCAGGCTCCTCACTGCGCCTCTGCCACCAGCATCACTCTGTCAAACCTCCACTGGGATGTCCTCTCACTCGGCGACACACAGACCCCAGTCCCGGAGCACCGGACGCCGTGCCCCCGCCCGCTGGAGATCGCGAACATCCTGAAGAATGGTCTCACCAGGCTCAAAAAACTCCAGCGGCTCGTCCTGGTTGGCAACGACCCGTTCACGCTCCTCCCATTCATCCAGCAGCCGCCTTTACTTGTTAGCCTTGACATCACGCGGACGGACCCGGAGCCGGAGAGGTGGTGGACGGACGACTACGACATTCTCGCGAAATTTATGGTGAAGTACAGCATGAACAAGGATGGTCCGCCTAGGATGGGCTCTCAGCCGAGGGCGCGAGAGTCGTTCGTCCTCTTGCGCGTGTACGACGTCCTCCTCGCGGACCCGGCGAACGTCCGTGCGTTCTTCCGCGCTAATGGCATCTCGTGCATCACGCACGTCGAGCTGCACTTCTCCCTCTCGACGCCACAGCCCCGACGCACAGGCGCCGGTGCCACTGACCCCGAGGAAGACTACGTGCGCGCGCTCCAAGATGTTCTGACACACAAGCCTATCGCCACCCGGGAGACGTTCATGAGCTCGACATGGGGGGTGTACCAGAACCATGACTACCGGATTGGCAGGTACGGTGGTTTCCCTGCAGGGAGACGGGTGGATGGCCTGCATATCGGCTGGCATCTCAGGTGGGACCAGGGGATGAAGCAGTGGGTGAAGGACGAGGCGCGTGAGAATTTCTTGCTGTTGGAATATACGAAAGGGCAGGTGTCGGTCAAGAGGAGTGGGCCGGATGGGGGCACTATGGTCGTTGTTAGTGATGGAGTTACACTGAGAAGCAGAGTGGGCGCACCTCAGGTGATGAGCCGCATTTCATAACATTACATACTAAGTATTAGATAAATTTTTCAAATTTGTGAACCAGTTCTTTGCAAGAGGACAAGTGAAGGTCGCGTTCACGAACGACGGCGGCCACAGGGAAGCGGGGGCGACTCGAGCGCTGTTGAAGGTGCAAGTCGGCAGGAAGAAGGGGGTTGGGCGAGGGTAAATAGTAGGCATCGTTGTGGGCATTGTTGCTGCCGGCGAGGGGGATGGCGATGAGTTCACGACGGCGGCGCGATGGGGAGGTCCAGCTATGTTTACATAATGCGGGGCTCACGGGCCGAGTAAACTACATATACCCCCGCCTCGTACGTCCACGAGCGCTTCCATCCCCTTCCATGCAACCTCGGCCTCAATCTCATCCATCTACCTTCCCAGAAACTCAAACACCCTCTCAAACACCAGTTCCTCTGCGTGTACTCCCTGAAGAGAGGCGTACACGACCGTCCTCCTCTCATTCGGCGACGCGTCGGACCGAGCGCTCGTCGAGCTGCTTACGGCACTGACCGTGTTGGTGTGTTTTGTCTGGAGACTGTGCGGTGGACAGTGAGGAGGGCTACGGGCAGTCAAGAAGGTTGCTGACGTGTTGGAAATGGCCCGGGGAGTCTTATCGAATCCTGAAGATGAATACCTTACTGACTCCAAATCCGCGCGTCTGAATTCGAGGCGCCATTTCTAGGGAGATTGGAACGCCACACGAAGGTGTGCTGGGCTGTTCGACTGCCAGACCGTTAACGTTGGGCGGTTAGCTGACGCGTCAATTTCAGTGAATTTCTTCGATTAGTCTCCGCTTCCTTCAGGCCCAGAAACGTAGGCTAGAGCTTAGCCTTTCCCTTCGTCACCAAGCGACGACACTCTTACAACCGCGCATCTCATGGTAAGGGTCCGGACCTTCCTTCCTTCGGATGATGGGCTCACGATTTACAAATAGCCCAGCTCAGATCTTATAGGCCAAGGGTAGGGTTCATCTGCGAATACGTCCCGGGACCAGACTTGGAGAGATGAGTTCTGAATGTTGGAACGTTCAATGGGTTCCCACTATGGGTACTTGTACCGTCGTTTCATTTGCACTCGGCTACAAGAGACGAGAAAAGGATGGGCCGATCGATGCATCTGCGGCATGGTGGAGGAAGGAGAAGGTAAGTGGCCTTGGAAGGTCAACTGGTCGCGGGGGAAGGAGGGGAGTCGCACGAAAAGATTCACATCAACTAGCCTACAGCCTTTCTCCTCTTGCATGCGCTTCATGGCTCCCTCTTATTTCAAAATCTTTAGGTGCGCCGACCCTCCCTGACGTGCTTGCTTCAGAATATACGATTGAGTTACCCAGTGCGCTAGCTAGCTCTTCCTCCTCGTCCGTCCTCGGCCTCTCTCCTTGTTCCCATCTCTCAAGCTCCCTTCACCCATCTATGCCAAGCTCACTTGTCCGGGCCATTTCCATCGGTTGCCTGGATTTGGCGCGAGCGCTTGTTCACGCCACTAGCAGTCGTTGCCCTTCCCAAAAAGGTAGTCAGCGCCACCCTCAAAGCGAATCGATCGACGGCCGCACGAAACTCGTTGGTGGCTTAGTTTCCATAGTCAAAGCGTCGCCTTTAGAGGAAGAGCATATAAAAGCTGTAGGCTGATGAGGGAGACACCCCAGAAACGCAGCTTTCTACCCCATCGCACCTCACGCTCTCGCCGTTCCCAAGTCAAGGGCATCCCTCCTTTCTTCCGAAGCAATAATGTCGACGCCTCAAGACACCGCGATTAAGATCACCACCAGGCTCGACCTAAAAGGCGCCCTTGCCCTCCTCCGGTCCCCCCACTACGCCTTCGTCACTAGCCTCACTCTGTCCAACCTGCGCTGGGACGCTTTCTCGCCCTTCAACTCGCGGGGCCCAGTCCCGGAGCACTGGACACCCTGCGCCCGCCCGCTGGAGGTCACGAACATCCCCACAAAGGACCTCATCCAGCTGAAAAATCTCAACCACCTCATCCTCGTGGGCGACGACCCGTTCATACTCCTGCCATTCATCCAGCAGCCACCCTTTCTGGTCAGTCTCACTATAATACGGACGGACCAGGGGCAGAGGTGGTGGACGGATGATTATGAGATTTTAAAGAAGTGGTTGGGGCAGTATAGCACGAACGAATACGGCCCGCCGCCGAGGGGCACACCGCTTAGGGCGGGCGAGTCCCTCGCCCGCTTGCGAGTGTGTGATGTTCTCCTCATGAACCCGGGGAACGTTCGCGGTTTCCTCAGCGAAGATTGCATCGGGTGCATCCCCAACGTTGAGCTTACCTTTCCCCTCCGCAAGCCGAAGCCAGGGGCGCAATGGACCCCAGAGGAAGAGTACGTGCGCGCGTTCCAAGAAGTTCTGACGAAGAGGCCGAACGCCACCCGGTATGCGTTCACGAGCACGAACTGGAGGGTGTACTTGAACCATTACTACGAGATGGACAGGTACGGTGGTCGCCCTGTGGGGGAAATGTTCAAGGGCCTGCATATCGGCTGGCATCGCAGATGGGACGAGGGAAGGAGGCTATGGGTGACAGACGAGGCGCTTGATAAATACGTGCGGTTGGAGTACAGGAATGGGATGGTGTTGGTCAAGAGAGATGGACCTGGCGGCGGCGAGATGGTGATTGTTAGTGACTCGGCGACTCTCAGGCCAATTAAAGTGTGATCTTCAGGGGCTTGTGGTCCTAGATTGAACTTGCTGCAAATGTATGTTCCGACTCTACAGCTTATATTAAAACTTCTATGCATTACATACCTCTCTGAATATTTACACTCGCGTTCGCCCGAGTTACTCGGTACGGTCCTGCCAGAGGGTACATTTTCATGGGATTTAAGTACTGTCATTCTCCAGATTTGGCACAAGCAACGACAACCGGCAGCGCAGATCTGGGCTCGTGGAGTCAAAGCTGGCCCGTAGTGCTCCTGTCGGAAACACAAAGGAATTTGCGCGAGGTGGCCAACAATGCCATCACTTTATGAACGTGAGAAGCGATCGCCCTGGCCCAGCCCATGCTTGTGTGCGCCACAGTTCACTGACCTTCCAAAAAAGGCAGTTCAAAACGCCGTCCCAGCATTTGCTGACACAACCGCTGGCACTGGGTGCCACAGTCAAAGCGCCAACACACCGCACAATATATAAACCCCTCGATGCGACTAGGTTGCCTCCCACCGCCAACGACTCACTGTTCTCACCTCCGAGTTTCCCTATCTTGAACATCAATGTCGAAGGAAATTGTTTGCACCCATCTCATCGACTTCAACGGCGCCCTCGCCTTCCTCTCTAGCCCTCAATGCGTTGCCGTTTCAAGCATCACACTTTCCAATCTCCATTGGGACATCCTCTCCCAAGGCGGGACCATGGCACGCGTGCGTCCTGAGAAAACCCCTTGCCCGCGCCCGAGTGGCAGCAAGCACGTCCATGACATGATCGACCTCCATCACCTTACGTCGCTCACACTCTCCGGCAACGACCCCTTCACCCTCCTTTCCTTCATCACCCCACCGCCCTTCCTTACCTCTCTCACGATCGAGACCGTTGGCCAGGAGCGACGCTGGACGGACAACAACGCCATCCTCGCGGACTTCCTGATGAAATACTCTAGGAAAAGCGGGCCACCCAAAAGCGGCTACAAAGCATACGCGAACCTAGTCTCCCTCCGGTTGACCGACAACGCCTTTGGGGACTTCGCCAACGGCGTCGAGGTATTCCGCACCCCAGGGCTGGCGATGGTACCACACGTCGAGCTTGGCTGCACCTATCCTATCCGCCCCGGCTGGTCGTACCCCAACCCGGGGCAGTCGGACGAGGAGCACGCGGCGATGTTGTACAAAGATATGCAAGAGAACAGCGCACGCACGTACTCGAGGCTTGGAGATCAGTGGTGGGCACTCTATCAAAATCATGGGTATGAGGAGGCGGGGCGTGGACAGGGAGGAAGGCTTGTGGCACTTCCTGGGTTACATTTTGGGTGGCATAATAGATGGGACGAGGGGAGGAAGGCATATGTGCCAGACGCGGCCTACACTGATCGATTCTTGAGGTTGGTGTGGAACAAGGGATGTAGGTTTTCGTTGATCACTCATCTTCCTCGTCACTGGGATGCACTAGCTCCCCAACGTGCTGAGTCTGTAGTCAGGGCGTACGCGTAACCCGTAAATTTAATACTTTCGAGACATCGAAATTCTGAACTCGCTCAGCTACTACTTTACCTACATAATATGCTTTATTATGCTACTCCTACTTATGTATCCTATGCCATATGACATGATTTACACATTTGTATTATAAATTCTCAGTTACTTATCATGCTCTACATTTCGACGCCTAGAGGCAACGCGACGCGTCAACAGGCGTCGACCCCTATCCCAATTTGGTTACACACCACAAACGGAACCATACGCCAAGCCATCAATCCCGCCTTCCTCTTCCCCGCCATGTCCTTCCCGACGAGCCACGCATTTGTACGCTCCCTCCCTTTCCGACAATAACAAAACTTGGCACATACAATGTAGCATATATCCCCCTCCATATAGTCGAATTCTGGACAAGACCGCCCGGACATGACACAATTCTCTTTCACGACGAATATAGTTGATGCGCGGCATTGGCGTCGGGGGTTCGACGACACTATGCTAGACAAGAATTTGTCGGCATGGAAGTGCATGATTGGACGGTTCGTACCCTGCTGTTCGTTCTGGCCTGGCTTTGTTCTTTTCCGTCATTGACGTTTCCTTTGTATTCAGCATTGGACTATCTTCCAGATAGTGTTGCGTCTATTCTAAGAGACGCGCAGCTCCTCGAATGACCCTTCGACCAAAGTCGAGAAGACAACTGAATCTACGCGTCTGAATTGTCACAGAGGGCCACTGATTAGCGTACGCGTGGAAATAGCTCGAGTGGCTCATACACGTTTACTTGCAGGCAACCACGATTTCGATATCGTAATCAGCTTTGTATCTATGTGAGACTCGCCGAGATTATTCCCTCTATCTGATGCGCTTGGATCGATCCTTCGTCGCTCATTCTGCGCACAGCGTTCTTTGCTTCAAGTCATCTGGTCCATCGATACTGTCAAGGTCGAAATAAAGGCGTATCGTGGGCGCCGACGTGTGAGTTCATTTTCAAAAGTTCTGGCAAGTTCTCTATGACTCGAACCTTTCTCAACCTCTTCTCAAAGCTGATTATCTGAGCAGGTGCCCGCGTCCCTGTGGGGGGAGAGCGCAGGGTCTTGCTCTTCCTAAATAAGACCTCCGCGACCAGGAAATCAATCAGAACGATCTTCCTCGCCGAATGAGGCATGTGATGGCGTGAAAGGGCTGGAGAAGGTCTTGCCTCGAGGCTGCAACGAGGTGATATTAACGGGGGGTTAAACTCGAACGCTACATCTAAGGCAAGTGTCAGATTTTCCCCGTTATGTTCATAAACGGCCGGTATGCGAGGGGGGAGAGCAGCGCAGACTGTGCGATAGACGCGTCTGTACCCTCCCCCGCGCTTACCTGAACACCTAAACTGCACTCGCGACACATCCCCGCACCTACCCCACCCAATATGCCAGTATTCCGCAACGTACGCCCCAGTCGCCAGTCCGGACGCCTTGGAAAGCAGGTCCCTGTGATCTATGACAGTAAGTAATTATTTATTTTTCTACGGACCTGATTTTAACTCTCTGTGATCACCAGAGGATGGCTGGCCTATCACAGACGGCGTCGACGTTACTTCAGAAATCACATCACCCTCGATCTCATCACACTCACCTTCACTCGAATCACATCGCACTGTTGGCCCCGGTCATACGCACCGTTATTCGCCGTACGCGCGCCGGTCCGCGTCGCCTCTGGTCGGCCAGGAACACAGTCCACCCGGAGTTGTGCCTTCGGATGTGCCTTTCTGCTCTACACCACCATCAGCTTCCTCTTTGCCAGCTCTCCCAGCCCGCAAGTCGACCCACACACGCAGGAAAGACCCTGCTCACATCCCGCGCCCGCGCAACGCCTTCATCTTCTTCCGATCTTGGTATATCACCGAAGGCGCATCTGGCAATGAAGGCCAGCAGAATGAGCTCAGCAAGCATGCCGGCAAGGTCTGGAACCGCATGAGCGAGGAGGGCAAACGCCCGTTCGTGGAGCTCGCGATAAAGGAGAAGAGGGAGCACACGGAGCGCTATCCCGACTACGTGTACGCCCCGGGCGGATGCAGGGGTTCTGCGAAGGCGAAGGCGAGAGCGGCGAATGCGAGGCGGCCTGCAGCTAGTGCCCCCAGGAGGAAGACAGCCGTCGCACCGCCGAAGACATGGGAGAAGGAGGACACGCCGGAGGAGGAAGAGACGCTCGAGGTAGCCTACAGCCCCCTTCCGCGCTCACCTCGCGTTCGACGCGCTGCTGCACAACGCGCGGAGCGCCGGATCGCTATGTCTCCTTCGCCATCGCCTGAGAGCACACCCACACCCAGCGTCGCGCCAACCCCGAAACAGATGGTGAAGAGTGCGTCGGCCCCTCCTGGTCTGCCAGAACAGGACGACTTCGTCCCAACGGACGAGATTCCCGTGCTCGTGCTCAACCCTCCTGAAGAGGAGTTCAAGGTTTTTCGAGAGGTAGGTACCTGTCGCTCTCTCAATTTCTTGCTTGTTAACTGACTTTTCTTCTCTTCTTTTTGCGAGTAGGTCCCCATCAAATCAGCAGCAAAACTTAAACCTGACGCTCAAGAACCTCAATTCGACATGACCATCCGGCCCTTTCATTACGACTGCCCCGGCGTACAGTTCGCTGGGTTCAAGCCTTACGCAAACCCGGCGAAATTGCATTCTTATCTTCCCGCAATTTCGTCCATAACTTCCAACCCCGGCTCTACGTCGCCTTTGGTGAACGGTGTACCTCATGCTTTACCCCCTGTTCCGCTTATCCCAACCTCTCCCTCACCTGTCTCGCCCAATGTGCGCTGCTCATCCCCAGCATCTTCGGCGCCACCGAATTTCCTCTTGCGACTTCGGTCGGCTACCGCACAATTGCTTTCACAGCCGCCGACGACGCACCAGTTCTACGAGCTTGCCAACAACCCGAACCAGGGGTCTGATTGTGGGGACGTGCAGATGGACTTTGAGTCGTCGTCGTCTTCCGACGGAGAAGAAGAGTGGGCTTATTCGACGGATGCACCGATCTTCACCCCACGTGAGTACGCCGTCCCTGCTGCGAGGGAAATATGGGAGGCCGAGCAGGCACAGCTGAGGGAAATGGAGGAGATGTATGTGGACTTCGACGCTGTGGCTGTGGTGACTTGAGCTCAAGTGAGGCTTAAGTCTTGGGCCTTTTGGGTCGAGCACAATTTAAAAGGCTTGTGGTTTTACCTTTCTTTCTCTTGTCGTCTCCTTTTCTATCTCCTACATCTCATCACCATTTTTCATTTGTACATACGCACCGCCCCTTTTTCATCGCGACTTGGATACCCGTAATAACTTATTCTATCCTTACAAACTATCTGCTCATGCATACTATTCCCGACACTGTACTTTTGCGAACACTACGGAATAAACGGAATTGTCCCTTCACCGCATTTAAATCTCTCCTTGAGGAGAATTGGAGCCGATCTCTAGATCTAACAGTGTACTTGCTAGCTTTTCGAACCCTCATCCGCAGCGAGTATCCGCCGAGCGATGAGTTCATAGTATCTCTTCCTCGCGGTCTCTCAAGACCGGAAATACACTCGTTGCACTGCATCGAAGCTGAGAATAGGCTGTTCTTGCCCGAATATCTCGCGCTGTTGCTGCGATTGCTGCCAAGACTGTGCCCTATAAATGGAAATACGCGCGGTTAGGGCGCGGTCCGAGTCGTCATCGCCGTCGTCCGCACTCATAGACCATCCTTCGTCGTCGTCGACGCTCTCGGGCATCCAGCGCCCCGGCACTCCAAGAGTTTGTGCCAAGCAAGAACCTTTCAAGGGCATCCATCACTTACTTAGGCTTGTCGAGTGTGGGGAAGAATTGCGGATTACGGCTAATCGCGCTGTGCATTGGCTGCGGTCAGGACATATACAATCCGGCTTCCTGCAAGTTCTGTCGTACCCGCCACCCATTTACACTTTCATTGCCTCGTTGGCATTTATTTGTCAACTTCACCTCTCCTCAGCACTCGCGTAGGCAGCACGGACCGCGATACCCAGCCTCCTCGTGTTGGAAGTACAGCCTCGACTGAAGTTGACCGCCACCATCTTTAGGCGAACATTCTTTGTCTCTTACCACCGTCAGGGACTACGATACAAGTCCAACACCAGCTCTCAACTCGATGACCTCGCAACTATTCACACCAACCGAAGAAGAGCTCGAGCTAGCAGCCCACATCCTCGCCTCCAAGGGACTCGATGGCTCAGACTCTCGTCCCGGCTCGAGTTCGGGAAAGAGGGAGCCAGCAATCAAAGGGGAGCAGGCGCGCGACATCTTCAACCGCAGTGGGCTGCCATTCGTTGTCTTGCGGGACGTTTGGGCCATGGCGGACGAGAATGGTAGCGGGGACCTCGAGAAACGCGAGATCGCCATTGCCCTGAGGCTAATTGGGTGGGTTCAGGCGGGAGAGGGATTGAGGAAGGAGCTGCTGGCCACAGGTACGTCGTGGTTGCTTTGGGATTTGTGGGTGGGCGCCTAGTGGTGGTATGGTCCTGATGCTGACTGTATGCGGTCTGGAATCGTAGCTGGTCCGCTGCCGACGCTCGATGGGATCACGAATGTACCCCAGCGCTCAAATGTTCCCAACGTGCCTCAGATTACACTGTTTCCACCTGTGAGCATGGATGATCTACGTGAGTATAAGAGGATGTTCGATCGTGCACGTCCGGATAATGGGTTCTTGAAAGGTGCGAAGTTCTCTCGTGGATTCTGTTATATCGGCACTAATATTAGCTTAGAGGAACAGCTTATGGAGGCGTTCATGACGTCGAATCTCTCGTACGAAAACATCCGGAGGATCATGTATGTCACGGGTCCAGCTGCTCGTATAGTAACTCCTCTTGACGTGCCTTCCTTGCCTTTAGACAGGTAATACACCAGAACCAATACGACGCCTTCGACTTCCGCGAGTTCGCTCTGGGAATGTACCTCGTCCAAGCTCTCCAGTCCTCTCTACTACACACCGTGCCGACTTCAATACCTCTAGAACTTTACGACCAATTTAACGAACCACCGCCCCCAAAGCCAAAGCCAAAGCCTACCACACTTCCACAACGATCGAGGTCCACATCATTGCAAATCCCCTCATCACGTTTTGCTTCAACCTCACCATCATCTTCAGGTCAGAGCACGCCGTCTCCTAGGATCAACGGCCAAGACGAATATTGGGGCGTTCCAGTTCACGAGCAACAAGATGCCGATCGACACTTCTACAAGCTAGACGAGGCCGGTCACGGTTTCTTGGAACGGGATATTTTTGAAGAGTTTGTGTCGGTTTATAAGGTGCCAACAGCGGATTTAGAGCGAATACAGTGCGTTCTTGAGGTCCTCGTACACAGTGCATATGTCTTACCATCGTCATTTAGAAAGCTTGCAGATTTCAATAGTGACGGTCGACTAGCACGCGATGGGTTTAACATCGCGATGCATCTAATCAAGCGAAGGCTGGCCGGCGAAGAGGTCCCAGCTACCCTTCCAGCATCTCTGATACCACCCTCAATACGAACCCGATACCCTTCGTCACCAACGTCACCGTCTCTTTCTCCAAAGATGTCGATAAAGAAGTCACCTCCTCCCGTACCACCCAAGAAACGCGATTCAATCTCCAAACGCCCTGATGGCTTTCAGCTACGCCCTCAAGCCTCCTTGGCGGCGATCTCCTCGCTCTCTGGTGGCCCTTCGGCAAGATACTCTGTCGCAATGTCCCCTCCTCCCCTGTCTCCTCCCATACTTAGTCGAAGGCCAACGTCAGTGTATAACCCAGCGCCTGTATCTACATCTCCACCGCCACCTCCATTTCCTATTCCCCACTTCTCCATGGCCCCATACCCACCACCACCTCCTACACGTCCTCCACCGCCCGAACCGGATGATCCATCACCTTTTGATGATCCTCAACATCAATTCCCTGTCCAAGAACAATCACCTCCATTGTCAAGTGTCTCCCCTCCGTCAGACCAACTTCAGCAAGCGGCGCTGGAAGAGTTCAAGAAGGAAACGACCAGACTTTCAGAGCAAGTGGATACGCTAATGGCTCAACTAGTCGGCCAAAACAGGCTTAGAGACCTGAATGATACCCTGCGGGCGGAGAATGACCGTCTAAAGACGCAGGTGCGCGAGATGGAGAGGACGGTCTCGGAGGTGCTGTCTGCTAACGAGCTTGCTGGGACGCAAGAGCAAGAACAGTACCTGCATGAGATCACTCGTCTCTCGACGGAAGTCGCGAACAAGGAGACCCAATGCGAGAATGCCGAGCGGATGGTCGCCGTCCTGACTCAAGACGAACGCGAGCTGCGCGAGTCTCTGCGAGAAGCCAACTCAGCGACGGCCAAGGCCAAGGCGGAGGCGGAGGAGCTGAAGGAGGCTTTCACGGTGCAGCAGAGCGAGATCAAGGACCTCAAGATGCGCCTCGCGGACATGGGCAAGGCGATGGCCGAACCGGACACGGCGACGAACAACCGTGAGCTCAGGGTGCTCTTCAGGGACGTTACGAGGGAGAACGAGAACCTGAAGAGCCAGGTGAGGGACATGCAGCGCTCGATGGAACAGCTGCTCCTGACGAGCAAGCAGGGGGTGGTCGAGGAGATGGGAAGGGAGAACAGGAGGCTGAGGAACCAGGTGCAGGAGCTCGAGCTCGTCGTGACGCAGCTCCACTCTACTTCGAGCTCCAACGTCAATGGAACGGGCAGAGACAAGCGCAGCAAGCTCAGCAAGAGCCCCGAGAGCTACGCGCGGGAGAACGAGCAGCTGAAAGGCCAATTGCGCGACGGTCAACGCCAGTTCGCCGAGTTTCGTTCGACGAGCGAGACCAGGGCGGTCGAGCTGCAACAAAGGCTTGACACATTGACAGAAGAGAACGAGAGGTTGAAGGCTGCTGCTGCGACGTCGGCGGCGAGGAGACAACAGACACAGGAGGATAATAGCGCCCCTCCACCCGCATACGACGATACGTTTGTCATCCCGCCAGAGACGCAGAGATGATGTCTGGTAAGCTTAGGCTCTTTTGGAGTCCCTCTGGTTGCCTGGGCACCGTCGATTGGCAGTTGTCTGCCTCGACCCATGATGTGCCTACGGTGGGGTGATCGTGCGAATAATGAATGAATATCACACACCCAAAACACCGCAATGAGTGGCTCTGAGGTGCGAGGACAGGTTCCCAGTTGTGCGGCTCTAACCAGTGGGCACGCGCGACCAGCAAACGGGGGACGACGGTGGGCGCTAAGCGTGGGATCAGAATGGCGATGGCGGCGAGATCGAAAGACGGGGCAACGGTGGGTCGAAATGGCGAGTCGAAACGAGGCTGAGAGCGACGAGAGAAGGCGTACGAGAGACGAGGGCGAGGTATGAGTGCCCCGAGTGGGCAAATGAGACGAGGAACTGTATGTTATTGGGGGAAAAGAGTAAGTACAGACATTTTGTATCTACAAAAAACAGGAGCACCGGTGAGGTATTTCTCCGAACCGGGCTGCAGGAATAAAGAATAAGAGAAAATCTTCCACAGAAATAAATAAGAATGATAAAAATTAATCAAATGACGAGGGGACGCAACGGACGACTGCGCTGATGGTCTTGATATGGCAAGGGTGGCGCGTCGAGGCTTCGCTTCGACTGGAACCATGTGGGCTGATCATGGGGCTTGCTGATGTTCTGGCTGAGGGTCTCCGGGTGCGTCGAGGAATCATATGGCTCAATGGGAAAGGTGTCGGGGATCGAGGGGACGACGAGAATGCGATGACGAAAGTCGAAAAAAGGGATTTTCCGAGGCTAGGCAGCGGGCTGGCTCATCACCCACTTATATTTTTTATCCATCTACGTGTTGGCGTCATGTATTCCCTGTGCTGTCCCATTTGTTCTGTCTGTCACTCGTGCATTATCATTGTTATGTTGCATTATTCACCACTAAAGGACCACATTAACGTGTAGTTTATACTAGACAAATGAATGAGCGGGTTAGAAACGTGCAATGTTCGTCTACTCGATCTTGCATGAAATATAATGGTGCGTGAAGCGGGTGCCACGTTAGGCACGCTTCGTCACTAAACCAGGTGGCTGCGGGTCTGAACTGGGGAAGAGACTCGGGCGCGTCTTTTCTACCACGGAGAAGCTTGCAACCTTAGGCGTTCTATGTACACCAACGCAGGCGACGCATGGTGTGAATATACTTGGATGATACGAAAGGCACGAAGATACGAAAATCGACTCTGCTCTCAGTCCGGATCTACGAGACTTTGGCACATCCTGATCGACAGCCAATAATCCCTCCCATATCTACTAGGCCACTTTCAATCAATACAACTAATCACGAGAGGAGGCGAGGGTCGATACTTTCGAAATACGGGTAAGGAGTGGCTACGACGGTCATTTGCCAGACTATCTCCTTGTCAGCAACGGATATTTCGAGCCGTTCTAACAAGAGCGCCAACGAGACCTTTATATATGCATTAAACCTGAGTGAAGCGATAATATGAAAAGGAACTCACTCATTTCAAGTTCCGAAATTTTGAAGCCGCTGAGAGGAAAGGTGACATGTCAGTGTGGTGCAAACCGCGTTCGAGTTGACCATAAGCATCTTACATGCAAGATCTTCCTCCTCCGAGAAACGTGAGCCTGTATCCATTCTCAGTCAGCTGTTTGTCCCCTCCAAAATCACAAAAGAAAGGCTTACAAGTGGGAATGAACACCAGGGATATGGGCATTGACGACGGTATCTGGGAGCGGTTTCATGACGGGAATTGCGAGTGGAAGGATCATGTCTGCACGGGCGCTAAACGATTTTTTATTATTAGCAATGTAAAAAGCGCCGAAATCAAATCCGCGCACATATCAAATTTAATATTAAAAGTATTAATAATAAATATACACTCTTCAGCATGCGATTGAAAGTATGAAAAGGTGGATATCTATGCATTTTGTCAGACCATCATAAGTAAATCTGAAGTTGTGCGAGAAGATACTGCATTTACAGACGCCTAAGAGTCTCGCGACAAATAGCATCCAGGTACGGCAGAGAGGCGAGGACGTCGTGATCCAGGTCTTTGCCCCCGTTCTTCTCCCTCGTCTCCCTGATCTCATCTCTGAGCCGTTTCTGACATTCTTTGTGGGTTGCGAGGAGATGGAAAGTGCGGGCCAGAGCTCCAGATGTTGTATCCGCTGCAGCGAAGGTCAATGTGCTGGAGAAAAATACGCGAAGCTTCAGCGAATTAGGTTTGAAGAGATATGATTAACAGTCTCACGTTGACCCTGGAACTCTTCGTCTGTGAGCTTGTCTTCACCCGAAGCCTTCATGTTGGCCTTCACTAGAAAGAAGCCAGGAAGGTGAAGACCGGTGGGTCGTCCACTAAAACGTACTCAAGATGCTGATGACATCCTTTCCCCGTCCGACCTGGGCTGCGAGAGCTTCATCACCTTCTTCGAGCGCACGCTTCTTGGACTCAATAATCTCCTCGGGCGTCTTATGGAGCACGTCTAGGGCGTCACGGAGTTGGCGAATTGCTTTCCACGGAACCCAGTTCGCCAAAAAGCGGCCGAGGCCGCGCGGTGCGAACTTGATGACGTCGGGAACGAACCACTCTCTCACTACGGCCGGCGATTTAGCCAATAAGGGCCTAAATTGTACGTTAGGAATGAGGCTGACAGGTTTGAATTTTGAAACACATATACAATTTGTTTCGAAGCGTTGGCATACGGATGAGAAATCAAAATTTCCTCGAGGGAGTCGAAAGTGAATCCGAGGCCACTTCTGCCGATGAGCTCCAAAGCAAGTCGGGTACTCCACTCCAGCATATTAATCTGAAGCGAATTGAACTTATGCAGTGCACTTCACGAAATCATTTACATGCCTCCTTTGGACCATTTGCAGCTATCTTAACGAGGGTGTCCAGGAGCTATGATGAGAAACGTGAGTTCAGGGCCACCGGATCGGGAAGACGGACAACCTTATGCGCGACTTGATAGAAAACAGAGCTTGAAAGAAATTCCATGAGCAAGAGCAGGTCGACCATATAGCATTACTTACTCAGAAAACACTGGGTTGAGCATTTTCCTGTGTTTCCTGTGCTGTTCACCTAGCCAGGAACCTCTGTAAGCTTCGACGAATGGGTAGCACGGCATGAGAAGCGGTACACACCGAGTGTCGTAAAGAGCCCTTCTCCAAATAACAACTTTTTATTACTAGATTTAATGAGAGTTAGATGACGGTATCCATTCTGGCAGTAAAGCAACGCACTTTATGAAACTGTCAGTTTCCTCGTAGATGTGTTGATCCTATAAATTCGTTATCCCGTCTTTACTGTGGAAGGTGAGATTCATCCAAACATTAATGAGAATTTGGTGCGCAGCTCTGGAGTCGTTTTTTTTTTTTTGTTCTAGCCTGTCGGTACCCTTTCGGGTTCCATAATGGCCTTGTACTACTGGACTGCTACGCTACGCTCCTGGCCCCTGTGCCAGTTTCCGCCTAATTCTCCCGTGGTTATCCCCAGCGCCTCCCGAGGCGCACCCCGAGTGCTCGCTCCCCGGTCCGAAGGCCCAGCTGGAGCATTGCTCCGCTGTTTTAGGGATCCACCACTTCTAGACGGCTGGTGGCGTTGCACGTCTATCCTCTTGTTGTACTCGTTTTGTCTGGTTTCGATTGGTGCCTTGTGCATGCCCGATCGCCTCTAGGGCTGATAGGTACAATGATTCGAGGTGTTCTTACTTGGAGATAACTTGCTGTGCTACGACTTGCTGTCCAATCGGTCGCTTGTCTTGAGCTTGAAGGCTCTGGACTCGTAGACATACAAGCTGTTTCTCTAGAGAAGCATGCCTAAACCTGAGTTACTCGGGTTTCACTATGGGAGGTAACCTCACGTTGAATAACCCTTTGACGCGGACGACACCCCCGCCGTCTAGTGAAATAAGCCGTGTGTATACACAGATTCCGATGACGAAAATCACTTACATTTCTCTAAAAGTCCGCGATGGAAGTCCCATCCTCTCTTATAGGCTAATTGGAGGATTAACAACCAGCAAATTGGAATATGAATGCATCATTGTATACTCACCGGATAACCACGATCTGGCTGGCGGTCCTGGGAGGTTCTCGAGCGCAGTAAAGCCACGTTGGTGGTGGAAGAAATGCCACAAAAAAGCGGTAAGGAATACGGCTCCAAGAGCCTGGAAAACGAGGTTGGAAAACATTTAGTGAATGGACTTCATAGCAAGGTAAACTAGAGCTATTTAAACGGAGCATGGACATGCTAGCGCATAAGAATTTTTGGGCAAGATCGGACCATCGCGCGAGACTGCCCCGATCTTCTTTCCTCGCTTGGAAGGCCATCTACGTGGAAGAAGAGCTGAAGAGGGTGACCACGGTAGGTAGAATGCACCACCTTCTGCTTCCAATATACCACTATTTGGATGGTTCTCACTGTTATCGATGTGAGACAGTCTCCGTCACCTAAGTGGCGTACACCCTATTGGTCTCGAATATACCAAAAGGGGAAATATCCCACGACTCTTCAGAGACGCCACACTGGTTTGAGTGCTCCGGCTGAAATTAAGGAGGTCGAGAGCATTGCACAGACATCTTCAGAAGTCAAGCATGAATTTAGCTAGAGAAACTCGGGGAGTTGAGGGCGTACCAGTCAAACACATTCTAGCGACCTGCCACTGGGCCAGCCAACACTGAAGGCTAGTAAAAGGAATCAAGGACACTAGAGAAGACGGGCAAACGGCACGAGTCCCGTAAGTTTGGCCACTGATATCCGACAATGTACCAGAATGAGAGATACACATATTCACAGGACGAGTCAACGTGTTCGGTAGTATCAGCGAAAATGACCAAAATAAGGCAGGTGGGGTTGCAAAGTTGGGGAAAATAGCCTCTGCGGCCGCCTAAGCTTATAACTCCACTCATAATTTGTTTGGACGGTATTCTTGAGCTAGGAGAGCTTCACTGGTGGCGGGCGGCGGCCAGAAGGTTTTGCCGAGAAGCTTGAACAGCCAGTTCGCTGCAACTTCGCCGCCGGTCGCAGTACGCTTGGCACAATCCGACTTTACTGGGTCCAATGACGTCGTAGACTCTGAATTGAATACGCTTGCATTGAAGAACTCGCCGTGTGGGCAGAACGTAAAGGGTGACTTTTGCGAAAATTAGTCAACTTATTGTCGACGGCAACGACCGAGAACGACACCTTCTCAAAGGTGGGAAGGACCAAATGGCTGCGGGAATTATAGCCTTTAGGATGCAAGGCGAGAATGAAATTAATTCATGCCTTTAATTCATGCCTTCATGTCTGACTCAGGGATGTATCCCTGAGGGACCTTCAAAAAGCCAGTTTCTAGTTCGAAGTTGGGATACTTTATGGACCGGATGCTGAGTCGACCTAAGCAAGATTGACCTGTGGACACTAGGGTTAGTTGAAATGCCTCCGAACAAAGTTGTGTCTCTGGCCTGATGGGAGACCGATACGCACATCAGCGAGGATCGGTCACATCCTGACAGTTTTTGGAGGATGAGTTCTTAACGCATCGAGTAGGAGTCTACTAGAAGATCGTCCAGGAAGCTCTGTTTGGCTTCGAGCGTCGACGGAAGAAAATCGTGTGGCCGTTGGCGGTCCCCGGCAGCGACGATAGACTCTGTGTCGACCCCGCGTTACTGATAATCTGGGCTGATCCAAGTCATCGTAAGTCGGAAGTCGTGCCATTTCAGCTACACTTACGACTTGACAAATGTTATCTTGAACATAAATGGATTGCATGGGTTGACATGAAAAACGGTAGAAATGGTTCGATATCAAGCTTTGGTGAGGAGCTATATATACAGGCAACGCGATCAACCCACTTTGGTCTAAGCATCATGGCGGTGTCGCACGTGTCTTCCTTCATCTACGACACCTTCTCTAACTACGCCAACTATGTTCGTACGCAAATCGTCGAAAATCCCCTCCTCAGTCTCCTTTTCGTCGCTGCGACACCTTTGGTGGTTGTGATTATCAACGTTCTTCAACAACTGGTTCGCCCGAAAGACTCTAGCGAAATGCCCATTTCTCAACGTTTCTTGCTTTCAGTTAATTCCAAAGAGGCCTTCTGAGCCTCCTACCGTTTTTCACTGGTTTCCTTTCATCGGCTCCGCTCTTGCGTATGGCAACGATCCCTTGAGTTTCTTGTTTGGGTGTCAGGAGAAGGTGCGTCGCTCCCTTTTCTTCCTTTGCAACATTGGTCATATATTCTGTTTAGTATGGAGACGTGTTCACCTTCATTCTGCTCGGACGTAGGGTAACAGTCGCGCTGGGACCGAGAGGAAATAATTTCATCTTGGGTGGCAAATCGACGGTCTTCAACGCAGAGGATGTTTATACTGTATGCCAAACCTCCAACTTTTCCTTGTCAGGATACTAACCCTGGTTTCTCAGAAACTGACTACCCCTGTCTTTGGGAAGGATGTAGTTTATGATGTACCGAATGAGGTCTTCATGGAGCAGAAGAAATTCATCAAAGCCGGACTTTCGACCGACAACTTGCGCGCATATGTCGTTATGATCGAGGACGAGATCGCGGAGTTCCTGAACTACGACAGCAATTTTTCGACGTACCAGCGGAACGACACCAAAGAATGGGGCTCTTTCGATGTCACCAAGGTCTTGTAGGAGATCACTATCCTGACTGCGTCGCGAACACTGCAAGGGAAGGAAGTTCGGGTCAGTCTCGACAAGACATTCGCCAAATATTACAACGACTTAGACGCCGGATTTACTCCTATTCATCTTATGTTCCCGAATCTCCCGCTTCCGAGCTACTGGAAACGCGATGCCGCACAGACCAAGATGAGCAAATTCTATGTCGACATCATCAAGAAACGCAGAGCTGGAAACTCCGACGTACGTTCTTGGGTTTTCTCCCGTGGCGATGTACTGAACGCGTTGATTGATTAGCACGAGCAGGATATGATTGCAGCTTTAATGGAGCAAAAATACCGCAACGGTCGCCCTCTCAGCGACAAAGAGATTGCGCACATTATGATCGCTGTACTGATGGCTGGTCAGCACACAAGTTCAGCGACGGGATCCTGGACTTTGCTCCACATCGCGGCCAATCCAGATATTAGGTAAACGCCTTTTGATCTTCTGGTGGCTTCCGTAGTCTAACTCCTCCTCAGCGACGCACTATACCGCGAGCAAGTCGAGCATTTCACGGGTTTCGATGGCAAGCTACGGCCCTTGACCTACGAAGAGCTCCGCAACCTGCCCCTCCTCGATTCTGTCATTCGCGAGACCCTACGTATGCACCCACCCATCCACAGCGTCGTGCGCTACGTCCGCGACGACGTCATCGTGCCTGCTACCCTCTCCTCGCCCTCAGAGGATGGCGTCTACGTTGTCCCCCGTGGCAACTACGTCCTCGCATCTCCAGTCATCAGCCAGACCGACCCAACAATATGGAAGAATGCAGACACATGGGACCCGTATCGCTGGAACGACACCAACGGCGTTGCGGCACGGGCGTTCAAGATGTATACGGATGAGAATGGAGAGAAGATTGACTACGGGTTCGGAGCCGTTAGCAAAGGCACAGAGAGCCCGTATCAACCGTTCGGCGCTGGTAAGCACAGATGTATCGGCGAACATGTGCGTCTTTTTTCTTTCTTCGTGTTGTAACTGTTGCCTGACCGCCCTTTACCCAGTTTGCATACCTACAACTTGGAGTCCTGATCTCAACGATTGTTCGCGCAATGGAACTACGTATTGAAAGGGTTCCTGAGCATAATTACCATGTACGTGGCTCTCGACCTTCTTATCTGACGAAGCCCTCATATGTTACTCTGCAGACAATGACTGTCATGCCGAAGACACCTCGCCTTATCTCATACCGTCGGAGAACGGCAAACTAATCGGATACTAAATATTTGCATGTTTAATTCTGGGATAAGGCTGAAGTCGAGATATAGTGAATGCACTATATTTTCACTGAATGAACCTATCGCTTTTGTTCCCTGCTGCTTATGCAAGTAAATGCAGAAGAGAAAACGGCAGATACATAGATTCCAAAGACTGGAGAGTGCTTCAGTTCTCGAAATCTGCATGTTCGACGTAAGCCGTTCACTATCGTTGTTTCCACTCGCGTGTGGAGGCCCAGGTACAGAAAGGCAAGATGGTCGGAGGCCAAAAGACCAGGGCCCATCGAACACATTACGTATCACAAAGAATGTCTATTCATTCGCGTGCCTCTTGTCGTACAAGTGTTAGTTCATTAAATCTCGTGTCTCACTGAAACCATTTAGTCCGTTGTTTCTAAGTGACAAGCTTCGCCAAGAAAGCACCTCGTCCTCCCTCTAACTCATCTTCATCGGCGAAAATGTAGTTCAAGATCCCCGCCAGACGAATACCACCTTGAGCGAGCAGCTTCTCGAGGATCATGCGCTTCGCGATGACACCCGAGTATTGTGGCGTGTCGAGCTGAAGGAGGGGTAATTCCCCCAACATCGGCTCTGGGTCTTCAAGGTCGTCATCGTGGCCATATGGATGCTCTTCCTCGCCACCCGAATCGAAGCGCACATTGAAGGGCGGCTCGTCGAGTTCCTTCGGCCAGATGATCTCACAGTTCAGCTGATGGTTGGGCTGCGACCAATAGTAGGGGCATATGACGGGGCCATCGGGGCTAATCTCTACCCCATCCCGCAGGAGGGCTTGAACGAGCTTGGTCGTGGTTGAGTATGCTGCATTCCACATACCGAGCAGGCCGCTATGGGAAGTGGTAGGTTCGTCAGGAGCGGGGCAGCTGAGCCACTCCTCGAGGTCGTCATCCCAGGAGTTAAGGACGCCCTCCCACATAATTCGGCGGACGTAGGAGTCGTAGATGGTGCCTCGGAGGGCAGCTTCTATGCGAGGATACGGGAGGGGTTGAGAGTAATTTCGGGGGACTGTGCGGACGGCCTTGGCAATTAAGAGGCTGTCCCAGAGCGAGTGGAGGTCTGGAATGAAGGTTTAAGAGTTGAACGTCAAAAACAGGGACACGACTTACTGGTGTGCCGCCTGTCAAAGAGAACTTTGACTGAGTTTCCACCGCGGTCCCTTCCGGTCAAATGCAGTGGCTGGTGCATATCGCCAACAAAGTGGATGAGGAACTTCAAGGCTTCGGATGCGACATCATCGCTGGACTCATGATTCACCCAGTCCTGTAAGAGGGACGTAGTGTTCTTAACTCCGTCAAGCACGTTGATAGCTCTGTTTCCAGCCCATCCTCGCGAACCAGGGAAAGCACAGGTATCGGATGGGTGGTCGTCAAGGGCCCCGACGTAGTGAAGAGAGGCAGACCAGCGCATACGCATGCGCTGTTGGTCGGCCCAGGTAGCTACCCGGGCTAGATAGCAGTTGTTGGAAGGAAGGTCGAGGATGTTGCACATCGTCTCAAGCGCACGGGGATGAACGTACATCTGCGCTATCGTGGCGACAATTTCGTGGCCTGCACAAAAATCATTCGGTGCTCTTATCGAAAGATACTAAGAACCCACCAGCCGCACCCCATGCGTAAGTGCTTGGGACTAAATACGCCAGTGTCCCAAAGGCGACGACGAACGGAAGACGCATTGTTGGAGAGGATTTCGTCGCGTTGTGGTGGTTGGTGGTAGAAGAAGGTAAAAAAAGCAACGAGGCAGCCCAGGACCTGCCAGGGGAGAACAAAGAGCTCAACGACCCTGAAGGGGTAACGACGCGTGACAGGTGATTGTCGTGACAAGTCGCGCCCGATCATGTGACCTCTATATTTCGGACCCTTTGCCTCCTGTAAGTTACTGTTAAGTGTAACTGTTCGACCCTTACAACCTCGTTATGTCCAGCTCGAGTCAAATTACAACTTGAATCGCCTCCATGAGCTTTACACTTACTTCAATCCCTGAACAGGCGGGGACAATCTACTTATCTCCTTCAAAGCGAAGAAAGGTTTCACCCCCGCCGCCTCTTACTACTCACGCCCCGCGAGAGATCTATAATTGGCTTTTTACGGCTGATTCATTTGCCTCGTGTTCCATTCAAGATGCCCTCACGATGGAGGAGAGCGGACAGGAAAGTAAGTCTTTCCTCAACCCCCAATATATGTTTTTACTGAGTTGTCAAACAAACAGATTATGACTTCTACTGGCTCGGACGAAGACCATGCCGAACTGTGAAGGTGCTGGGCATGATTGTGGGGATCCAGGTCTACGAGAAGAGAATCATCTACTCTAGTGTGTCTCATCCTTCCGTGCCTTCGCCCTGCTGACTTTTCTTCCAACAGTTGACGATGGAACAAGCGTCATCGACTGCAATCACCTTCACACTGCTCCCAAGCAGTCTCCGCAGAGAGGAACAGCATCATCCAGATACGAGATGCCCAAGAAAATTGAACCACCTTCAGCCCCGAAACCTATTGGTAGAATAGGCAAGTTTGTTATGGTGGTGGGGAGAGTCCGTGGCTTCCATGAGTCAAGGCAAATCATGGTTGATGACATCGGTACGTCCAATGGGTGAGTGGCTCTCTGGCGTGTTCTGACCCCTTTTCATCCAGAATTATGCTCTCCGAACGACGAACTGCTACACACAAGGCTCGTTCAACACCTCCACCGCACCTTGTACAATCAAACAGAGCCATTTGTTATCCCACCTCCGTCCAACACCCCTAGCTTTTCAACGCCTGTAAAGAAAAAGCAGCCATCTACGCCGTCCATCATGCAATCAAGCCCACCTTCCTCTGTCTCGTCTAGTCCTGTCAAGCCTGAACCTGCTACCTACCTCGGTCCTATTGTAAGTCATATCCAATCTTAAAGGGACACACAACCGACAGTCCTTCATAGTCTCCTCCTAAATTCCGACACCCCTCTCGACTGCATGCACACGATCTCACAGAGAATACGTTTCGCATTTATGTTAAACATTACATGGATTATGCACCTCCTCCCCAGGATCATAATGACACTGGGTGCGATTCCGATGACGGAATCGGTAGTTCAATAGCTCAAATCCCTTCAACGCCTACTAAGCGTCCCCGAAGCTTCGAGTCAGAGGAAACACCCCGGCAACCTAGGTCTCGCGCCAGCCTCGACACCACCCCCAAAGCTCGCATGGCTCCTCAGAGTTTCGGTTCGAGAATGTCATTTACCACCTCCCGATTTGGTTTCTCGTTATCCTACCTCCGTCGCGTGCCAGAACTTTCTCTGCTTGCATATCGCGTCGTCGAAGCAGTGAATCGAAGACGACAGCGAGAAGAGCGCAAGAAACTCAAAGCAGCAGGGGTCATCTCGCGGACATCGCGCACTGCGCAGAAGTCGAAATCATCTTCAACATCCTCGTCACTCGTGCCCGTCCCACGAGACAAGCTTCCAGGAAAGATGAAGCGCCTGTTCCAGTGGGCGATCATCAAGCTCCTCGAGGAAGGTTCCATCGTGCTCTGGGACGGGCCAGTGCGGTCTTTCCGCGCCTCCTCGAGCATCCTGAACGCGAGCCGTCTCTGGAAGAACAGCAATACGTCAGACTCGACCCTCCTGGGTGACAGCACCCTCTTCAGCTCAAGTACCACCTTACCACTTACAGCCGTCGACGAGGAAGACGCAGGAAACCTCTCTGACCCTCCGCCAAATGAAGAGGCCTACGTCTCGCTGACCGGGGAGTACCTCGCTGACTACGTCGAAGGTGCAATCAAGATCCTCGTTGACCACTATGCAAAGCTCGGCAAGCCGTATGCTGGCGCCACGAAGGAGGGTATTCTGAGTGTTTTGAGGAAGAAGGATGATCAGTGGCGGCACTTGGGTGAGTGGACCGTAGAGGATGCTCTGGCTATGTTGAATAAGGAAGGGAGAGTATGGAGTCTGGGAAATGGGAGGTGGGATTTAACGGACTGAAGTCGGCCCACTGGTGGTGTCTACTAAGATTCTTTGCTTTATCTGTGTCTCGCGGAATGTACAACACAGCATCGCATCGCATATATGCTTCATCATGGACTTTTTATGACCTTAGAATCCTTGTAGTTGACTTCATGATCCGAGATACATGTAGCCCCATAATTTCTACAGCCAATATTGTGTTCTACTGCAAGGTATGCAATAATGAAGAGTTTCTACGATGCAAAAAAGGTCCCAAGACAGAGTCTGCTAATGCGAACACAGTACTATACAACAACTATGCTACAGAAAGCATGCAACGACCGCAAGAGAACACCAAAAAAGACCAAGACAGTCTATCCATCCACAATAACAATAGCCCAAACCAGAAATGAAGGAGCGAAGGAGCAAAAGTCAGAAACATCCGGAGGGCCGCCACACAGCGATGCTTCTCATCTTCGAATGCGCTTGACGTCCCCGCCCTCGCCAATATCCAATGCCCCAAGAACCTGTCGGTGGCCCATCTGCGACCCGCTGCCTTGCTCCAGGCCCAATCCTGAAACAGCTTGCTGCAGGCCCATACCTGGTCGACCGCCTCTGAACCTGAAAGAAGGGCAACAGTTAGCTTCACTGACTGGGCAAAATGAGGAGGGCAGAAGAGGTGCTTACGATGTCGTTTCAGCAGGCCGTTTGATGCCAATGACGGAGGAAGGCGGGGCTAAGCTCGACAGTGGATTCTGCTCGATAGAGTCGCGTTAGCCGCATGAGCGAAACAAGAGCAAGGCAGGAGAAACATACAATCCCAGGAGGGAAGTGGAAGCCACCTATCGACGGCGTCGACGCCCGCTTGACCACGTTTCCGATAGCGCTGCTCGAGGACAAGGACGGGTTCGGATTGACGTTTTGATTGTGAGTATGCGCTGACGAACTGGCGTTCTGGGTGTTCTGCCTCTGGTTCATATACCGTTGATGCTGTTGTTGGGCGAATGAATTTGCTCTACTGTTCTGAGGTGCATTTTGTTGTGGAGGGACAGGAGGAGGACCCATAGAATTGGAGGATGAAGAAGAGGAGTTAGCTGTCGAGGTCGAGGTCGACGTGACTGATCGCGGTGAGGCACCGATCGTTGACGAAGAGGCAGGTGGGCCAGGTGCAGGTCTCGACGGTGCGTTGTTTCGTATTTGACCCTCATTGCTCGGCCCAGCACCCTCAGAGCTCGACCGAAGAGCAGCGGCGATAAGCTCCTGGCGCGATGTCGACGTGCTCGACATGTTTGCGTTCGCTGTCGACTGTGCTGACCTACTCGTTGTCATTTCCATAGGGAGCATGCTAGCACCTTCATCATGGTCATCTTCCTCTTCAGGAAGCTGTAAGAGGCCTTCTTCATGGTCGATGGGTCTGCCAGCGTCTGAGTCATCAGCACCAATAGGTGGCCCGAGGTCCGCGAGTGCGAGGAACTCGTCGTCGTTCATCCCGAAGCCATCGTCATCGTCAAAGTCTGGCTCGGGTTTCATGATCGAGCCTGATGCAGCTTGCTGTTGCTGGGGGGCTGTTCCTCGAGAATCAGAGAATGAAACACGCCGCTCAGGCTGTGGCTGAGCTTGGGGTTGAGGAGTAGAAGTTCTTTGTTGTGGATGGTATGATGGTGTGGTAGTGGTTGTATTTGAACCGTTTAGGTTAGACCGAGTATTCATAGCGGATTGTCGTTGATTATTAGCATTGTATGTGCTGGAGGACGAGCCAGAGCCAGAGGCTGTTGGCTGCGCCAGTGCTGGTAGAAATGTGCGTGGTTTGGCCTGTTGTGGCTGTTGGGCGGGCGGACGACTTGAGTTTGATGATCGTGATGCGTTTTGGTTGGAGGATATCGAGGAATTTGGGGTTGAGGCAGAGAGGGAAGAAATATCGGGTTTGACGTCGTCGAATTCGGGCCGCCGATGGAGATCCTCCTTCTTTAATTTGGGCTACGACAGCTGGATTAGATGATAGAACCTTTACAGATAGATATGACTCACAGGGTCAACCTTGATCTTTACAATCTCTGAGGCATATGTTTTATCGTATAGGCAGTTGCCAAGAACGTTTCCAAAGTTTCGCAGTGCACGTTTCAAACCGTCTGTAACGGCCTCTTTCTTGCACTGAGACCAGAATGAGCTTTGAGATTAGAGAAGAAGAATGCAGGACTCACCTTGTCAAGAGCCATGCCTTTGCTCTTCGAGTTCTCAAGCATCCCATATCCAACATCCTCGTGGAACACTCCATCTCTCAACGTCACCCTCATGACGGCCGTAACTCCAACGCTATATCTTCTTGTCTCTTCACTGTAGTCGGCAAAGTCTGTTGTCAGGTTAACGATGCTGGAGCTCCATCCGTTGAACCCGAAGACTTCGTTTGCCAGGTTGATAATCTTCCATCCCTCCACATAGGTCAACTTGGGGCCACCGCCGGGACCAGGCCGTTGAGAGATGTATTCTGGGCCGAGTTTCTGGTCGAGCTTCACTTGCAGCGAGGCGATCTTCTTTGCAGTCTCCTCCGATATCGAGTCGTTTGCGCCAACGGAAGATTGGGAGTTGAAGAGAGAGAACGACTGTTGGGCGTACGGCGTCCCATGCATCATGGGGTTGAAGGACATCGCTCCATGGGTAGCGATAGATGAGTCGAACGGACTGCCGGGGTTGTGTGCGTCGATAAGGTGCCCACTGAAAGCACCGGCCATATAGTATACTATCAAGAAAATGTCCAACCCCACAAGAACTTTATCTCGGCAGTCCAGTGGCAGCTGCAAAGAGGTAGTGTTGAGCGTTTATAGCCAAAAAAGTGCAGACCCGGATGGCTCCGTCAAGGCAGAGTCGGACCGAGTCGAGCAGGGGAGGGAGACAAGAGGGCATTGGGCAAGTCCAACATTCCGCTCCGGACGCGAGTGGGTGAGTCACATGACCGTGCCTCATGTCGGGAATACGGACCGCCAGCACCCGCCCCTGTTCCGCACCCACCGCAAACTTCCGCAAATATTCTCCTGCTCTCTCTTGAACGGGATACCGGTCTGCTGAAGATCGATCCAACAATGCTTACGCTCGATGAGAAACCTGTCAAGTATCGAAATTTCCTGCATCCTGATATGTTTATTTTCCTGAGCAAGTCTTTTATCCTCGTCGCTGCAGGTACTTATCATGAAGCTTTATAGATATTTCATAATTTCAGTCTCGCGACATTGAACGTGAGAGTCTAATAAGTCCTGCATCAAGCTACATAGCAACTTCATAAAACTCTACAATAAAGCTTCTTCTTCTCAGACGCCACCCCACAGGATGAGAATCCCCTACAATTCGAACGTAATGCACCATTTCTTCACCTTTCAAAATATCTAAGAGAGTTGAGATATTAACTTTTTGCGAGCCCTCGCGAAAGCTCGCGACATACCATTTACTCTAGAGAAGGGCTGATCAGGTGGCTTCCCATCCAATCTCGAATACGAAGTTGAAGTCCATTTTCTTGAGCCTTTTCCAAACGGTGTTTGATACGAGTTGGAATCGGTTTGAAGCGCGAGAGGAGACAGAGGTCGACACGCTTGAGATGCGTTCGACGCAGTTGAGCATAAGGGGCAATTTTAGCGCTGAGGGTTTCCATTTTTTCGTCTGGTGGGTTGAGCATATCTGCAAGTGCCGTCCACGAAAATCCTTGAGGACCTCTGAACTCCAAAACTTCGAGCTTCGACTTGATGCTGACCCGCCGCTCTGCAGAAACGTCGGACATCGTATGAGAAAGCCAGCCGTCTGATAGCAAAGGTGCGTCTGGTCCGCTTTTCAGACAAAGATGGGTTACATTCGGCGCGTCCCGCCAAAGAGACCGGATGTCGAAATACTTTGAATGGGTTTGCAGCTCGAGGTGTGTGATGAGGGACCCAAAGTGGAGGAGGAGGACGTTGGACACAACGGGCTCTTCGTTCGGCACAATGGGGAAGACGCAGGCAAAGTTCTCGAGGTTTGGGACTCGGAGGCAGAAGAGCAAGGGGCGCATTGGTCCGATGCCGGCTACTTTCAGGTATTTCAAGGATGGGGCCGTCAACCAGGTGGCGTTGGCTGGCAGGGATGGAGGGTCAGAATGGTTTGGGAGGTATTGTAAGGTAAGGTGAGTCAGAGATGGGACGAGGCGAAAGAGAGTTGAGAGCATTTGGTGCGAGACGTTGATTCCTTTGAAATGCGTCAAATTCGTCAATGGAAAGGCAAACGCGTAGAAATGGTCCCAGGATAGTTCGACTGTGCAGAGGAGAGGGGCGTTGCGTAGCATGATGGAATATATCTGGTGGTGACGGGAGGTCCGTCAGGGATTCTAGAAGCGGAATTTCCGAGACACCAGCCAACAAGTGCAGATGAAGATAAGAAGGAAGCTCAAGCGACAGTCTCCGCCAGCGAGAAGCGTATGGGTTGAGTAGACGAAGTAGATCTACAATGCCGGTGTCATTCCAAGATACAAGGCGACTCGAAGCGAAGATTCCAAGTGATAGAGGGAGTCTAATACCAGAGCGACCCAGCCACTCTTGTGCGAGCTCAAACTGCAAGGAGACGTATTCGTTGCGAACAAAAATGTCAATCGAGGTCCAGAGCTGAGGGGTCGTCCAAGCGGCACGTCTCCATACCCTGCAAACGTGTCCAAGATGTAGCGATAGTCCACGATTATTTTCGAGCGAGGCCCTGAGGGTGGGGTACGAGATTTCGTCATAATAGTGATTGATACCGCGAAGAAAGGGTCTAGTTTCGTGCGCATAGAAAATGAAAATGTGAGACAGAAGCTCGTAGGGTAGACGAGCAGCCGGAGAGCGCTGTGCTAGATATTTGTGTCTTTCTGGATGGCTGAAGGGGCGTTTGGAGTGCGGCCTAGTTTTAATGTCATTACTTCGTTCCTCCCGGGCCCATTCTTCCAAGACGTAGGCAGGCAGTGCAGAAGGGAAATAAGCCTAAAAACGTGAATTGCTTTCAGCACTTCTGGGAGCTATTCGATGGAAGATCGGCGCCCACCATTTACCCAGACGCCGGAAAAGATGTACGATGCACCCGCGACTCGCAAGAAAGCGGTAACTTGATACCGATAAAAATAAGATCGCGTTCAGGACCTGAGTTAGCCTTGATTCTCTTTCATGGATGTCAGAGCCAGCGCGATGGGAAAAAGGGAACAATGTGTACGATAAAATTTGTGCTTTCGCAAGAGAAATGAAATGGTCGTGTGGTCTGAAGTCTAAGACCTTACATACCTACTAGTAATACTACGGAAGACGGAACTTGATCATGTCACGTGCAAGTAGGATGGTCCGTGCGCCATTTACCCTCCTATAAAAGGGAGCCCGGAACTTCTGAACACCTCATACTTACCTTGATGGCATAGGCCCCTTCATCTACTGGGTTTATGGGCCACGGGAGCGCTTCATAGCACGGCGACCTTGTCCGCAGAGAGCTGTTGTGGTTTGTACGGGCTTCGGCTCGTGCACCGTCTCAATATTTTCCTGTCCCGCTTCGGCCACTCTGGCTGGGCGGGCTTCTTTTTTGTTTCTCCGCTGTCCTAACCCTAACCCCAATGTACCTCCACTACTTACGTAAAGAACGAATAAATGGGCTTTGCGTGGGACACCTGTCGTTTGGCAGATCGAGACCTGGGTCGCACCGTTCCTCTTTCCCTACCTTCATCTTGTTTTCTTCCTTCTTTACTGCCACTCGCATTTTCCCTTGTATTACCTCTGAATGTCTGCTTTCCGATCAAGAAAGCCCTACGCTGTGAGCATGATGTCTCTGAAAGCCACTGAGATGTACTGACTCGCCGTCGCGCAGCGCCCTGCCACAAGGGCTCTAGGTGCAGATGGCCAGTGGCTCCACGACAAGGCCCCGACCGGTCCAGCAAAAGCTCGGATACCCAATCGTGTCTCAGTAGCTCCAACTCTACCTGCTGCTGCAGTCAACAACGCATTGCTCGTGTCGAATTTGCATTATGAAGTAACCCCAAAGGACCTCATTGTACGTCTTGACCCCCATTGTCTTCGTCGTTGCGACCTCTGATACTACCTCTTTACTTAGGCAATTTTTGGGCAAATAGGCACGCTCATTCGTGAGCCTCTACTCAGGGTACGACAAGCCACCCAGTTTCACCTGCTATGAGAGAATCAACGCCAACCTCGCAACTGCTCTACCCTCTTCACGCTGATACTCCCATTTTGGGCCTCAAAACTCCCGCTTACGACCAAACACTTCGCCGCAACAGTACGACCGCAGCGGACGCTCTTCTGGAGAGGCCGTCCTCTCTTTCGAAAGCGCCACGGAGGCGACGCGGGCAAAGAAGCAATTTCAGGGAATTCTTGCCAAGGGTATTTACACTTTCTCTCTTGTTGTGCTCCAACATCGCCTTTGCTTTATGCTCCTCAACGAACGATGGCTTACGACGTTGTTATACCACCAGGTCAACCGATGTCGATTTCCTACTACGCTGGGCCACCACGGGCTCCTCGGAGTCGAGCTGTCAGCGCTCCGGGACCGACAACTCAGTCACTTCTGAATAGGATCGAAAAACCTCCGCTGGCCGACCGCATCAGTCAAGACGACTCCGCTGTAAAAACGCCTTCTGGCCCGTAAGTTTTGTCCAAGCTTCGAGAGGCATCCAGTTTAATATTTTCTCTTCTTCCTAGACGGGCCCTCACAGGCCCTGTACGCAACAAGCCAACTCGAGGTGCGAAACGCGCCCCTCGCGCCGCCAAGGCTCCAACGAAGCCCAAAACAGCGGACGAGCTCGACAAAGAGCTCGATGCTTTCATGGGTGATGCAGACGAAACCCCCGCTGCTACCACCGAGGCCCCAACTGACGTGGATATGGTTTAAAACTTTACGACCTTTCATAGTCTTGCAGTCTGCTCGAATGTCGAATCCCCTCTCTTTTGTATTCCGTAGCTAATACTGCCTCAAACGTAGAGGTTGGCCATTGAACTCTGCTCGTCGAGACTTACATGTTTCTGTACTGCGCTTTTTTGGCATATTTGTTGTAGTGCGTCGAATAATTTCTGTTGCATCTCCGTCGTCTTTTTTCAAGACAAGCTGTGCGTTCAAGAAATAATACGTTCAAGAAATAACTTATCTTATTTCTTCACTACACGCATATCACCGTGGGGCAAATCTGTAACTCTCGCTATCGCCGTTTTCCTGGTCTTGATTTCTTCCAGCGCCCGTTCTCCAAACGCGAAAATATCCCGCTCAAGTTCCCCTCCGACCTGGACGTCAGGAATGGTGGCGAACTCCCCATCAAGGCCTCCAGCAGAACGCAATGCAGCAAGAGCCCGTTCTAGCCAGACACGACACGTCCACTTGTCGTCGTTCTGGACTAGCGGCACAGTCTCGACGATCTCGCGAACACGGTCTGCTTGGGAGCTCAACAGCTCCGAGCAGTCGCCGTACCGCCTTCCTCTCTCTCCCTCTCCACTCCCACTCGAACTCGACAACTTAGCGACCAGGATCCTTCCTATCAAGTTTCCGGTGGACAAGCTATTGAAGGCCTGATGCTCGAAACGCCATTCGTACTGCCCGTTGGCGCCGATGATTGCTCCTTCCTGGGCCGTGTTGAGGGCATGGAAGCGGTACCCGTCGGTCGTGCTGATGTTGGCACTTTCGGTTTTAGGGGCGAGGAGGAGGGCCCAGTGGAAACCTGGCTTGCCGCCGCGGTGTTGGAGGGTGATGTACAGGCGCGTCTTGTTTCTTCCTTGCATTTCAGGGCATGTAACGTGTCGGCTAATGGATAAGGTCTTCAGATGTCCAGAGAGTCAGATAACCCCGCATATATAGACCAAGAAAATGCCGCCAACGTGACATCCTCTGAAGACGATGCGTCGACGATTGCTTTGCCTCCTTTCATTCCTCTAAAATCTCTGCCTGTAAGCAGGCCGAACCTCTGGGACGAATACGCATGACTAATGTGTTGTTCGTCTACACAGCTACCTTTGTTGACTACATCAAGTCTGGTCGACGCGTCTACAAATCGTCCTCGATATATCACCTCGCCCGACTAATGAACCCGTTCTCGCAATTGGATCGCCTCTACTGTCGTGCATTCTGAGTGGTTCCAACAGCATTAAGGCTCGCGTCCACGTTCTGCATGAATCCCTTCCTAATTTCTTCTTCGATCCGACTGGATCTGTGCAATTTTTTGTCGATATAAGCCAAGCATATCAGGAGCTTACAGAACGACGCATACATGCTATCCTAAATACCGGTGGTAAATACCACGTCCTCTTCGTCAGTCATCTGTTTCTCATCAGTTTGTAGCGACTGTTGGCCAGTCTCCACTAGTAATTCCGCGGCAGGATCTAATACTCGCAGAAGGCTGGGTTGTTATCCGAACTTTTCAACGTTTGTTTTTGTCTCGAGACGGCCTTTAAGACACTTCTCTCTTTCTCTTCCCACCTGGAGCAAGTCTCTGATACCTGCAACGATCGGTGCGGCTCTTCTCCTGTTGACTTTGGTTCTCTCTCATCCGATGCTCGCCTGAAGGATCGCCATCAACAGCAGCTGGGTGCCCTTTATTTTGATCATTTGGTCTCACTCGAGGATTGCCAAACCGCGAGACATATCATCCGCCTCCTCGCCCTCGTCGGAAGATTGCCCTTCCCTCCTTCCGATTGGATGCTTCACGCAACCCCAAACGCATTCCAGCACATTCTCCCAACCCAGCTAGGCGATTTCGAATTGTTGTTCGCGAGAAGTTCCCTCTTTTCTTCGTTGACAGGCATGGGTTAAGGCTCGAATTCTCCGTCAATACAAGCGAGGCACGTCTGGAGATCGTTGAGTTTTTACTGACTCCTGCGTTCAAGACACAGAGTACGTTGCTTTGCCTTCCATTTTCCCGATGCTTATTCCAGACTTAGGTGGCCTTTAGAGTTGCTGCTCGATGTTGATTGAATCACAGATGTACTCGCCCTTTGCCGAGAAAACGAGCTCTTATACGAGTTTCTAATGATCGTTTTCGGAACAAATGATTGTCTTTTCAAGAAGGAGCTGCCCTTCATTCTGTCCAATGTCCGATTTATCGTCATGACCATCACCGAGCGCTTCTTGAACAATTACAAAGTCTGCACTTTACGGTACGCCTCAGATTTTTAATGCACACCTTACGCCACTTACATAATTAATTAAGCATACAGATCATTTGTACCGGTTCTACTACCAGTTATTGGCATCTTATTCTGACCACAAGGCCGCCATGAGGATTGTCAACGTTCTCGCTGTGGCGGTAGAATGGCCCGAACCTTGAAAACATGAACGGGCTGGCGGTGGAACTGAATGTTATTATGGAAGCAGTCGTTGGTCTCGAAAGTGGGGAAATGAGGTTGCTGCCTTTGTGGACTGCTTCTGGTTAACTCGATCAAACTGATCCAGATGCCTCGTTCATTGCTCATTTTCTCTTCAATGAGTCATGGGCGAAGGACTACTACATCAACCTCTCTTCCGTCGACGAAGATCTTGCCAAAAGATACATCACGAAAACTGGGAACATCTTGGGTGCGATTCCTTTTTGGTCAAGCTCAAGCTCTCTCAGGAGGAGGTCGCCGAGGTCGGGAACATCGCTAACAATGCAGACGCCACAGACGGGGGATCGCTACCCTACTACCCTCATGTCTACTCTCTTTGCGGACGCCCCTGCATTGGCTTGAAATCAACGAGGTCGCTTTAAGAGGAGGAGTATCGCTGCCTATCATACTTGGTTAGAAAATGTATCAATGTATCAGAGAAATGAAGAATATTTTAAATGCTGTTTTCCTTATCACGAAGTCTCCGATTCTCATAGCGTCTTGTGGCGCATTTACCGGATTCAGTAATTGCGGCGATCCCGAACTTCGGTCCACTGGCCAACGCGCATTATCATCATTAACAGGATCCAGAATGTCGTCGCCGCTTACCGTTGAAGTCGTTTCAGGTGGGGTGCCAGTCACGGTGGACGGCATCGAAACCACGAGATTTCCGAATAGTTTTTTGGTGGTGTTGCTATGCACGAACATGCAACTCTAGTGGCAATCTCCTCTACTTCATGGAACGGCCAGGGGTCGGGGGCTTTCTCTGGGTTCTCTACATCCGGAGTCAAGGCCGAATTGCCAATAAAGTTGATAGATGGCTATCCATTGAAGAATTTGGAGGTACGGATCAGGGTGCTTCACTGAGGGCTACATCTCTGTGGCACGAGCTGCGCAGAAGTGCTGATACCTAAAATATAAAGCGCTTAGCGGTGGACATTAGCGCCGTAGACCACCAAGTTTACCTCCGTCCGCTGTGAACCTAGCGGAGGTCTTTCTCCCGAACTTCTGACATCTACCGGAGCACCGAATGGCGCGTGCTTTTCACCATGCCCGACAAGAATACTCGAGAGACACTGCACACAGCAAGATACCTTATTTGAAAATAAGGCTCCGATCCTACGTAACTCGGGGCCGACCAGCCTTAGGTTTCGCGAATGGACGTGTTCATCACCATCACTTCTGAGGATCTTCGATTCGCTCCTTTCGCTTCAGTGATGAAAACTAGACAAATGGGATCCAATTAGGTGATACTTCTAAGGTCCCAAAGATAATTGTGGTAATCCCGCCTTGTTTTCTCCTCTCTAACAAAGGACCCCTCATTTCGGTTCTGAATAGTCAATGGTGAACAGATAACTCATGGTGCTTCAAGTATACTTAGAGTCCTTGTTCTGACTCGGTATCATGATAAGTACACTTTGAACTCCTTTTTCATTGGAAACATCAACTTTGATTCCGTGGTGGAGCCGAATATCGTTAAGCGCCAAAGTAGACGCTGGCCTGTACACAAACGGTGCCAGGAGTAAATAATCCAATTTCGTACATTTCGTGAAGACTCGTGTCTCAAGAATACGGATCCACAATACCGTCCGTGGATAAGAGAAAACGTTAACCTCAAGGCTTCGGCGTAGTCCTCGGGGGTCGGGACAAGCGGCTTGCCCAAATGACTCTACCCCTGTCTTTCGACTGAGGAGATGTTCACAGTGACCGTCAATCCCCGTGCTAATCAAAGATAATCTTCAGCTTCTCTGTCAAAGATTCCTGATACTTCGCAGATGGGAAAGATGATTGTGCTGGGACTTGCTTTATTTGCTCACAAAATCTGCATTGGAAACTCTGATTGGAAAGCCAAGCATAGTGATCAAAGTCGGACTCCAAGAGGATAGCTCAGTACGCACCAATGGTTTCTGCATTAGAATTTCGCATGATGCTATAGGCGTCCAGAAGCTGAGCAAGCACTGCACGCGCGTTCGGGGACACTGACGGTATTCCAGCCGGTCTATGTGTTATCTGCTTACGCCGGACGATGACGTCGCCTTCCGAATCCAGACATATATTTCCCAAACAACTCGCTTAGTCAAGCATCCGACTCCCAATGCTGACCATCCTTCGCTCCTTGTCCGCGCGTCGATTACTCGTGGCGGACGCAGTCCTGCCTGGCAGCTGTCAGAAAAATTGGTATAAAGGTGGTCGGTATGTGGCGCAAGATGGCAGCATTACAACCAAATCTCTCCACTTCAAAGCCTTCTCAACCTCTACAGACAATTCTACCACTAGAATGGCCCCTAACGCCCTCCTCACCCCCGTTCAAGTCGGCTCTATCGAGCTCAAGAACCGCATTGGCATGTCCGCCTTGACGCGCAACCGTGCTCCGGAGACATACCCCACCGATTTGATCAAGGAGTACTACGTCCAACGCGCCAGTGCAGGGCTCATCGTCTCTGAAGGTATCTTGATAACGCGTCAAGGGTAGGTTATCAATGATTAACTCTTCGCTCAAAATAACTTACACGTACGGCGTCTAGGACTGAATGGCCCTACGCCCCCGGCATCTGGGATGACAAGCACGTCGCTGGATGGAAGAATATCACCGACGCTGTTCATGCAGCAGGCGGCAAGATGTACGCGCAACTCTGGCATGGTAGGTCTGGACCCACTGTCTGACAAAGTCATGCGCTGAATCGCCGTACAAGTTGGTCGCGTCGCCCACCCAGATGCCCCTGAGCAAAAACTCGCCGGGACTCCCGTCTACGCACCTTCAGCGATTTCCGCCCGCGGAGGGAAGTTCCGCCACATCCCAGGGACTCCAGGATACGTTACGGTGCGTTCTGTCTGTAACCCACCCCAAGACCTATTGTGCTAAAGTACCGTCTATTCCAGCCCACTGCCATCGATGACCCCTGGAAAATCATCGCGCAATTCAAGCACGCCGCTATAAACGCGAAGAAGGCCGGGTTTGACGGTGTCGAACGTAAGCTTGCTAACTGTCAACCAACCTTCTTCTCAGAAAATTGATCTGATCCCTCTGATAGTCCATGGTGCTAATGGATACCTGATTGCGCAATTCCTCGACAGTACCGCAAACAAGCGCACCGATGAATGGGGCGGCAGCATCGAAAACCGTTCTCGCTTTGGGCTGGAGGTGCTTAAGGCCCTCAAGGAAGTCTTCGGTCCCGACGTTGCCGTGAAGCTCAGCCCTGCTGGAGGGTACAACGATGTTGGGTAAGTAAATTCCTTCGCAGAATCTTTCTGGCATTTTCTCATCACCGCCTTCTGTAGCATGCCCCTTCAAGAGACCCTCGACACATTCTCCTACTTCATCACCGAGGCGGACAAGTTGAACCTCTCCTACATCGTCCTCGTCCGCTACACCGCTGGGTTCGACATCGAGATCGACGGTGCGTATTTCCATGCTTCTCGCCTTGCCTTGGCACTGAAGACTTAATTCCTCCGCCAGGCGTCCATCGTTCGACGAAGCATGACGTGCTCGAGTCCTACAGGCACTTGATCAAGAACAGCAAAGTATTCGTCAACGCGGAAGTTACTCCCGAGCTGGGAGAGAAACTCGTCTCTGAGGGCAAGGTCGACGGCATCTTCATCGGCTTCAACTACATCACCCATCCCGACCTTGTCGAACGCATCGCGCACGGAAAGCCTCTCGATAACATTCCCGACATCAAGCACTTGCAAACCAATAAGGACTCGGGCGACTGGGCTACCGGTTTCACCGACTACCCCAGAGCTGTCTATTAGATAGCATTTTCACTTGCTTTTGCTATTGTCGACATGCTGTCCGGTTTCAATCTCGCAGGATCGCGATACCCCATCAATTATTATTGACCTTTTATGTGCTCCACCATCTCGTGTGATCCAAGTTATTAGCAGGCGAACAAGTTTTCCAATTCGTTCATCATATAGAATGTGAAATAAATGCAGTGCTGATGAACAAGTATGACAGATGTGAAGATGGTGAAAATAACAGAGGAACTTCCGGTAACAATACGGAGAAAAGACAAAGAACAATGCTGGCAGACTGATTAGGGGTGTTGGAGATGGTCGTAAAAGTCGTGAAAGCGGAATGGGCAGTAAGGGATTTCAATGAGAAAAGTAAGTGATGTTGGCAGGGGTAGGAAATGTGGGGGGTGGTAGGAATGTACCAAAAGACAGAGGACACGACAAGTAGGCGATTGATGTTTTAAACGAGGGGTGTAGTTTATGCCGTGTGTAGAGGGAGAAGAGACAACGGGTGAAGAGGTAGCAAGAGGAGAACCAAACCGAACAGAGTTATGAGAGACGAGTTCGCTCTTGGATCGTTGCTTGTAGGAGAACAACGCAATTCTAAACGCTCCAGGTCTACTTGGGAGCGACAGCCATAAGAGCCTTTTCCTTGAGGACAGAGGGGTAGCTGTTCATGAGGTGTGCCAGGGCACGCAGATCCTCTTGGTCCAAGAGGGCAATAGTAACCTTGGGCTGCAGAAAAAATCAGTATAACAGGTGCTGCATCGAGGACTCAAAGCACTCACTGCTCCTTTGACACCCAAAGACTTGACAACTTTGAACCTTATAAAGTGAAAAACGCGCGTGTATTCAATTAAAAAAAGCCGTCTGAAATAAAGGAGAAAAGGCACGTACAACTTCTCTCCGAGGGCCTGCTTCTGGTGCTGGATCGGCTTGTCGAGAATGCCATCGATGAAGGAGTCGGTAGCTTGGACGATAAGAGGGTCAGCCTTGGGCAAAGGCAGGCCAGTCGCGCTTGCCGAGGAGGAATTTGCGAGCCTGATGATCTCAGCAGCAGGCAACCTCGAAAGGGAGGCAATTGTATGTGTGCTGGAACTGCTGCCCGAAGGTGTCGCAGGCGTAGGCGACGCAGCTGCCGATGGGCCACGAGACGACAGATCCGGAGTCGACGGCGACGCCTCCACCTTCGCTGTCTTCTTCGCCTGAGGCGTAACAGGCACTGGAGCCGGGGCCGACTTGGTTGACTGTGTGTCCGCCTTGCCGTCGTCCTGAGCATCGTCGCTGTCGAGCACCATCTTCGCATCGACGAGCTTCGCACGGAGAATTTCCGTGTTGAAGAGGCACATCGCCCGTTCCCTCTTTGGGAGGGACATGATGAGATCCGTCAAGTCGCTCTGGCGGGTTGACTCAAGCTTCGCAATAGCGGCGAAAATTCTGTCTCGCTCCGACATCGGTGGCACCGAACCTGCGGGCGAGGATGTTCGGGGAGGCGTCACCAAGGACTGGTCGACAGAGACGGGTGTCGACGGGTGTTCAGGGGCACTTGCCGTAGCCGGGTTGTTCTCGATTGACCTTGAATCCTGAGACGTAGGCTCAGAAGCAGGCCTTGAAGGCGACTCCTCGGGAGTCTCGACTTTGGACGGGAATTTGGCCGCCTGCGACTCAACCTGATCCTTAAGCTTCGCAGGATCGTCAAGGTACTGAAGGACGTTGCTCAGCGAAAGCGAGACCAGTGATTCCACCAAGGCATCGACTTCTTTGTCGCCGAGCACGTTCATTGACTTGACACGGCGGCCGAGCTCTCCAGTCAAGACCTCCTTGCGGACGACAGGTGAAAGCGTCGCAAGACTGTTGTAGTTCAACGGAACGTTTAGTGTTCCGTTCATCGCAGCCTATGCATGTTATCAGCCAGGGTTGTCTCCAGAGATGAGATAAAATGAACGAACGGTGTAATAGCTTCCAGAACCTCTCCTGCCTCTATCAGGTCGGTCTAGATGGGGCGGTTTGGGAGATAAGGCAGGAGAACCAAGACTTTGAGAGTAAATGCGAGGGCTATTCCATGCACTATAATCTCCAGCTTCACTGGCAGTTGGACTGGTGGCACCGCTGGAGCTTCTCCTGGGGTGTCCATTGTGGCCAAACCGGTGTGCCAGCTTCTCCTGCCTCAACTGCTTGGGTTCGTGAAGACGGACAACGATCTGTTTGCTGCCCAAAATAGCACCGTTCATCACACGCATAGCCTCCGCAGCTTTTTACAAAAACCTTTCAGCATATATACAATTGGAAGAGGTAGAAACTCTTACCATGGTCGGGTTGGTGATACGAGACGAAACCAAAGCCACGGCTTTCTCCATTCTCATTACGCATGACACGGGCACTGGGGTTCTAGTCAGGAAACTGACAACTAGAACATCGAAAAAAGCATATTTACCTAACAATCTGACCGAACTATTCCAAAAGCTGATGTTATCGCTCATCTGCTTGATGATATGGCAATACTCACTCTGCAGAAGTGTTGGAAGAGGCTATTTGAATCGATTTCGGGGCTCAGGTTCTAGGCGACATTCTTTAGCTAACGTAGAACCAGGAAGGGGGAAGAGAAGCCTCACTTTACAGAACAGGTTGCAGGGATCGATCAGACCGCTGTGGCTTGCCCCTTGAGGAGCGAGTTGCACTTGTTGTCCTGGCCCATGGATGAAGGGCGGTGGGGTTTGAACAGGAGAACGCAGAGGAGAGTACGGGCTTCCACGGGGTGGTGAATACTAGAAAGAACACGAAGGTGATGACCTAGTCAAGAAGAACCTGAATGCAGATAGACGAACCTGGATAGGGAAAGGCGGGTAGGGCAGACCAGACGGCACAAATGATGGCGCAGCAGGATTGAATTCGGGGATGGTCGTCGCGCGCCTTGGCTGATACACCTGCACAGCAATGTTTTGACCCTCTACTTCAGCGCAGTGCATTGCTTCTTCAGCCTGAATCGCGTCTTCCTCATTCCAGAATTCTACCATTCCAACGTCGGGGCCCAGATGTGTTTGAGTGCGGGCTGAGGCTAGGGCTCCAAAAGGGCGGAAGAGATCATAAAGCTGACCGTCCGTAAAATCTAGAGGAAGTTGCTTGACGAGACGCGGAAGCGCTGACGGCGGAGGCAACGGTGTTGGTGGGTTCGTTGGCGGATACGGCGAAAGCACGAGAGACACTGGAGGGTGGAGATCTGGGATATGACACGATTGGAGAGTCGCCAAAGCCTTCTCCGCTGGTGAACGAGGCATAGCATTAGTTATTTAAGCCGTACGACGCGCGAATAATAGAGACGACCAGTCACCTTTGTCCAGAAACTTGAATTCGATAGTGCCCGAGAGGAGGTTAGGAGAGCCGTCGCGGTGTATCTTTGGCCTGAAGGGGCCACAAGTTGCGAATGCCATTGCGATGTTCTCGTCAGTGACATAGGGTGGAAGGTTAGTGATGTATAAGAGAGGCTCATGAAGGTAGGGATGGGGTCGAGGACCGCTTGCATCCTGGAACTGATTGTAGCTGGGATCCATCTTGATTACTGAAATTTGGGAGACCTGTATTATGAAGAGAAGAACGAAAAGAAGGGGTTGCCTGTGCACGAGGCTTGGCAGAGCAGGAGAGACCTGGCGAACAAGGACCTCGATGATGCCAGGGAGCAACTCAAAAAAGTTCCCTCAGGCCGCATTTATGGATTATGTAAGCACACTTGATGAGGGCACGCGAGAGGCGTGCCACTGACACTCCAAATTCGACCACAGCCCCTGTGGTGTTCTAGTCTTTATTTATCTACACGTTCTACAAGTACAATATTTCCTCCGACCCATAAGCCCAGTTTCCCGAAAATAAAGATATTCTCTCCACCAGGGATCGTCTTTGCTCTCACCCACTTTCAAGGCTGCTCGGAAGACTTGACAAGCAAAGAGGGGTATCATTCGTAGCGCATCGTGAGGGTATATGACCGTGACGCCCTGTTGGCATCGTCTATGTCGGCGTATAATTTTCGTTGGTGTCACGTTGGAATGCAATTTACTGAAATTTCAAAGTCAGAACTAGAAGCCGAATGAAGGGTTAAGAGAACATACCGGATGACGCCTGCGCGCAACCCTTCGTCGTGAATGCGTCGACGATTGAATCGTCAGAGATGACGTGTATTGTTGAAGCGTATTCAAGATCTCTTTCGATCTAGACCTGCAATGATAGGGCATGAGACACTGCCATTTTTTAATTAAGGAATAAAACATACATTGCGCTTGTGAAAAGAGAAGCTCCTTCGAACAACTCCACATGAATGACTTCATGATTTTGAAGAGGTGCTGAAGACTCGACAACAGACTGTGTTTCTTGGCTGACGATAGGGGCCGCTGCAGCGAGGCAGAAATAGATGGCGAGGAGGATGAGCAGGCACCGGTGGAACATCGCAGAGGTAGTTTTCCTTGAACTGAGTGACTTGGGAGTGTTCAGTGAGGGGCGACGACTGATGTCGTTCCTCCTCCCCTCAGACGTATATATACCCAAAACCCATCAAGAATTCCTACGCCGGAAAGCAGTCCAGAACCCGCGCGGCAACTCAGAGTCAAAGGCCAACTCATTAACTGCGGGCTTTCAAAATGGCCACTCGTCGCTTCTTTTCCGAAGGGGCGTTCGATGATGGAAGGGTAATATTAACGCTATTTGTCAACTAGTCCTGCTTAGGCGGAGGAATTGTCAATAATGAAAGGTGTTATTGATGACTAGATCAAAGAGCTGGCGTACTGGGCGTACGCACGCTGAGTCCGCGGTGCAGAAGGTCGTCTGCGTGTTCCTGATAGAACTGGATAGGCACTCCTCAGGTGACTCCTTGGTCGAAGTCCGGAGGTGCATTACTCTCCAAGGACATCAGGAATCGCCAGGTGGCGGCATCCCCTGGACCGGGTTGCTCTCGAGAGAAGTCTTGGAGCAATGAACAAAAATAATATCTGTCAAGTGGCTCTGCGTATCCATTCAGTGTCGGCGCCACACAGAGCTATCTGACAATGACGCACCGCAGCCACCACCCCCATCGCAGCCGCCTTACCAAATCTTAGGCTAACGGAGACGTGTCTGAAGTGATAAGTCTCGATGAAATCGGCTTCCCGAGAAGGTGGGCCGCATTTCCAGATTAGTTGGAGGCACTCGGAAAGTAGTCGTAGAAAACTATACCGGAGGGCCTTGCGACGGCTGGTTACCGGGAATTCTATGCACGAAACGCCCTGGAAGAAAGAGGACCGGAGTGCCTTGCCCCTTGACCAGCAAGGAAAACGATTTCCTGGGTTCTAGCACCTGCAAAAGGCCGGAATCAGCTGAGATAAGCACTTACTAGCATGGCAGCTTCCAGTGCCTTCCATTACGTCGAGAAAGGAAGGCGGGCTTCCTCCTGGTAGCACACCACAAACCCCTTACTCACGCTCAGGAATGCGCCAATGAGTGGAGTTAGCGCAGCCAAGGCGGAAAGCCCTCAAGCCAAGGTATTGCACAATATATCACATTCAATAAGCTCTTCTGTATCCAATCTACACAGACAGATCAAAGGGTATCAGCACGAATATACAGCAAATAAGCATAGGAAGGACACATCTAGCAGGGCTGGCCTCGCTCCATCTGTGCTCACACGACTGCACATGGGCAAAGGTCCGCATGCTAGTCTTCAAGTCATGAAGCAGCCTGCATGGCTTCAAGCGCCTGGGCCCAGTCCTCAGTCTCCTTGGTCCGTGAATCCGAGGCTCTCCTGCGGGTAGTTCTTCAGGGGGTCCTTGCGCAGCGCTTCCGCCTCCGTAGTGGGTTCAGGTGCCTTCTTGTCTGCCTTTTTGATCTTCATGATAGAATCGGCGATAGGGACGATGGCCGCAGGGGACGACACCGCGGACTAGATAATAGAAAAAAAGCAGGTTAATATCAGTCAGATAAACGGAAGTGTAGAAAGATAAGAAGAGTGTCGGTTAGCTCCATGCCATGCCAATCATGAAAACCCTCACCTCGTCTCGGAATGGAGTGAACTTGGGTGTGGCTGTCTCCGTCTCCTGCGCCGCGGATTCAGGTGCGGACAACGGCTCCTCCGGACCGTCGACGAAAGGCACAAAGGTCTTCCCAGCAGTCTTCCCAGCAGTCCTTTCCTTTGCCTTCTTCGGTGCAGGCGGGGGCGGCATATCTTCTGGCGCCGGGTCTCTGAAAACTGCAATCTTCGACCCCGAACCTGAGCCAGACACCGACGCAGCGGCAGCAGCCATCCTCTTCGTCTTTCCCGCCTGCTTCAGCGTCGTCCCAACGAGCTTCTTCACCTCCGGCACGTTCTCTTTAATCCTCGTCTTCCGTGTGCCTAGGTCGTTCCATTCGCCGGGGCCTTCTTCTGCGGCCTGTGCCCCTGCCCCAGTGGGGTCAAGGAATATCTGGATCCGGCTATTCGATTGCGCTGGGGGAATTGGGATGCTGGATGAGGATCCCAGGGCCGTACGGGATGTAGATCCCCGGGACGATGATGATGACGAGGCGGCACCTGAAGTTGCGGTTGTGGCCAGGGCCTGCCGCGGGGGTCGAGAAGAGGAAGGAACTGGTTGGGCGGTTGGTGGAGAGACAGTGGACATCATGCGCTTCTGGAAATCCTCGTATCTGCTTCGTAAATGTTCAAGAGGGGAAGCCTTTCTTGCGATACCCAACGAGTAGGCTGCGTCAGCTTCTTTGCGGCTACAGCGTCATGTTTAGCGTCTGCCACCAATGAGAGGGACGAAGAACCACTTACCGGCCATCTCTTTCAAGAACTGCTGCATGTTCCTCGTATAGCAGCGCAAACTCCGTTCCGATGTCGTTGGCAATCAGAAATTTGTAGATAACGGTTGGTTTCTCCACATAGCTCGCATAAAGCAACCAAAGCTTGAGATATTTGAGGTCGCTTCTCCATTCTCCGTTTCTATCATCCTTCAACACTCGTGTTGCTTCTTCCAGCAGCTCCAGAAGTCCGGACTCCGCCGAATGCCCTTGAGGATAGTTCTCCACGGTCCAATAAACCAAGCGACAGTATGCCTCCAGAGGATCACCATCTTCGTCCTCCAAAGCAAGCTCGACGTTGACGCGCAGTCGATTCCGTGTAACAGACAATTTTACTTCTCTTTGAGAGTGTGGGGTGGCCAGAAGAGCCGAGAGAGCGGTTACGCGACGTCCAGTGGCAAGTGGTTGGACATTTTCCTTCACAGCTTCCAATAAATCGCAATCAACGATGTCCGGGGAGATTTGCTCGTAGTCGTCCTCGTTTTGAGACATTTCGGGACACTCGTGAGCTACTGTGAGAGACAAAGAATGACGGCCAAGCTGTGGAAAAAGTTAGAATGAAAAATGCGCTTTCAGAACTTACTTTCAGGGTAGCAGAATAAGGAAATTATACGTCACGTTACCGCGACACGACCGAGGCACGTCAATCATGTGATGCGGTAAAATGACTGCCCCTTCAATGACTTCTGAGCCTCTAGTAGAAGTTACACTCGGACTCCTAGGTCTAGAGCAGATATCTAATACTGGTACAAAATGTGGAATATCGCCAATTACGAATGTAGTCATACATCAATCACAATTGCGGTCGATACCGTTGATAATCCTTTGCGAATGTAAGTCTTGGTCACTGATGGAGCTGCATCGTTCATGGAACGTAGCGGAATTCAGGGGCCTGAATAGTGCAATTTTTCAGTTATTGCATGAAGGACGGAGAAAGCAATGCCGGGCTGACTTTGTCTGCCAGCTCGTGCGTGTTTATCTTCCCGTTCGGTTTGGCCTTGCCATATAGTTTGTCGCGGCGAGCATTGTCCCATCGGTACGAAATCTGACTCCAAGATTACTGGTAAAAAGTTAAAAAATCCACGAAATCAACTCACCGACAGAACTACGCTAGACAAAGCTGCCAAAAAGAGAAGACCGCACGAGACTAAGACTAGGAATCAGCGACTGGGCACTCTTGCGTTCGTCGAGTTGGGGAACTAACTTCCAAATCCTTTCCTATCGAGCATGTTTTAGGCGGAGTGGAGGGTATATGGAAAATTGACTCACATATATCTCGGTCCCTCGGTCTGCGGGAAAAGGTGCGACCCTAAAATACTACCGCACTGCCCGATGGCCATAAATAGCGGTATGCCAGTGGCTTTCTTGGTTTCGGAGCCCAAGTTATGACCAACTAGAAAGTCAAGCAACATGAAGACACCTTCCAACGGACTTTCAGACAGGAACTTACACCAAGCAATGGTCAATCCGATCGAAGTATATGTTCCGCTCGTGATGCAAAACGTCGCGAAATAGCGAGCGTGATTATCGTCCACAACCGTCAAGAGTAGGCTGGAGAAGCGAGAAGATAATAGGGGTTCATTGAACAGGAAATGGAATGACATACAGATACCCGATTCCTGCTATGCAGCAAGAAATACCCATGAAGATCCCTCTACTTTGCATTCGGTCAGACGTAGACGAAAATGACAACAGCACGGCAGCAGCGACTGCATATGGAGGCACAGTCAGTAGTTGAGCAAGAGCGTTTGCTATAAGACACAATACAATAGATTAGCTCTCTTGCTCATCGAATAAGTGAAGTACGACGCACTGTACCCAAAAGTCGTTATAATTGTGGGTAAGAATGCTCCGATTGAAGCAAGAGCACAATTCAAACCGAAATAGATGACACCCCCTGCATATATCTGTCAATACGGTGCTAGTAAGCAGGCTGTGGATTGGGAATAGATGGAAAGTGACTTGCCCTCCAATCGCGGAATGCAGCAACAATGTGAGCTAATAAACGATGGTCAGAGAAAACAGGATTGAAACCCTGAGCGCCTTCAAACCTTTGTTCACGACAGCGCCAACATCTCCACTAGAATCTCTGTTCATTCGCTCGACTGCTATTTGACGTTCTCGGTCATTGAGGTAGGTAGTTGATTCGGGTCGGTTGGGCAAGAAGAAATAGGTGGCAATTCCGAGGAGGATAGGAGGAACACCCTAATATATGATATGAATTTATTATTGCATATGTATGACGGAGAGGTTGTTTACCTCAATGATGAACAGCAGTCTCCAGTTGCGTATTGATGAATGAATATGCTGCACCCCGAAGGCAATGAGACCCCCAAAAGCTCCTGCTACTGTCGCAAATCCAAACCATAGCGCAAACTAATTTCGTCAAGTCTACGTTGTGGTTCCATTGAAGTGGAAGAAACACACCCGAAGGCCGAGCTCTCGTTTCGTGTAAAAGAAGGCTAAAACCACGCACACAATCAGTGAAAGGTGAAAGGTAAGCAAGAAAGACCCACAGAAGTAGAGAGTTATCACGGGTCCAAATCCCGCTTCGAATACGCCGAGGGCGACTCTCGCTGTCATCAAGCTTGCGAAATTGAACCCAGTAGCCTGCAATGAATTAGTGCGGGGTTTTTAAGCTGTTGAGGAAGAGCATACCATCAGAGTCGATGTTGTGCCCCAACCTATGGCTGCAATCGCGACATATGTCTTTGGAGGGAAGAGCTTGGAGATGATGGTGGCTGGAATTTGGCAGAGAACCTGCAAGGTTGTTAGGTGCTGCACTTGTAAAGAAAAGAGATTGACGCACGTATGAGAAGAAAAAAGCAGAAATAATCCAATCGAATAACACCCCAGATTTATCTCCTCCAAGAACATCTTCAGGTAAGCCTTGCAGTCGTGCGTTTCCGATATTCGACCTATCAAGTGCTGGGAAATTTATGTCAGAACAACGATTCAAAGAGATGTGAGGTCGAGCGCACATGCAAAGAGGTAGAGCAGGCAGGTGATAGGCAGGATTCGTTTGTCGAGTTTCCGAACAAGGTCCCGCTCTTCTTGCGTGCCCTCGAACGACTCGGGGAATTGGCCTTGAGATTCCTCCACATCTTCAGAGATGCGAGCTACCTTTTCGTTCCGTTCCTTTGTTAGCGTAGGCTCTTCAGACATTTCAGCCAAAGGGGTGGGTGCAAAGGAGGGCGGGGGAGAGCAGCAGGGGGAATGCGGAAGCGAACACCTTTCAAGGACGCTCACTCGCGAGAAAGCATACGGGCTCCACCCTTTAAACAAAAAGATCACGCGGCTTCGCAATAAAACCGTGGAAGCTAGACGCATTGAACCCAGGAATCATGCCCTCGGGCGAAAGACGGGGCTCCTTTAGCTATAAATTGCACAGGGTTTCTCACCAAAACATACGGGACCTCAGGTGGCTTCCTCCAGAACAGCAGTACGTCAGAAACGGAGCTAGCCAGGCTCTTGATCATCAGCTGGAACCTGCGGTTGGTGTTTTGAGGAGCAGCGCCGAAGGCCTGAGACCTTGAGTTGTGAAGTGATGGTCAAGAATTGAGGGTAAGCTTGAACTTTGACCGGTTGACCCCTTGCTCGGATGACCGCCGATGCTGTCAGAGTTCGCCACAGTTATTCATAGCCTCCTGTAGTACGGAGTCGGATTAGAGACCCTGCAATTGCAAGGAAAGTGTTATTTTGGGGCGATGTTGGATTTTCAGATAGATGGACGTGGCATCATTACAGAGAAGACGGGGAGAACGTTGTTGAGCAAAAGGTTTATGTCGTTGCAAGTGAATCGTTAGGAATTGGGATTGTTGTTTTCAGGGTCACCGGTCATGGTGTATGCCAAGCCATTTGGCGCCGTCCGCGTTCCGGTCCGTAGACAGATCCGGAGGACGGGGCAGGTCCGACTACGTCCGGAAGGAAACACATCTTGTACCCCACACTTCCCCCACATTCACCCAGCAGTCTCAGCACTGCATCAACTCAGATTCCCATGGTAAATACAGAATGCTGATTTCAATCCAGACGCAGTCGATGAAACGGAAAGACTGCTGTGTTTCTACTCAGGAAAGTGCGCCACACTCCCAACATCAACAATCCTCCAAGTCCGGCTGGCTAATTCAAGGCCAGTTAACTTGACAATGAATAGGTATTAGGAATGGCACATGTTTCCTCAAAACACGGAGAACACGCCGGCTAACCTCACGCAAGGCACCTGGATCCAAGAACTTGTGGCCTGACTGAAATCCTTGTTTCCATTCATGCGGCAATCCCAACCTGATCCATCGATCTTCCTCATCAGCGTGATGCAGCCTCAACTCACGCACAATCTGAAAAAAATTTGCGGTTCGGGGACGGATTCTGACGCTTCGCAAAGTTACAAGCAGCATTGGTGACTGGCTAGTCATCTCAGAAAACCCGAATCCCATCGCAAATCCTCTTCGGCGCTAATAAGGAAAACCTAAAATACGAGGCCCTCAGGGCCGGTTCTGAATATGCTTTTCAAGACCTCAGGCCTGCAGAGCCATTAGCCGGATGAGGCTCGTCATCGCCACCATGAGGGATTTCCTACATACTAAGCAATCCGTATGCCCACGTTCCGAAACACGAAGGGTAAGAAGGCTCCATTCGAGATTCACAGGACCCTTTAGTGTCACCCGAGCCTTCAATTCAACGGTTTGCGTGACCGGCAAGATAAGGCACAAAGAATGGTTAGCAGCATCTGAATCCTGTATTCTGCTGTTCTTATCAATGGACGTCATCAAGAAAGACGTCAAAGTTCATCCTCTCAAACAACTTGGACTTGCCAGATACGACAAAATCCTCTTACTGTCCTCAGCAACGTCCTAATAGGTGCTCGTCTTTACAGAGTGCTTTTGTTCGCACTTCGAGGGCGATTTTCTCAGGCAGCTATCACCTTCAAGGCCTCCGATTGACAAATCCCAAGGATTAGAAGTACCATTAGGGCGCAATGGAACTTGAACGGACGATCAACGTTTTCTCCCTCGCTCAAGCCATTGTTCGCCAAGCTGAAGTGCGGCTCGCCTTTCTTGATGTTTGACCGAGACAATCATCTAGTGGTTTCATGGCCGCTGCTAGCCTGGAAGCTTTCATTTCAAGGGTGGTTTCACCATCTTCTCCGCGGTCTGAGCGAGAGTAAGCGGTCGCCATTATTTCGAAATAGTGTCAAAAGACTAGTTCAAGATACTTCAGTGGCCAACAAGTCCTCCCGTGATCGTATGGATAGCTTAGCTATCCCCGTGTTCAGTCAATCATTATGGTCAAGCGCTAAGCATTGAATCATCGGCGCTTATTACTGCAGCTGGTAATGCTCAATGCCCATGGCAGCCTCCAGCTGTAAAAAGATTTACTCACGGCTTGGATGCAGCATCAAGCGCTGTCGTACATGTGTACAACCTCTCCCTGCTGGGACTCAGAGCTCTGAGTAGATGTAGGGTAGTTTAGCTCTGGGTGCGAATGTCAACGAGGTTACGAAACATATTATATCACAGAGGTGGTGTCAGAAGCTTGAGGCAAAGTGACACCACTTTCATTTACTTAGACCACGATGGGATGGGTAAGGCGATCGTAGTGAATAGGTTGGAAGTTACCGGCTACCTCCCAATGGCCAGATTTTGCCAACTAGGATTTCTGTTTCGTGAAGGAAGCGCCGGAGCAATCATGATTCATGTTCTTCCGGCTACGATTTGCAGGGTCGCGTCGGCCCGGACATCAGGCACTCGGATACTAACACGACCACGTGCCCGGTTAGGATTTAAAAAGCCTGAAAAGATGACCTGATTCTGAATTCACGCAACGACATAAAAAAGTCGTCAGACCAGTTCGTGAAGGCATCCTTCTCTCCCATCTCTCCTTCCCGACGACAAGTCTTTCTGCCATTTTAACGTTCAACCGTTTCTGTGAGTCGAATATCCTTCCTTAGGGCATTCCGCGACCGTTCAGGTGTTTGCCAGCGAGACACTTGAACTGGGTTTCGTCCTACCGATTTCTTGCGTTGGGGACATTCCGGTTCTGACTGTTTCTTTCAATAGGAAAATGTCTTCCACTGGTGTTGCACTGAGCGACGGGCGCGTTCAAAACCGCGTTGAGAACTACACCAAGTTCTGGCAGAAAGATCTTGCGCAAGAAAGGGGTGCCGACAACGACAAGCGTCTCGACAGCTATACCGAGGTCGTCAACGGTAAGCACCACCCTTTGTTGCGCATTCATATCATTGTTTGAACTTTTGGTTATGCTTCCAGGCTATTACGATGGTGCGACCGAGCTGTATGAATACGGCTGGGCTCAGTCGTTCCACTTCTCCCGTTTCTACAAGGGAGAGGCTTTCCACGCATCCCTCGCCCGCCACGAGCACTACCTCGCTGCCCAGATGAATCTCCGTCCCGGTATGCGTGTCCTCGACGTCGGTTGTGGTGTCGGTGGCCCCGCTCGCGAGATCACCCAGTTCTCCGACGCCCAAATCATTGGCCTGAATAATAACGACTTCCAGATTCAACGTGCCAGGAAGTACACCAAGCAGGCGGGTTTGGAGAACCAGGTCACTTTTGTCAAGGGTGATTTCATGAAGTTGTCGGAGCAGTTTGGTGAAAACTACTTCGATGCAGGTAAGCCTTTTTTCAGCTCATGAAAAAGTAGCAGTGATGCTGATGGGGGTTCTGTAATAGTATATGCCATTGAGGCCACTGTTCATGCACCGACTTGGGAGGGCGTGTATGGCGAAATCTTTAAGGTCCTGAAGCCTGGAGGTGTTGTAAGTCGTCTCTCCGCACGTATTCTACAATCCCGTCTAAACCTCGCTTAGTTCGGTGTCTATGAGTGGTGTATGACCGACAAGTGGGATCCCTCTATCCCCGAGCACAAGCGTGTCGCTCATCAAATCGAACTTGGCAACGGCATTCCCGAGATGCGTCCTCTGAGAATGGCGCGCGAGGCTCTGAAGACCGTCGGGTTCCAGATCGAGCACGAGGAGGATTTGGCCGAACGTCCTGATCCCATCCCTTGGTACTACCCACTTGAGGGTGACATCTCCAAGGCCCAGACAATGTGGGACTATTTTACTGTGTGGCGTATGAGCTGGAGCGGCATGTTCGTCACCCATAACGCTGTTCGCATCTTGGAGTTCCTTGGTCTGGTGCCTAAGGGTACTCATGATGTCGGCGAGTCTTTGAAGGTTGCTGGCGCTTCGCTCGTCGAGAGCGGACGCAAAAAGCTGTTTACCCCGATGTACCTGGTCATCAGCCGCAAACCTGCCAACTAGTCGTGCACTCGTTTATATACACTACTACTTAGATTTACATTTATATGATACCCGTAATTGAAAACATGAATATTGGGATTGATGGGATTGAACCCGGCAAGTTCCGGTGGTGGTGCGAGATTCTTGTTGGCTGGGTTTCTTCGTTTTGCCCTGGTCTCAGATGGCGAGCGATCCCAGGGTACACAAGCCTCGTCTGCCGAAAGCTTACACCGACCAGCAGCTTGCCTTTCTCAAAGGGTGAGACACAATCCCAGCAACAACCAGCACGCGCTCATCGTCCTACAGCAGTCTGCCAGAGTTCGAACGGCGATCGCAAGGATCCATTCGCGGCGATGCGAAGAAGTTCGCACTGGAGAGGGCCCAGGATTTCATCGTGCGCTTCGGGCTGCCCGATGAGTTCGTCAACATCGAGGAACCAGAGTCTCGCTTCAAGGAGGTGCGAGTTTATGGACACCCTCCTCTCATCCCTGCTGACATGCGCCATCAGCAAATCTACAACTGGTTCAAGAACACTGTTGGCCGAACAAGGCGGAAGTTAGAAGGGCGTCCACGGTCTGCGAAGAAGGCCGCAGAGAAAGGTGAACTGACCCGGCGTTTCTCCAGTCCCATTGTGCTCAACACTACGTCGTGTTGTACAGCCGCCGCGCTCGCCAATGACCTCGCATGGAATTCCTCGGTCGCCACTCCCAATGTCGTGCCATACTCCCATGCCGAGAGTAGCACCAGCAGCCCTGTTAACCAAGCCCAAACTCTCATCTCGCCCATCCAGTATGGGGGCATTCAGCCTAGCTCCTCAATGCAGCAGAACTCGTCTATGCAGCAGACGGCCCCCATGCAGTCGAACTCATCGATGCAACAGAATCCATCCATGCAGCAGACCCCCACGATGCAGACGAATTCTTCGATGCAGCCGACCCCGATGCAGCCGAGCCCTTCGATGGGTCCACCTCCGCAGGCCCTAGCCAATCCGAATCCCACGCACACCCTCTCGACTCTCGGACTGTCCATCACCCAAAGCACGATCCGCGAAACTTTCCTGCAGGGCGTCGACTCCTCCACGGTGGCCAACATGATCCAGTCGTTTATCGCCAGTGCTGCGCCTTCTTCGATACCGCTGACACCCGTTGTCGATGCCCTCTTTGACGCCATCTCAGAGTCCTCTTCGCCCAACCCATTCAGCCGCGACCCTCTTCCGTATCTAAAACATTTCCTCGAAGCTTCATCCTACTTTACTTCTTCCGTCATCCATGCAGGTGTTTCCGGCCCTCTTGCTGGCCCCCGCGCCCTGCAGATGCAAATTCGCAAGAATTCTGTATGGACACCTACACCTTCCGCTGCGCGAGGCAATTCCAGCACGTCGCGGTCCACTCCTGTAGTAGGGGTGTCCTCAGGATCGGCCTCGCTCTCAGATGAGATGCAACGCATTGCTCTGGATCGACAGCGGCGGAAGGACCATATCCAATGGGCACGGATACATGCGGCTGCGCTCGAGCTAAACATGCTCGGTCTCGGACGTGCTTCGGATGTAGACAACACCGGATACGCATACGCCATGGGCAGGGCTTTCTCCGAGATGACGGCCCGGGACGCTGTGTGGGAGCCGGATGAGGTTGAATGGGTGGCGGGCATTTGTGTGCTACGTTCGGTGATCAGGACCGCGATCTGCGGAGACCGGAGGCAACGGGATGAATATGACGAGCTGTTGAGGACCTATGAAGGCCGGTGGAAGGAGATAAAGGACGAGGCGAGGCAGGGCCTCTGCACGGTTCGTTTGGTTCTTACTTTTTGCCCCGCCCCACGCTCACCTGTTCGTAGGAGGTGTTACTCTCGGCCAAAGACGAGCTGGCCAGATTGGATAACTCACTGTCATGATTTCTTGGATACCCTTGACGCCCGTTTAAGGATCTTGAATACCAGGCTTGGTTACCGGTTACCCCTCTTCCACTTTCCCTCTATAGGGCTGTAGTTGCTAACATTGTGTTTTTCCCGTCTATGCTTTGTATCGCTCTTCATCACCGCTTGCCTGCCTTGTCCCTAACTTATTACTGTATCCCTTCACTCCCGGACATTCCCATCAGTTATGACTTCATGATATTTATGATAGAATCGGATGTTGTTTCTCCAAATTCTCGTGTTAGGGAAGGACTAAGAACACTTGACGGTAAACGCCTTGAAAATCGGTTGAATATATGCGTCTTTTTTTACGGTTATATGCGTTGTCATGAATACATGCTCTCTGTTTATTACTTTTCGAACTATAAAACGTTTGAAAACAGTGTGGGTGGTGAAGCAAGCACTGAAGAAATCATGTCTGAGTCCTGAGCAAAGGTGCCAAGGACGAAGGAGAATTTGAGTTGCGAAGGAGTCTAGAATAATTACACGAAGTAGGTGACATGAATTTTGAGAATCAACCGAGAAGCGGGAAGCGAGGTTTTTGTGGCGACTGTACATATATGGACACACTTCCGGAACATCCGCTGACGAGCCCCTAGACTAAGAGAGCTCTAGAGCCGGGCCTTGGGAATCATGGGTCGAAGTGTGTCGTCATTTTTGGCGGCGGCGGCGAGATTAGTGAATTGCACCTGAGCCGCTTAAGTCAGGGCATGCCGCAGGGCAGATATGTTCAAGGGCGATAAAAGTTGAAGAGCCGTCATCTTGCCTTCAATTGCCCCAGTTCTTTCCATGGTGGCGGACATGGGTTGGTTTCCAGCTGCGGAGTTGACGTCAAACCTAGCTTGAAGTCGGACAGAAAATTCTCAAGTACATACCGTTTACGCGGGTTTATCCTAGCTTGGCGGGGTAAACGTTAATGGCGTCGAGGTAATTGGGAGAGTTGGTAATGGTCGTAGTTCGAGTTTGAGCAGCTAGCAAACTGGATAATCGATTGAGAAGACGGTTTATATATAGGTCAGCACCACAATCCGATCAGGACCAAATGCAGGTTTCGTCCGGTCCTACCCTATCTACCTAGTCAACATAGAAATAAGAAAGCAGTAGAGATTTTTCGTAAGGCGTGTTATCAGTCCACAGGTAACAATCTGCCGAGCATATCGTCGTACGAGCAAGAAAGATACTTGTATGCGCTGAATTTCCAGCCATATATCATAAAAGTTAGGACATCTGGATCCTGGCGTACAGCTAGACAAAGCTTCGTTACTCCACGGTTTGCGACCAGGTATGAAGAGGGCTCACGATTGAACATAGGCGTGTAGACGATAGAATGCTCTCCCTGGAAGGCCCATCGGCGATTCGGGACGTCCGCAAGGAGCATCACGGCCCATTTCTTGAGGAGGGCCGTCGCACGCCGTTGGAAGTGGTAGATCTTCTCTCCAGGGATCGACGAAGGGTGCACATTTGCAACATGATACATGGCATGATGGATACTCGAACCCTAGAAGAAGAAAAAGGCAGAATTAGTCACGACAATCGCGAATAGAAAAGAAAGAGGCTGACATAAAGGTCATGTACGTCGTTTACATCGTGCTTCTCTAGTGCATTGAACACCTTTGCCAACTTATATGCATGGTTGATCTTCAAATCCAACTTCGAAGGGGTCGTAGGCAGGCTACCCGACAGTTGTGGGATTTCCTTCTCGAGCTTGTATCTGATGTTCTGCAGCTCGCGCGGGTGTGCACGGAGGATGTACTGCGACACATCCTGCTCGAGACGTTCATGGCTGAGATGACAGTTACCTGCATCCGCAAAAATCAACCGCATCTGAAGGAGCGGACTGGCCAAGCCAACGGAGGCCTCAGGACTTTCGAGGAATCGCGTCGAGGCAATCTCGTTCAAGGTTCGTTCGAGGTTGTATACCGGCGTGCTAACACCAATATGGAGGGATTCCAGATGAGGGAGGAGCACCAGTTGATTCGGGCGTACAATAAAAGCTTCCAGGTCGGACGAATGGGGCATCGCGATACTCAGCTTGACGAGGTCGTCCAACCCCCTCAGAAGCGCTGTCAACTCTCCGGGAGGTATGGTCTGCAGACACGTCCCCAGTGCAAGATTCTGCAGCCTGGCCGTACAAGCTAGAGAACGAGACAACAAGGCGCTGAGGGCTGGAATGGGGTTCACAGGGAAGTTGGTAATGGCAATTGACTCGACGGCAGGAAGGGTTAAGCTGTTGAGGAGGCTGTTGATAGAGTCATCGTTCGATGAAATAGAGTCCAAGTCGGTTGGGAGGGGAATGTAGTGAATATCGAAGGAGGTGAGATTGGGTAATGAGGTCCTTGGTCTGGACAGCCCGAGGTTGTTGGAGGTGATACCGCGGGCGGAAAGATTAGAAATGTCGTTAGACTGCGTTAGGACGTTGTGGAGCGGACTATCGTTACACCAACATGTTCCATCTTTAAATTCGATGATCTGAGACCAAGGAAGCTTGAACTCCAGGCAACTGTCGGAGAGATGAACGACTTGAAGTTTCGGTGCAACTTCGAACATGTCTATGACTGATTTCCGGATCTCTTTGGGGTCGGGATGAATGGCCAAATTGACATAATTCAACAGCAAAAGTCGATGCTTGATGCTTTGGAAGGCTTCGAGAAGGTCGATGTAGCATTGTAGGTTGAACGACTCCCACCGTTCGGAGTGAGACGCCAACAGGTCTACGATGGGCCGGAAGCTCTCAACTTGAGGATTAGTCCATTTTATGCAGCACACGGAGACGTATAAAGGCGCAGCAGCCGATCTCTCGAGGAGCATCTTGTAGAAGTCGAAGCAATATCTCGGGAGGCGCTGTTTCTCCCAGGCGCAGAAGTCAACGTGAATGTGACTCCATAGGTGCGGGTGAGATAGGGCCGCCTCTCTCCATGCCCGACAGACATGAGAAGGCGTCCAAGGGTATTGGACGCGGTCGAGGGACGGGAATGGACTGATATAGTGGTCGAATATTGCTGCAAGCACCTCAGGGGGTAGGCGCCGGAGGGGTGATAGTAGGGCTTTATGGTCGCGAATGAATTCGGTGCTCTTCTGCACAAAGTGCGGGTCCTGGGTGCCCAGCACGCCGTGTTCGGAGGGACCTGCCTTCTCCGTTGGGTTTGCGCCGTGGTCCGAATCCGCCATCGTCGAAATAAGAAAAGTGGATACATTGTCTATCGCATGTCGGACTTCTGCTGTCTCTGCTTCTGTCGGCGGGGCATTCGACTTGAGGAGGTGCGGGACAGGGGAGGCTGTGTCAATGGAAGAACCATGTGTTGAGGAACGCGACGCCTTGCGCGAATGCGAAAAGGTTGAAAGTCGTCGGTGTAGGCGGTTCATGCTTCAATGCTGGCGCTGGAGAGGGGAGCGCTGAAAGGTTATAAGGCGCTGATAAAAGAAGTATACTTATGTACGTTGACTCACCATGACAAAGTGCTGTGAAGATTGGACTTGCCCATCAACGGATCCGCCGAGAACAATAATTACACCGCATAAAGGTGTAGCAGGATTCCGGAGTCGGCCTTTCAGGGAGACCGCCGACTATTTTCGGCGGCGGCGTTGGGCGGTGTTGGTGGATGCTATGTTGGCATCATGGTGGTTGGTGTCAAGCCGTAGTCCCACCGACTCGGACAGTGGTCGCACAGACTCACGATGGCCCATACCTTGCCTTTGGACATCCGAGAGCTGAGGGAAGAAAAAGATCAGAAAGCGATATGTGGCTGTGAAACATGCCAATCACTGTGACGCATTTATCACATTTTACTTCTCCAATTTCAGTGCCTTTATCTCTTCTCTTTCTTCTGGTCAAAACTCTTTTTCCATTCGATAGAATGTTCCCAAAGAGCCTCCGCGCGAGTCCGTAGGTCAATAGGTATCTTCACAAACTTCCGAAACTCCGGGGACGATTGCGGTGGGCCCAGTGCCCTGCGTGCAATCTTTCACATAGCTCCGAGCATCAAGATATACCTCAAACCTAAGATCAAAGGAAAGGAAATACCTTATAGTATGAAAGCAAAGATAGCCCGGGCCTGTACCATCGCTCAAAGAAAGATGAAGTCGTGGTCCAACGATTCGGTCAACAAGATGATCCCGCTCATTTCGGCGATGTAATCCCTTATTTCCTTCCTCTTGAACTATCCAGCCCTGGACGCCTTCGCTGTATCGTGTCATTCCTGGTGTTTACATTTCCAGAAGCTGTGGAATTATCTTTCGGTGTTTCAGGACATGTGTTGACCTTGAACAGAAGTTTATCATCACAGTGCACTTCCTCTTTCATTTCCCCCAATAGCACTCCCCAACACCTTCCTGATCTCTTTCTCTTTCTCCTTCCAAGACTCCCGAGGGAGCGCATAACCATCCGAGACCTTGGCGTACGTAACGCCACCCATACGTGCGATGGGACGCAGCTTGCTTGGGTCTGCGACGCCGCGAGCGGGGTCTACAACATCGTTCCGAATGTGAATGTACTTGATCGTGCCGAGGATGAGCGTTGCTGTGATCTCGCCTGTGGAGGGCTCAGTGATGTCAATTGCTTGGAGGAGCTGGGTTAAGTTGGAGAACTGCGTTAACAAAAGTGAATGTGGAAGGGGTTGCAAGAAGGCCGACCTCGCATTCCATGCTAAAAGCGCTCTCCTTCACCCGTGGGGCTTTGACTTGAATCTAGTATCAAGCACGCTTGAATGCTCGTATTGAAGGGGGGAATAGAAAGGACGTACGCTTGGTGCCTTCGTGAGGCCACTGATTGCCCATTCGCTGACATCGGGTGGGGTGTCAATCGAGCAGATGTTAGCCTGCTCGATCCACGGCTCGCTGATAATGTTGACCGTAAAGCCCTTCGTGTCGCGCACGTTCTGTGCAGTGTCCTTCGCGCCTTGCGCGGTGTACGCGCAGGAGAAAGAGAGCACAGCAGGTCGAGAGCTGACTTCGTTGAACCAGCTGCGATGGCGCGGTCATTCATCTTCAAGGCAGCATATAATCGTATACAAACCTGAAGGGTGCGAGATTTTCCACGCCGTCTTTGGATAGAGAGGAAACGAACGCGACTGGACGAGGCAGGATGCCTGAAAGTAAGACAGCGTACACTTGCCTGCAAGACAAGTTCGATACCACCATCTTTTCGAGGTCATCTGAGCTTCAAAACACGTACCGCGGGTCCTCCTTTGAGATATCCACCACCTTCCAGCCCGCCTTCTCCCCTTCTGCCCAAGCTCTACCGTCCTCTGTCGCCTCGATCCCCTGTCCATACGTCCACCCAGGGTTTGGCGGCGCGGAGTACTTGAACTCTTTCGTGGGCACAAACGGGGGCAGATCAGTCATCTTTGGAGGCGATAGAGACTCAGAAGGTGGAAGATGTTATGTAGCTGAAGGTTGGAATCATATCTGAGATATCAGTAAGCAACTGAGCATGACCAGGACCGAGCTGACGGATGATGTCGACGGTCGTGCGCGCTGATCGCTACGCCTCCATCGTTTCTTCCATCACATAGAAATTGGAATGCACCCACTTGTACAACTCTCGCTCATCTAACTATTTCCTAGGCGACGTATTCCTTGGCCCCAAGGTCCTGAAGAAGAGTTGTCATTTTCTGCAGAAGATGTATGCACTTTATTTATACGTACGCTACATTTTGTATCTTACATTCCAAATCCAAATTCCCAATCTTTTCCTCCAAGATGTTTCTTTGCTTCGCATCTTATTTAACAAAATCCACAAGAGCAAGCATTAGCCGCAGCTAGCCATTCGTGATCTGAACACTCTGTCGAGGTAAACCGTTTCTTGGGATCCAACCGGAGGCAGCCCTTGACGAAGGCTGTAGCTGCCGCGACATCGTCCTTGTGGAGTGCATCCTCAAGCCCCGATTCGAGAGAGGGAGCATACCCGTGGGCCGTGGTATTGAAGTCCTTCATTTTACTGTCGCCCAGCCATTCTTTCGGCAGTTCATCTTCTAGGGCTGCACTCAATGTGGCTATTTGCTTCGAAATGTTTCCTGTCAGATAGAAGGGAGGGCCTCCCGTAAGGAGAGTGAATGTCTAGTAGGGTAGTAGGGTGGATTCATGAACATGACTCGAATAAATTTCTCCTGGATAGACTTACCATGATTCCGAGCATCCAAATGTCAGTTTGAGGCGAACACGATGCTTGCTGCAAAAGTGTTTCGGGGGCAAAAGAGTAGTCGCCGTTTTTCTCTGGTTTGTAAGTCGAACTTTGGGCTATTGAAGGATCGTTCAATATCCCATACAGTGGATAAATAGAAACAGAGCCTTACCGTGTCCAAAATTGTTGAGTATCAACGGCCAGTCGACTACTCTTTTTGGCTTGTCGTTCCATTTAAAATCGTGGATGAGCGGCTGTGATCGTACGGCGACGTGTTTTTTAATCCTGGAAGTGGTCGGTGCTGGCTCCGAGTCAAGAATGGGCTTAAGGAATTCGGGCTGCGTCGCCGTCGAGAACAAAATATTGTCTGCTTTGACCGCTAGAAGCTAGGTTAGAAATGATGTTTTCGATGCACTAGATAAGCATACCCCCGTGCATTATCCCAGCGCCGTGCAAGCCTTCGAGCGCATCGGCCACAGTGCGTACAATACGCTGCACCACATGAACGGGAAGGCGCTGGTGTTCAGCCTGTTCCTGCAGAACATGAATAGATGTGCTCAATGGATTCGTCACAACACAGAGGTGGTCTCCATCTCCGCTTTTCTCCCAGAAGCTCCCGTGGAAGGCCGGGAGTCGCAGGCTAGCATCGACGCTGTCCAGCACCCTGAGGATCGGAAGCTCGACGGTCTTTGCCTGCTCTGAGGCGGTGATCGTGAATATCTTCACCGCGAAGTAGTCGGCATCGCGAGAGTCCCAGACAAGCCATGTCGATGATCGAGGGCCGTACCCGAGCTTGCGTACGATTTCGTATTTATCTCCATTAAGTTTCTGGCGAATGTTGGCTGGGTAGTAGCCGCCACCCTCGGTTGGGGGAAGGTCGAGAGGTTCCTCAGGATAAGACATTAGATGGCGAAGTAACGATGAACGGAGCGCCTTCCAAGTCAGAGACTTATTTAAGCATTAGAACAACCACAGCCTTTCGGTGACCATCTGCCAAACTCGAAGGCAACTGATCGTGATTTGACCTGTGGCACAAACTCGGCATGAATTGCACCTAACCGCTGACGTTTCTGGTCCATTGAAAAGGTCTGTACTCCGTCGAAATCTTGTTCAATTCCGTCAGTGTCAGGGTTAAATTAGTTCTCGGGGCTTTCGGGGCTTCCTGGCGGTGCATGGGCGCTGATGCTGTCCGAAGCTTACGCTGCGCCACTGTAAAGAAACGCATATAAGAGGTCTGCTTGACGGCGACGCCTCTTCACGGCTGGACCGAAACATATCCTACCAACTCTAGGTGCTGGACATCTCGAAGAATTCAAGCAACGATCACCATGAAATTCTCACTGAAACGCGTACTACTTCCTGCTATTGGAGCACTTGCTCTTCTCCAATGCACTGTTTCTCGTCCGTTGCTGTGAGTAAAGGCCTCTGGTCTCTTGTTTGATATAGCCAACGACAGAGGACAGTCCCATTGGGTCCGACGATCTCGTTGAACGCAGCGAGGTTTATGACAACGGCCTACTCGAGCGCGAAGCCATTCCACTGGAGATCCGCAACGATGTGGTCGACACCTCGTTCGACGAGCTTGAGCGACGCGGAGGCAGAACAGCTCCGCGCAAGAGCACTCAGATAAAGAAGGAGACAAAGGCCAACCCGTTCTCAAAAGGAAAGGGAAAGGCTGCTCCTCCTGGGGCTAAACCCAAGGCTGGAAACAAGCAAAAGGCACTGCCCAATTCGGCTAAGCTGACGTTGGGCAAGGATGCTCGCAAAGAGCTCGACAACTTGGGGCTCCATGGCAAGGCGCGCAAGAACACCGTTAAGTGGCACAAGAACCAGGTGAAGCAACATATGAGGACCAACCCAACGTTGAAAGGCAAAGCGAAGACAGGAACCATCGAGTAAGTTGCCAGTTTCCCTCCATCGACGTCCGTAAGGGTCTTACTCGCATCTTTGCAGGCACATCGCGCACAAAGGTGGAAGTAACCCGAAGGAGAAGAATCATATCACCGCATCGTTCCGCGACAAGAACAAGAAGGACGTTCTCAACAAATTCAACGGAGGGGTGAGCATATTCCGTTCGCATTTCCATGACGAGACCAGATGCCTCTAACAGTGACTTGATGTCAGAAAAATCACCACCTATACGTGAACAACAAGGGTCTTCCACGTCAGGCAAAGGGGGCGATGAACAAGAACAACGCAGAAATCAAGGGCCAGTCCAAGTCGCACCAGACATCCGTCGGTAAAACTCGCACTCCTGGGAAGAGCAGTGGTAAAGGAAAGGGCACACAGCATGCCGGGAAGGGCTTTTCGAAGAATTCCAACAAGGGTTTCCAGCGGAAGGGCCGTAAGTAAATTCTAGGGCATGATCTAGATGTGCTCCTGTGTCAGAGTTCGATTTTGAGACGTTGGGTCATTGAGTGATCGCTGCACAATCCGATTTCGCCAGCGCTCTAAGCGCCTAATATGCACGTCGTGTATCATTGCATGTTTAATAGTTTGTAGCTTGACCGAGCCTTCCTTCATGGACTCTTCAAGCCTCCAGGTAGGAGTGTGGGACTCGGTGATAGTTGATTAACTCTATCGACATTTGGGTGTGACACTGAAGCTTGTCGTGCCACTGAAGCTGTTTTTGGGCTGCGACCATCCCTCGGCGATATCGGTTCCACTAGTTCTTCGTATTGCATCAAAGTCTCCTGAAACTCGAGCATCCAGGGATGTTGCGTGAGTTCTATGGCTGAAGGACGCCGTGCTGGATCGATTGTCAGACATTGCTTAATGAAGTCGATCCCCAGGTTACTGAGTTGATCTGGCTCAGGAAGAGGAGGATGTTGAGTGGCGACGCCGATGTGGAACATTATCGCCCTGTTAGGCAAAATTTCAGAACATGAGGCATGGATAAGGAGCTTGAGGATTTACCAATCATTATCAAGATTACTCCAAGGCTTTTTACCCGTTGCGAATTCGAGAACGACGCAGCCAAGAGACCAGATATCCATAGCACCATGTTGGCCCCGCTTATCGTTCTTGATGACTTCAGGGGACATGTACATCGGAGTCCCCGTTAACTCATTGCTCATGACGGCTACGTTGAAGTTGCCTATTCCATTGGCATTCGGGAAGTCGGGCGCGCGACGCGATCGCTGAACAGTGCGCTGATTTCTGGCAAGGACCTTTGCTGCGCCGAAATCCACGTACTTGATGACGCCCTCGTGGTCAAGAAGGATGTCTGTTTGGAAAATGAATACCCGCGACATCGCCGAGGTAAAACCACTTACTGTCGGGTTTGATGTCTCGATGTACAACACCACGAGAATGGAGATATGATATGCCCTCTAGCAGCTGCATTGTATAGACTTGGATGATACCTTCATCCTCGATTCGCCCGTGTTCCAGAAGAGCTGCAAGACTTCCACCCTGACAATATTCTTCAAAGATGTATATCTTGGCTCGGTGGACTTCGATTCCATAATATTCAACTACGTTGGGATGGTGCAACATCTCCATGATGCTGAGCTCGTCTTTGACCTGGCTGTAAAGATTTGGCGAGCCGGAGAGCTCTTGGAATTTGATTTCTTTGACAGCCATGAAGGTGCCATTATCAAGATTGAGTGCGAGGTACACCGAGCCGAATGCGCCAGCACCAATGAACTTGCCTTGTTGCCAACGAATGGGGGTGTTGGGACTCAATGACGCCAAGAACGAGAGAGACCTGTCTTCGGGTATTTCTTCATTAAGTACCTTCCCCAACACCTGATGCTTCAGCCCAGTTGTTACCCGCATCTCCTCCATCCCTCGAAGGTTCTTCGAAACCTTCTCCCAGTATGACCGCGCGTTGGGATCTGCTAAAACAGGATCATGTTCTTCCAGGGAGAGGATAGCTGAATCTTCCTCAAGAACATTGGCACCCGATAATTGCGACTTCAGCAGCTCCTCTTGCAATTCCTTCTCTGAGGTAGACCGCGCACCAAGAATGTCGAAATGACTGATCAAGAAGGTCATGCAGCTGGCGACTTTGGATCTGAGCATCTCGAATTGCTCGTCTGGCAAGTACAGGATATCGCGTTGCGTCCGATGGAGTGTGTACTCTAGTGCATTCACAGCCCATTTGAATGTCTTCTGGTCAGTGGGATCACAGTCGTCGCAGATAAACGACACCCAAGACATAGCGAGCTTGATTAGAAGTCGATTGAATTTAAGGAGGGAAGAGCGGTCCACATAGCGGTGCGCATGTTGTCCATGTTCAGAGGCATAGAGAAACCAGTTCGCGAGTACCTCCTGCCCTCCATTTACGGCTCTCAGGGAACTTCGAACATGATGAACGGAGTCAACTATGGACTCTGCTAAGCGGTTGGTCGTCCGAGCAATCTTCCGGAGCTCCTTATTGACACGAGGCAGATGTGCCTGTTCTTCGGCCAGACACGTCAAGGTCCAGGAGTCGGACCTTACTTCTCCGTACATAGGGTCGATGCATTTCATGAAGATTTGTTTGGCAAGATTGAGACGTCTCTGAGGCCCGTGTGCAATTAGACGAACGCGATCATCCTTGAGGTCTAAAGGAGCGCTAGGGATGTCCAGGTCCATCACACGACCATTCCACATGAAATCGGTTTGTGGGGAGAGGACCAGAATATAGTTGACTTCGTCTGGGTCTTGGATATCAAGGCCGCCTAGGAGTTGACCGTCTTCAGCTGTGTCATCGACGTGGAATGCCTCATCGATAATTTTGCGTATCAACTCCGGCTGGTCGAAGAGGGAACGGGAGGCGACGATGTAGATTCCGTCTTCTTCAAATGAATGCGTGTACACCAGGAAATGATCGGAGGCCTCAAGGAGAGAAATGAATTCGTCCAGCGGGATGTCATCCAGGCTGTACTCGGCCGAGTTGCTGAAGCGTTGACTGAGGGCTCTAGTAATCCAAGTAGTGTTTCAACAACCTCCTACGGGACGGAAACGACGCCATACCTGGAAAAACGTTGCAGTTTACGGTACCGTAGACGAACACTTTCCAGAATCTTGCTATACCAGCGAATCATTTGTTCATCAGTCATTTTTTTGCCTGTCGCAAGGCGCATGTTGGGGGTGATGTAAGGATCCTGATCAATCTTCATCTCGTTGTAGTGTTCAGAAGTACTCCCTCCTGATGGTACGCGGACTTGGGTGTCGAAGAAATTCGTCACGCGCACCATCAATTTGTTGGTCAGAGAGCTACGGAGAATTCAGCCATTGAATAGACGACAAGAAGAACGGACATACCACAGCTGTTCTGCAACTAAGCAAGATCCTTTAGGTGTCGTCACGCTGACATCGTTGAAGGTTGCCCATTGGGCTTCCAAGATATCCGGCTCTTTGAAGAGAATTCCTTTGGCATCGCTTTTAAGCTTCATATGTATCAGCTTGAAAAAGCAGACCAAAGCGTCATGGATGGTGGCATCGTAATCCTCGCTGATGCATTGAGGAAGATTCCAGTTGCCTCCAGGGTCAGGCGCCAGGATAGCCTCGTATTGCCGTTTGAGCGCACAAGCCAGGCCTATGCTCAGTTTGAGGTCTTCGATCATCTGGTCAACAATCAGTGTGTCGGGATCTTTCAGCTTTTGAACATAGTCCAGCCGTAACCGGAGCCCGGCTTGTGCTAGCTTTGTCGGAAAAGATATCAAGGGGACCAGTTCATTCTCGAATGTGGGTAGATTCATGATTTTGAATGATGAAGAAAGGCTGACCTGAACGTCGCGAGTTGCTCTGAGGAAGGTGTGGACGGTTACAAGAAAACCCTTTTCGAATGTGAGTTGCATTGGTTCTTCCTTCAGTAAACGTTCCACGAAGCTGGTCCCATCCGCGACATCCGTGTTCGGTACCCCACTTGAGCCTGGTTGAGAAGAGGATGTGGAAAAAATGGGCACCTCGTTGCTGGTAAAGGGCTCGTTGACATCGAGAGAAGTACTACCCGTCCAGCGACGTAGGAGTGCGAAGTGGTGTTTGAGAGCCGTCTGGACGTTATACCAGGTGTTTAGTGTGTCGCAACGTGCTTGGAATGACCCTTCAGCCGCTATTGGCTTGTCGAGATAGAACGCTTTCAAAGTGGGGTATAGCGATTGCACGACTTCAAGACGCCGAAGTGCAGTTGTAGCTGTTGAGAAGGCAGACACAGTCACGTCCCCCAGGTCTGATCCTGGTTCTGGGTCTGACGCTCTAAATTCCATAATCTCGGCTATGACTTCATCGACAATCCGAAGCCGTCGTTCGTCTAGCTTCTTTCTCTCCTCTTCGATCGACCGTGTGTGAAGTTTGGCCCGGATACCAAGCCATAGGTTGATGTGGAAGTTGGTTTGTTCATCACCGAGTGAATTTAGAGCGCCTGCAATTCTGCTCGCCTCCGACTTGAGGACATCTCCAGACAATACAGATGAAAGGAGGGCCTGCCACTCAAGCCGCTCCTGTTCCTGGTGGGTAGCCGGTTGTATTGGTTCATATTCCGTTGGATCGTCGTCGCTATAGTCGCCTGCATCGTTCAATTGGCCCAAACCACGTTGAAAGTAATGGCTGTCGGGATCGGTGCGGGGGTCATCCACGTCTTCAGAGGCGTCCTGGCTCGTAGATCGGTAGCGTTTTAGGAATTGTGAATAGAGCTTGGAGTATTGAGCTGCTCTAGAGTGTCGCGACTGTGATGGCTGGGAGGTCGATGAAGAGCGAGATTCGTTGGGATTACGGGTGGGTCTGCTGTTGAGGCTTGAGGGTTTCGGCGGTTGGGACGCGTACGTGAGAGGGCCGAGTACACCCCATGCGTTTTCGTCCCTTTCCTCTTCCTCTTGGTGGAGATTGCTCCTCATTTGTGGGTGAAAATGCCCCTGCCGTTTGTCAACGCGATATCTTGCTTATCGGGTTTGTGAGGGAGAGAAGAATTGGAAAGGGCTGAGCGGAGAAGAGGCGGGCGACCTTGTACGCTTTCAAACACCGGCGTAGGATATTCATTGAGTGCGACCATTTTTGATGCACAATTTAGTCGCGTACCAAGACCGTCTCTGAAGGAAGGAAGGAAGGAAGATTGATTACAGGCGGGGTCCCAATGAGGAACGACCAACCCGTAGTGTACGTACTTAGAGATACAAGCGACGACTACTCAAGGACACCTTGGACACCAACTCCCTCACCGCTGTGTAACTACAACCACTTCAGAGGACACATCCCCGACCCGCGCGGCCTCATGCAAATGCAGGTAGGACATACGAGGGGTCAACCACTGACGTAAACTCATCGTCATCCATGACAGACTTATGACACTGACAGAAGACTCATGGTCTAGTGCATAAATATTAACGACCGGGAAAATCCCAGACACGGTACGTAGCTTTCCGTGTTGCAAGTAGGTGGCAATGGGACGTGGTCCACATCAAGTTTCTGTCAGGAGTGGACTCCTTAAAGCTCCTTAAGTCAAAGTTTCAGCCATTCTAGAAAATGAATACTCTGAGAGGGTGCTTATGTGACGCTTTCAATTCAGCCTCAGGAAGCTCTTGGCATTGGGTTAAAGGCCAAAGGTTGGCAAATCTCTGTCCAAAAGTGGAGGCTTTGACCTGCGTCGAAATTTCAGTATTGTGGGCCAAAAAATGCCCGAAAAGGGAGAACACCGGCAATTGCAAGGAACTGACGGAATTAAGGGACTCTGAGCTGAAGGAAAGCGATATGCGGGTGCCAATTATCTATCGCATTTTCTACCGCCCCGAAATCAACACCTTTTTCATCTTTACCTCCTCCCCTTCTTCCGGCCAAAAACCAATCTCCAGTTCGATAACACGCTCCCAGATAGCCTCTGCGCGGTGCCATCCATCCGTCCCAGGTTCGACACCCAAACTGTCAACAAGATTAGCAAGTGCTTTCACAAACACCCCGAACTCGGTGGAACTCCAGTTCGTGGCGAATTTGTCTATCGCTGAAGGCGACGATTGCTGCGGGACACTGTCCTGCACGCGGTTTTTAACGTAGCTCCACGCGTCAAGATAGACCTAAAACCAAAGATCCAGTCAGGGGAAGCACCTAAGTATGAAGACAGATGGCATACCTGTTCCATCGCCCATAGGAAGACGAGGCCGTCTTCCAAAGATCCGCTCGACGAGATCCTACTCATCTCGGCGGTGTAGTCCCTCGTCCCCTTCCTCTCAACCCAGCCGTCCATGTCCAGTCCAAATGTCTCGGCCGTATCTCGGAAGAAGTCGACTTCGCGGACGATGTTGTCCAGGCATTCCACGAGGATCTTCAAGATGTCTTCATTCTGCTTTTCCCTGGTGCTCAAAATCGTGTCCTTCTCGCTGAAAGGAATGCGGGCGATAAGGGACCCAATGAAGCGCGGATATGCATGAGCTGCATATATTCGGTCCTGAGACAACCACAACGCAAGTCTTGAAGGAGGTAGCGTCCCATCCCCAGCTTGGGTGAGGAAAGGGTGCCGAGTAGCGGCTGTGTATGCTTCCGGAGTTCTGTGGAATGAAAGGAGATGGTTTGTGAGGCTCAGAGTAGTCATGATAGTGGTCAGAGGAAGAGTGAGCTCAGATGTTGACGCCTCCGTAACAGACAGGCCGGAACTGAGACTTGAAAAAACTTGCCATTGCCAAGGTCTTGGGATACCTCTTCTTGGCCAGCGCGTTCACCTGAATCTCTCTCGGAAAGCGAGGAGGGAAAGGAAAATATGTGCGTGCATTACTAAATATATAAAACGCGTCTATGATGATTAGAAGGGAAGCTTGGGTGGTTTTGAGTATCTCGAAGGCTTGAGAGGATTTGGCTTCCTCTTCTTGTAGTACTGGATGAATAAAGAGCCAGATGTGAGCGAACAAGAAGAAATACAAGTCATTAGCACGTACAGTCTTGTACCGCTCAACACGGGCCTCCATGTCGCGCATGAGAATACTGTGTCTGCGCCGCCTGTGTGCCAGCTCGCGTTCCCAAAGGTGTCCCTTGAACATCCGCTTCTTTCCCGCATACAAACGCGTACCCAGCTCCGAACCAGGTGTTTTCTTGTCCTTGACCTCGCCTGCCCACGCGACGGGTGTGTCCCAGGGTGTCAGCGCTGCCTGCTCCTTCATGTACGCCTCCTTCTCAGCCACCAACTTAGCCAGCTCCTCCCTGCAGACCTCTGCATCGCCTATTGCGCTGTCAATCTCCAGGTCGAGCAATTCCTTGTTGTCCAGCCTTCCCTTCCGCGCCTCGGCCTCCTCCGGCGTCTCCTGCAGGTTGTCTTTGTTCGCCTCGGCGACCTCGTCGAGCTTGAACTGAGGCAGGTACCTTTCGAGCTCCTCCTCGAAGTAACACGGGTCGTCCTCGAACATGCCTATATGGATCTTCTTCTCCTTGATTTTCCAATCCAAGTTGCGTTCCTTCCACGTCTTCGGAATGCGGTATGGTTCCGGTTTCTCCACATTGAACGGCAGATTCGCGGGGAGAGACTCCTGAACCCGCTTCATTCTCAGCTCGAATGCGTTCTTCTTCGGCCCTGGAGGGATGACGTCTAGCCGACCAAGTTCGTGCGCCTTCTTCACCAGATCGGCCTGTCGCCGTAACGAGTACTTGGGTTCGCGCCATTTGTTCGTCTTCGGGTTCTTCCTAGGAATGAAAGGATTTGGGAGGTTGATGACGGGCTTGCCAATCTTCGCGGCAGCAGCAGAGGCGGTGGGGTCGGACACTTCAGGAAGAGGTCCAAAAACACGGAGGTGGGTCATAAGGCCTTCGAGTTCGCGCATACGAAAGTTCTTCACGACCTGTACAGCTGCATTCCGGGCGAGAGGTGCCATGGCACGTGCCCTTCTTCCGAGTGGGGCGTAGCACGTCTGTGGTCAGTGTGAGTGTCGGACGGAGCACTGAAGGCCTTTTCTGCCTTGTTTGTCAAGCGATGGAGTCGCCAAATTCCGGCACGGCGGGGCCGCTGACCCGCGCATCAATGTTGGCCTTCGTATAGGCTTGACCAGGACCAGGACCAGGACCTCCATATTCTCCGAATCGAAGTAAAAGTCCGTCGACGTCATAATCTTTTTGCTGGGCTGAACATTGCCTACGGCCTCTTCCTAGTGTCTAGACTTTGCTCAGCGCTCAACGTTCAACGCTCAACTCTCAAGATATCAAGGCTGGACCTGCTGGACCTGCACAGACCGTCGTGCGCCCGGGTCATCTGGCAGTTTATATTGCACCATCCGTAGTAAGTATCATGACGCGTTGAGAGGAGGCATGACATCAATTGTCCCAAGTTGGCATGTACGCCACTCCGTCGTCACTTTTGCTAAATGCGGTCGCCTAACTCTAAGCTATGCGTCATATATCCCACTCCGCTCCTCTCTTAGACTCTATATAAGCATGCTGTCAAAACAAAACGAATGCAAGTCCAACAAACCCAATTTTCACGAACAACATGCCTCTTTTTGGATCCAAACACAAGCACGATCAAGATGTCACGGTGAGTGAGGCTTGCACTTCTATGCACTGGCTGTTCTGATTTTTATTTGTGATCTGTGCAGCGCACCGTCGTGGACGACACCAGTGGAGGACGCCACCACAACACCGTAGGCGCCAACCCTGCGACCCATACGACTACAGGCGTAAACCAGGCTTATCCCGAACAAGGATATGGCGGGCAAACCGACTTCTCAGGGCAACCCGGCTACGGGCAAAGCACTGTAAGTCAAAGTATTATCCTACACCGACATAAACCGACCTCTCCTCTAGCACGCTCAAGGCCAACCCGGTTTGATGGGCAGCAACGCTCCTGGCCAGCACGGATATGTCGCCGACGATCGTTACAGCACAGGTGCCCATACAGGTGCCCATACAGGTACCAACACGGGCACTCACGGAAGCGCCATCCCTCCTTCTGGCGAAGTACATCATGGCAAGAGCTCGACGGGCGGTGCAGGACAGCGCCTCACGGGCAAGGTCGAGTCTGCCGTCGGCACTCTCGTTGGGAGCAACGCACTCAAGCAGAAGGGGCTCCAGAAGGAGCAGGAAGCCAACGCGGTGAAGCTACAGGGACGCGAGCTCTCAGAGGCCGAGCGCTTGGAGCGTGAGGCTTTGATGAGGCGCGAGCGCGCTGTCGCACACGGTCAGTATTCTCAGTCACTTGTCAAACTTGATGCTCGAATATGCTCATTTATAACGGGAATATAGGAGCGCATCCTGCCAATGCCACCCTCGGGGCTGGAACCAATCAAGGTGTTACCGGAGGCGGGTACACTTAAAATAAGCCTTTCCCTTCCGTACCATCCCAAGGACGTGTAGTTGTAGCATTTTTGTTTCGTATCACTTTGTAGAACTAGTAACAACACAGTATTCTAAACCTGGAGGATATCTGTGAGATGGTTATTGGGGTCAATACCTCGAGTATGGCTGCGCACAGTGAACGGCTCTTGGGCTTGAGGTGAGCAGCTGTCAGGCGGTGGCCAAAAGACGGAAGAAATGTTTATTCGCGTTGCCGCTTCATAATTGTATCGAGATCGTATGGAAATTATAGGTGCGGTCATGTCATAAATTACGTTCAAGTCGACTTACACCTGTCGACGCTTAGCGTTGCGCTATTTCCCCACCAGGAGGGGAAGGGGACCTCATTTCCACTTGCACCGAAAACGGCGAAGGACAGGATGAATAGGATGACTTGACTTCCTCCATCCAGAGCCGCCGACAGCAAGTAGTTATACTTTGGATAATGCGTCATTCTCATAGAATAGAAATAAAGACCGAAAGGACCCACCTTGACGAACCAGCGTGGCCGCCTCGTCCTGAGCCACCATTGAGATATGAATCCGATGACGACACAGGACCACCATTGGCCATTGACAGAGTATGGAAGCCTACATCTGCATTAATACCTTGGATTGACTGGTCAGTGCTGGGGAAGACGCACCATCCGATGTAAAGGGCGACGACGGGAACATTAATGTATTTCATCGTACGAGCAAGCAGTGATTTAGGCGGTGCCAACTTCCACACAATCCAGAACGGCAACGGCATAAACAAGCCAATAAACCTGTGAGGCTAGTAAGTGATGATTCTGAGCGTCACTTTGATCGACGAAGCCCCAACGTACATCCCGAAAGGAATGATCCAGTAGCCGGCAGGTTTCCCCATGGAATAGAGTTCCTTCCCAAAAGCACCCATTGCTACAGAAGCCGAGTTGTATTGCTGGATTATCCAGCCGCTCCACTAGACCGAGAGTCAACGAAATCATCGAAGTTAGATAGATGATACTGACCACACGGGTGCCGATTGGATCCCTAAGAACCTCTCTGTTGTTCGATACAATGATTTTCATCACTAGATATAAGGTCAGAAAAGAGGGAGGTTGCTCTGGTGCCTTGAAACTTCGTACTTGTGAAGTTGAAAATCGAACCAACAATTGAACCAGCCTGCAGCGATAACAACGGACGCATGAATTAGGAGGAGTGAAGTGAGAGGCTGTAGACAAACCATTTGCGCTGCGAAAGTCATGCGGGGCGGAACCTTCGTGTATTGGCCGAGCTTCAAGTCTGGAAAATATGAGGGCGATTAATAAGAAGCTACAATTCGCTCTCACCTTGAAGCATGTACAAGGTTTGGAATGATGCGCTATTACCGAATAGATTTGCATACATGACGGGTCTATCCATTGGTTAGAGTAGCTTCGGTCGTCAAACTGGGGAACAAACATTGGCTGCCCGGGATGAAGAAAGGCTGCGATAATTTGGATGGCATACTTCACGGATATATTGAAACCCGTGGTGGCAGTAACTGAAGTGCACGGTGGGTTCGAATGGACACAATACAAAGTGAAATAAACTTACTGAAACCGAGGACAACAGCGATAAGGAAGCTAAGGACTGGGAGATCAGTTAATAAAATGGTAGAACTTCATTGAAAATTCAACGAGACCCGACCTGTGAGGAAAATAATACTCCAGGCTGGGATTAGAACGGTCCCGTTCGGCCCAGCATAGCTGCAGCCAATTCCTACGCCAAGAGAAACAAGGAAGAGAAGACCGTAGGCCCATTGAGGGACCTCAGCTAGAACACAACTTTAGCGGATAGTATTAATACCGCCTCAACGTGGCTTACGATACTTCTGCATTTCTGTGGACCCGAACGAATCAGCACAACGTCATTAGGAAATGAGGGTGCGTTTACATGCCTTTATAGTGAGGATCGTCGATATCGGCATGGCCTCGCTTTAGGAACCGCATGCCTCCGAATGCTGTCGTCCGGTCAGCCGGGCAAGTTCAAAGTCAGAAGCAACCTCGTACCGGCCCTCAACTCCGGCCAATGCCAGATCACAATGTAGGTGAATGAGGCCCCAAGCGACAGGTTGTAGCAAAGTTGCGATATCGCGTAGGTCGTGGTGTAGCGAGGTAGGCCGACGCTCTCGAGCGCATCTTGGTCGAGCTTGAAGTCAGGGCCTATGACGGCAGATTGGTTGTAGGTGTTTCCATCGAGGCCGAACAGAGAGGTGGACATAAACTTGAGGTCCCGTCCGTTGAAGACGTTGGAGTAGTACGCTGTCGTGAGGACGATATATCCCAATCCCATGCCGACTGGACAGAATAAGCAGCGAATTTGCGGAGGGAAAATTCTAGATCTCACTGAAAGAATTGACCTCTGAGCAGTTTCAAGCCATTTCAAGTCAGTCAACTCATTTGCAATCTTAGTAACTGTCACCTACGGGTTCGCAGCGGCCATACGAGAGGATTTCCTTGGGTAATCAATGTCCACGACGTGCTGAAGGAGAATAAACCAATTCCTTCATTACTTGATCCCGCTCCAAAGAGATTGCGAACGAAGTCGTGACGGCCATTATCAGCTAAGCAGATGATCGAGATGGCGGTTAAGAGCGGAAACGCGTATTGTGGAATCCATTCCCAGAAGAAGATGGCAGTGAACTAGAAGAAGGGATGTTTCCTTAGCCGCAGGCAGAGACACATGCAACGATGGTGGAACTTACCACGATCCAGAAGAACTTGCGGCGCTTCGCATTGAGCGTGCCACCAAAGTGAAGACTTTGAAGCAGATTTACGATGGAAATATATGTAGGGTAGAAGGCGCTGCAGGGAAGCACTGTCAAGAGGTGCACAAATTTACTAGAAACCGGGGCATACTATGTCGGATAGACCAGGAAAGTCCTCACTGCGTAAACAGTTACGCATCGTTTCAGTTGCCTCAGAGTTTTGCACGTTTCACGCACATATTCCTGCAAAGCCATATCCTGTCCGGACGTTAGAACAAGAGGTTGCAAAAGGATAACTCTTCCCATACCTATCATTTGAGTAGAGAAGATTGAGAAGATGGCGACGGCGGAGTTGAGGCGGAGGTCATAGAAGAGGTCTACCATAGCCAAGAGTGTGTAAAGTGGGAGGAATGTAGACCACCGTATTACGCACCGAGGGCAGCGATGATTTCCATGGCTACGGCGACACTTGCGGCTGTTGAGGACATGATGACAATGACGGTATGCTCTCTATCCAAAATCACTGGCTGGCGCTTATCGACCTCCTGTGAACTCACTTGATGTTGAATGGCCCTGGGTTCAGATAACGCCAGAAGCCTTGTTGAGGAAGGGCTACAAGGTAATCAGTATGAGGCAACCAGGGATATTCATTGTAAGAGCACACCTGCCATCGCTGTTCCCAATACATAAGCGATGATGAGGCAGAAAAGTTGCGATACTGTGGCATTCTGGGGCTTGAAAGTGTATATGGTTCCGAGAACCTGATGGGGGGATTTAGATGAATGAGGATACTCTGAGATGTTGCAGAAAGACTTGCTGAAGAGAACGCGCTCAAACCGATGCCGAGGAACACGACACGGAACGTAAAAACCGGTAATTCAGGATCATCTTGGGTGGATATGACCTTTGCATTCATCGATTAATCGCCGCAGACGTAGGGCCGTTAGAAATTTCAGCAGCACACCTGAGTTGCCACTCCTTCTGGTCGTTCGAGCGCTGCTTCGTCAACAAGACTTTGCGAGGAGGCGACGGATGAAACATCAGCTATCTTTTCCTTCTCGTTGAAGAACTCCACATCTGGAGAATTGTCTTTGGGCTTGTCAGAGGCCATGGTAGTGGGACACAAGAAGAGAGGAAATCGGGATGGGTTGTATTTGGAACCTGGATGTCGGTTGAGAGCCGAGTTATCTTTAGAGTCTCTTAATGCATATGCGCTTGACTGCTATCATGCGCACTGGACACACGATGCCTTCCTTGTTGGAAGAAGATATACTCAGTCCGAAGGCTTGGGAGAGATAAGAGATACCAGGGTTGCTTCTAAAACGCGGCTGTTCGGCGATGAAGAAGCAGTAATCGGGATCCTTAACGTCCATTCGGATAGCGTGGGCGCCGGGGTGGATATTCGGGCAATGTAAACTTAATACTAATGGGAATGAGAAAGACTAGCTCCAAGTTGGATCTGGTGATATGATAAAGAATGAGCGTTTTCGCTATCTTAAGACGAAAATGGTAGAATTCACCTTCCTGACATTCGAACAGGCGATTTGGGGGCATGGTTGAAGGCGGCCACAGCCAGCACAGTTGGGTCCATGCGCTTCAAAGTTAGATCCATATTAAGTATGTGCGAATTGGATCAATTCCTGGTCGAAGGCGTCGAGTAAACTTTGAAACCGATTAACAGCCAGAGGGATTCCGGTAACCGTGGAAAAACCTTGGGCTTCAGTAGCTCCTATCCTCTAGTCGCATCCATCTGTGCGTTTTTGACCATCCGTTAGTTCTTTACCAGGACATATTTGGAGAATACGCACCGCGACTGCAGCAATTATAGGCGATCGCGCGACAGGACTCGTAAAAGCGGTGTCGCCAGTTCAAATCGCTTAATGAGGATTCTGGACCTAACACCTTCGTGTGTTCACCATATTCCAAAAGTCAGACTATGAGGACATTCAGCCAAAGACGGCGAACGAAAGAACAAACAAGATAACCTGGCTGCACCCACCGATAGCAGATGTTATCAGTAACCGAAAGATAGGACTAAAGGAAACCACCTTCCCAAACCGGCATGGCCCTCGATTTCTCAAATCACCATTGTTGGAGAATGGCAGTCTGAATGGTTTTCACACTTTGGTTTGACCCCTTGGTGCTGCGAATAGTCATCACTGAGCCACCGACTTCCAGTATAGAGCCCAGAAGATAAGAGTCAGAAAGCACAAAATCCGCCCTTACGCACCTATCATTTAGGAGCATTAAAAAGATTGCAACAACGGGGTTAAGACGAGTCATAGAAAAGATCTGCCAAAGGGCGAGGTGTGACAGTGCGGGTTTGCGATGCAGAATTTACTTACCAAGGTAGCAATAATCTCCGTGCCTAGCTACGCTGGCTGCTGTCGAAGTCATGATAGGAATCACGGTGCGCTCTCTGTCAATGTTGCTCGACATGCAGTAGCGCCCACGATTGAGTTTCATGAAAGCTTGCTTGATGTTGAACGGGCATGGATTCAGATGGCTTCATAAACACTGTCGAGGAAGGGGTGGAGCAGTTAAGTCGAACATAGTCGTGATTCATATCCCATATGCCTGCCATCGCAGTTCCTAGCACATAGGCGATGATGAGCAAGAACCCTTGTTTCACGAGGAACACTTACCATAAGACCTCGACCGCGAGTACTCGTTCTCACTCGCACGCGTCGCGTTGCATGAACGCAGGACGTAACTTCACGCATATAGGTCGTTGATGAAGGAATTCTCGAAATTGGAGACACAATGTATTCAGGGGACATCCTTGTTGGAGCTGAAGGAAGCCGAGCAGTCAGGCGGCAAGCTTCAAGTTGGCAACGATGATCAACAGAGTATCGTGGGAATAAGATCGTCGGCAACAAAGCAATCCGACTGCGAGTGACCGCACCTTGCTTTTGACAGTCTGACCCTCGACATCTGTCCGCTTTTTCTTGAAGCTCGAAGCTTTGAAGTATCGCCCTTTTTGGTGACCTCTCGAAATGCGCGTTATGTCCGCATTGCACAACTTCAAGGGAAAGAGTCGAAGGTTGCACCCTTCTCGGTATGAAGTCGACTCTCATCCAGCGACTTGTGGTTAGCGCTTAGAAGATCAACGTACCTCACATGCTGTTAGGACATCCTTTCGGCTCCCCGACTCCATCTAGACTTCACTTATGCGCAAAATTCCATTCCTTGGCCTTTCTTTGTACTCGAAGCCCGGGTTTTTCCCGTCCTATTGCAATTGCCCATACTAAAGGCACCTATCTGTCATGTTGACGATGAAACATTGGAGCCCATTCTCCGCGTCCGTCCGCTGTCTTGTACGCGCTCGTAAAATCAGAACCATCAAGAAACAGATGAAGATCACGAGTTATTTTGGCAATCAAGACTATCTTTGGGCTTCTTTTCGAACATGGCCGCGGATTTGGTTGTTCATGCCTTCCTATTTTCCGGGAAACTGAACTCTAATGATAGTCTGGTAGGCTTTCCGAGGAGGAGTATTCTGTCTCTATGCCATTGCGCTCATTCCCCGCGATTTTTAACGAGTAGATCGGCCAAGGAGAGGCTGAAGCAATATTTCACACAGAGTATGTCCTGTCCGCCGCACCCAAATGTTCAACAATCTTGTTCTTGAAAGCACCTTGAGACCTGCTGCGCTGGACGTAGAACAAACTTCAATGATGCAAGGAGTTTGACGGACGCTCACAAGAGGCATTGCGGTTCTGATTTTTCATCCAATGTCTTGCTTGGATCAGACCTTCGCCCCACCTCGGTGATACTGACCCTTATCCGGAGTTCATATTTTGCGACTATAAAATGCGGTCGAATCAATGCAAGGTGACACAGGACGCGTCTTGTCTTATTCGAGAGGTCAACATCTCCCCCCTCCTCCAGTCTTCCCGTGTCTAATCAAGGAGCTAGCCATCAAAACTATACCTGCAGCACTACAGGTACCTATACGTGAGTTGGCGGAGGTGTTTCGCTTCTCAATATCCCGTTACTAACGAAGGTGGCAATGGCAACGTCGGCGCCGTTGCGGAGCTCTTTGATATTTCATGTCTCTACAACACGGTCTTATTCGAAGCCATCCCAGACCTCGCGATTGGTGTTTGGAAGTCTGCTCCTCCTTCTCTGACACCCCAGCAAATCATCTCCAAACTGCAGCCTTTATCCTCTCCTGCTGTCCTTGGTGAGTCCATCAACACCATTTCTCCATCAAAAATCTTAACTGGCATTATTCACTAGGGGAACATTTCTACGTGCTCAACCCTCTAACCGGCCAAGGCTTGAACCCAGAGTGGAATTTCTCCGCCCATGGACGGTTCAAAGGAAACGCCGATGCATACGTCGTTGCCGCAAAGGTGAACGGCACGGCGGCACCAACTGGGAGTCAGGACATCGACTGGGTCAGCTTGAAATCATTGACTGGCAAGCTTGCCCAGCAAGTCTATAGAACGGATACACGGCTCGGTCAACCTCCTGCATCGGTGCGAACCTTTACCCTCGCTATTTCCCAGCTCTCGATTCAACTTTCTCCCGTAGTGCACTCCTGGATCTCCTGACATCACCGTAAGATATGCTTCGAAGTACTGTAAGCACCCGATTCTTTCCCAATGGAAGGGTTTAATAATCGTCTTTTCCACCTAGGGCTGTTCGGATCGTCAGTGTAACGGGATACTGAGGCGCTTTATCATCCACTTCGTATTATTAATCCGCTCTTTTTTGATGATTTATCAGCGACGAGAAGTCCAATTTCTGTAGCGACGTTGTGTCCAAAATGCGAATAATTTGTCTACAATCAGTAGTGTTTTGAGCCTGAGGCTATAAATTCAGGTATAATGGCTGTCTTTGGTTTTCCTAGTCATATCCTCCCGATTTTCTGCAATTTTTTTGCCCAAAAATCATGGTCGACCGGTCCGAATATTACCGAAGCCGGAGGAGAGGAGATCGAAGTTCCCGCGAGCCTTGCGCCCAACAATCCATGGCTTCCCTGCAAAGTTGTCGCCATTCGTCTTTGTCAGACAATCTTGGTGGGTACGAAGCCGTTCGCTTATAAGGGCCTAGGTATTTGTTTTCCATATTCAATTCACACCCCACTTGACTTGCGATGGCCGATTCGATCAACCCTCCTGCGCCTGGCATCTCCTACTTCACACCCAAGCAAAGCCCACCAGCTGGAACCGCTATCAACCCGCAGAAGAGCGGAAAGCCGATCCCAAAGCTCTTCCAGCCGTTGAAGATTCGCGGCGTTGAGTTCCAGAACAGGATCTTTGTGCGTTAACACCCCTCCGTATGTCCGATGCGTTAGATGCTAACGCCACCGCCAGCTATCTCCTCTTTGCCAATATTCTACGAAAGATGGCTTCGTAACTCCATGGCACACGGCACATCGTGCGTTGCGCCTATCCCCTATCTCATGCTTGCTATATTCAAATCGTCCTTCCGATCTCATACACAGTCGGCGGAATTCTCTCGCGAGGTCCTGGTCTGACTATAGTCGAAGCTACGGCCGTGGTGCCGGAAGGCCGTATCACTCCAGAAGACGCCGGGATCTGGTCCGATGCGCACATCAAGCCCTTCGCCCAAATCGTTGAGTTCGCCCACTCGCAGAACCAGAAGATCGCGATCCAGCTCGCGCACGCAGGCAGGAAAGCTTCGTGTATCCCACCGTGGGTGGCCAAAGAACCGACTGCCCCCAAGGAGGCTGGTGGATGGCCCGACAACGTCTGGGGTCCGTCGACGGTGCCGTTCCACGAGACGTATCCCAAGCCGAAGGAGCTCACAAAAGAGGGCATCGAGCGCGTCGTACAGGCATTCGCGGACGCGGCGAAGCGTGCGGTGGCCGCTGGCTTCGATGTCATTGAGATCCACAACGCGCATGGGTATCTGCTGTCCTCGTTCCTCAGTCCCACAAGCAACAAGCGGACAGACGAGTACGGAGGCAGCTTCGAGAATCGGATTCGGTTGACCCTGCGAGTGGTCGACGCCGTTCGTGCAGTTATCCCAGAGACGATGCCGCTATTCCTGAGGTGTGCAAAAGACTTCAGTATCGCTTTCACTGTGACTGACCCTTGTCCAGGATCTCTGGCACAGAGTGGCTGGAAGAAATTGCCCCTGAAGAACCTCAATGGCGCGCCGAAGACACCGCGCGTATCGCACCCATTCTCGCCGAGCACGGCGTCGACCTCCTCGACGTCTCGGCTGGTGGTAACGACGCCCGCCAACAGGTCCGAGCAGGGCTCAAATACCAGGTCCCCTTCGCCGCCGCCGCGAAGAAGGCTGTCGGTTCAAGCTTGCTCGTCAGCGCCGTCGGTGGTCTCGCCGATGGTATCGTTGCTGAGGAGGTCCTCGAGGCTGGGGAAGCGGATGTTATTTTCGTCGGACGGGGGTTCCAGAAGAATCCTGGCCTTGTGTGGAGGATGGCAGACGATCTTGGTGTAGAGGTCCACTGGGCGAACCAGATTGGGTGGGGATTTGCAGGACGCGTCGTTAAGGTGTTGGGTAACAGTGAGCCGCCGAAGAAAGGGGCTAATCTGTAGGTGTAGAGAGGCGAGGTCGAAGGACTGAATCTTATAGATGCTATACCGTTTGATCTAGATATTGATGATTTCCCTCCGAGTACCTGGTTGTCTAAAATTCAGAGATTGATTGTTTCAATGATAACAGTAGGAAGGACATCTTGATCTCATTCCGATTTGACGCTCAGATCATTTCTCAAACCATGAAGTCTTCGAATATCACTCTCGGGTCGCCTGTGTTCGATGCAAGGTAACCGACCATTGGCTGAGGTCGAGCACCGACATCTGACTCCTGCCCTAGAGCAATTTGAAGTAGTGGGTACCGCAGGACCGCCGCGCCATCTCTAAATTTAGATTGCGCGCGACTGCACAGCGCCACACAATCATTACCATTTCGGGCTAGAGGTGAATTCGGGGTAGAAATTCTCCTCTCATCAACGTTTCAAAGGAAATGTCTACGCCTACATCGTCGCCAGAAAGGCGAACAACACGCCGACGATGCCAACTTCTGGGAGTCGGGAGACAGTTACTGCAAAGAAAGGAAGATTGAAGGGAATCCGACCAGGAAAAGCTCTTGTTCGCTGATCATACTCTGGAGTAACTGCATCAAGGGTACAAGCTGTTGTATGTATGCAAAGAGCTCTACTAACCATGACTCAAAGCCCCAAAAAAAATCGCCATGTGCTCCGGATGATTGATGCTTTGTCAGGGAAGACTGGCTGAAGGCTCTCAAGGACAAGGTTGATAAGCACGGGGATGGGTGGATAAACAATACGAAGGAGGATTATCAAGCGCTGCAAAGAGCGTTTGAGATAGGTATGCTATCTAATAAAAGGATGATTAGCACTTAGCCTCTCGTTATACAATCAATCGCAACACTGGACTGCGCAATGGGGTTGCCAGCCAAATGAAAAGCAATTGCCTGTGGGATGTTAGCCCAGTGGCCGAGTCTTGGATGTTGCGCGAAAGCAATGCACAATGAAACAAAATAATTGGGTAGAGAGAATGCAAGATTTGCTCAACTTCCAAGGTTTTGAGTGTTTTCCGAGCAGATGGGCTGGGACGCTTTGGATGTCACCCGCATCAGGCTCGGGCCGTGTGTTCGACGCAAAGCAGCCGAATATTTGTCGGGTTGAGCGATGAAATATGGTCCCCTTCGGGTGTTCTAGGGGTATTTGAAGTAGTGGGTGATCGAATCCATTTCTATATTTGGATTACCGGCGACCCTATAGCGCCACACAACTACATACCATTTCCAGCCACGCGTTGACTAATAACCCCGACTGACTGGTGGACTGGATATGGTCGCTACGAGCCCGGAGGGAGCAAAGTCGGGAGTGCATCAACCTATAAATAAAGTCTAGAGCATACATCTATGAAATCAGGGGCACATCCTACCAATGATTCAGCCCTTTTCTTCAGTGGTTCACCCTCCCCAAGTACCTGAACCTAGGTTCTTATAAGAGCCTGACCAGGAGCTATCGATAATTAACCTCGTTAGGGAGAAACCATTCTCCTATCCTCTCAACCGGTCTGGCTTTTCACTAGTCCGACAATGACGCCTTGCAGTTGCCATAAAGAAAGAGAGATTGAGGAGAATCAGACTAGAAGAAGCTCTTGATCACTGATCGTACGCCACAATAAGCGTATTCCGGGGGTACAAGGTGTACAAGAAGTCCACTATACCTTGACCTGAAACACAAAAACTCGGCGTGTGCTCAGAATGGTTGATGCTGAATAATGCGAGAGAGGGTTATCAAGCGTCGCAAAGACCATGCCAATAGCTGCGCTGTCTGATGAAATGAATGAATGATTAGCAGTCTCTCGGCAGGCAATCAATCGCAATGCTCACATCACGTCGACGTTCCATAGAGGACTTGAAGCTTGAGCTTGAGCCCTAGAATGTACAGTACAAGTGTGGTTGAGAACAACATGAAAAGCAACGGTGGAATGCAACACTCGTTGGTCCGTAAAACTGCCACAATAGCCGAGGTTGGGGTGCAATACATAGACCAGTCGGGACAAAGTGGCCTCAGACAGGTGAATGCAAGATTTGGTCAAGTGGGAGTGTTTCGAATATGTTGCGAACAGATGGGACTGAGAACATATTTTGACTGCTCTGCGAACCCGCGAAACTTGAAGTTCACCCACGCTAATCTCGGAAAACGTGGCGGATTGAGTTTGAAAGAGTCAAAGTGACGTGTTTCGACGTCAACACCCCACAAGATGACTTCAGTGCGTCGATAACGATTGTTGTTCATGCAGCCGGCAGAAAGAAGGTATTTCACAGGGATAGTACGGAAGGGCTAATAGAACACGCCGTGTTTTGTCGTAGGAGATGCCACTCAGTAAACAATATGAGAAACGGTCCACAAGAAAGGAAGACCTGCCGCCACACAAAAAATATCACGCCAGTTTCCCGTCCATCGTCTGTTCCACCTGCTCGCCGACCCAGCGCTCGAAGACTTCTTGGTTCATGGTGCCTTGTTCGTCGAAGAACGAGCTGTAAGGTTGTGAGGCCCTTGTGCGGCCTTTTGCGAGGAGGGATTTGCCACCGTTTGTGGAACGGACGTAAGATACGGAGAGTTGGTATGAGGGGGCGTTGGAGGCGGAGACGGTGGTTGAAATTTTGCCGGACTTGGATGGGGATACTGTGTTGGAATCAAGGTGAATGCGCTCCGTAATTATCTGGAGAAACAGTCAGGTTCAGAGCACAACGTAAGGAGCGAAGGGATATGCTCACTCGTTTGGAGAACGTCTTTCGCTTCCCGACAAAGATGGTGGCGCCCTCGATGAAATAAGCGTACAGAGTTTGGGCGGCGGTCAGGATCATGTATCTGTCAGAGTACGAATGAGCACTCGGGTTCCCGAGACCAGGGCGAACACTCACACAACAAGTCCGATTGTTACAACAGGTTTCGACTTTTCGAAGTCGACCTTGTATCCGTAGAACGCTGTTCCTGCGGCCACGAATACACTTAGCCAGCCAAGTGCGAGCCGAACGTCCGTGTGTAGGTGGATTTGCTTGAACAACTCTGGTCGTGATAGATACTAAACGTTTCAAGTCCACGTTAGGTAGTCTGTTCAGAGGAGAGATAAGAAGTTCCACGTAGAGAAACTCACGCGCTTCACGGCATCATCACAGGCATTCTTCAGCTCTGTGGCATTGGCGTTGTTCACTTTCACAACGTCTCGACTTGAAGACGGCACAACAACAGACAGAGGGCCTGTAGGCCGTTCCGACTCTGGTGAAACTGACGATCTCGCGCGACTGCCCCCTGGACTGGATGTACGTGTTCGTCTTGTTATCCCTGGAGAGCTGTCGATGCCGAGCTGGTTCTTTGAGCGTGCCATTGAGGTTTTGGCGTTTTGGGGTGGTGATAGGTAGATATGTGGGGGATGTATTAGAAGATATTAAGAATGTGGAGGTGAAGCATGAAGTGGAAGTGAAAAGCACTGCAGCGCCGAGTGAGGGCGACTGTTTGGCTCCGCCTCCCAATTTCCACTCGACGTGTCCTGTTCGTGGCACGTGCATTTCCCACGCCCTGTCCATTCAACGCCCCTCGCTCCACGTTTTTACTTCCTCTTGACTTCCACTTTTTATGCGAGAATCCATCGAATAATGTCCACCAACTTTCTGGAGCAGATGGCGCTCTGAGAGGTGTCTCTTCTATCGTGTAAGAGTGCTTGGCAAACGCTGTCAGGAGGCGGGGACTCAGGGGATCCTCTTTACAAATTAAAAGTGATCGCGTGCCCTTTTCTATGGTCCAATTCTTGAATTTCTTCGCCCCCTTTCCCCTTTATAGATTTTAATGAACTTCTCCGACTTTCATCTTCAGAAACAGGTCTCGGGCTCTTTCGCTCCGCGCCTCCCTCTGTACCTGCTCGAGAAACGCCCTGGTGACTAGTTTCAATCGAGTCATTCTTAGATTCGACTAGTACTGCAAGCTATCGCTTTTTCCGAAAGTGTGGATTTCGTGTCAAGATCTAGACGCCCCATTTGTTCCGGCAGAATATCACTTTCTACCACCGTTTCAAATATTCGGGCCGTCGAGCTTGTCGTCGCCGATACTCGTGAGCTTCGACCAGTTTTTGCCGCTGAATATTTTTTGGTTCCCCAGGATTGGGATTGCGGCACGCCCTGCCTTGAAGAATCAGCGCGCTGACAATCCCGATGCGACGTATCGAAACGCCCGCCCAAGTCAAGATATTTTCACCCACACCCGCTCACCGAAATCCCCACGCGTTGTTAAGCTTTTCGGGACCCACCTTTCTTCTGATACTATCAAGGTAAATCGCACTACTTACAGCTAAATGCAAAACGATAGAGCTTTTCGCATAGCGTTCTTCTTCAGCAAGTTGTTTACACCAAACTGTGCCTTTACTGAGTTGGGACGAGTTCATGACCTTGCCGACCATGCCGAAGGTCTGCGTCGGCACCTCCCGACCTCAGCCAACGATGACCGTGCTGACGTCCACCCGGTGCCTTCCTTTCCCTGCTTTGAAACTAGAGAGGCACTACGCAAAACACAAAAGATATTGAATCTTGTAATTTCTGTCAGAATCCCCTGCTCGACAGGTGTTGAAGTGGTCGGTGGTAGGTGTTTGGTCTGGCCCCATCAAAGTCCAAATAGACGCACTGAACATGAACGCGAGGCGAAAAGCTCTATTGTTTTGCATTTAGCTGTATAGCTCTATACCCGGTCTGAATTCTCTCTCGTCCTTGTCGCGGTTGAGGCCAGATCCCGACGGAGGGTGAATTCGATTCGAATTCTAGGCAGTTGGTCATTGCAATTCAATTGCGATTTGCTAACGTCAACTGGCACAAGAATGCATGCTGAAAAAGTAAAAGAGAACAAGAGTCCGATATCACAGAGCGCCGGGCTGGAAGCTCTTCGTCCCTGCGTGGAAATGGAGGCTTTTCAATGAGGTAAGGCGCGCCGTTTGTGGTTCGTCATCAGTTCGAGAGTCTTGCAACTTGGGAACGCATCGTTCGGGCACGCCGCCACGGGCACGGGCATGAACGCGGAGCCTGTCCGCGTTGCACTCTCGCGACGCCGTGGGTCCTCGATTATTTTAAGTCTCCCAGGAACGTGACTGTGGCGCTCGAGATTTGTCAACACGCCGACCAACAGATTCTGTCTATAGATCTGCCAATTGTTAACGCGCTTTGGTCATGAAGCTTGAAGTCTGAAGCCTGAAGACTAACGCATGGATGTTTGTGGGTCCTTTTTTCATGCGAAGTTTAATTCATACTTGATAGACACGAGTGGTATCGGGGGAGATTAGCCAGCGCTGCGGCACTGCTTATACTGCATCGACTCGTCCAATTGTCTTTCGCAACCCAAAGCTGGACACGCGAGATCAAGCCCAATCCACACGCGCCCATACTGGGCGCCTTTCGACCACATGCACTTACGAAAGCCCTTCCATCGATAACAACATCAGCGCTGGATTTGGGGAATATCCGGATCCGACTGGAGATGGCGAAGGTTATTGTTCTTCTGCTCTTGACTGCCACCGAGACGATCTTGGGCTCTAAACCTCTCGGGATGCTCTTATTCCCAATTCGACCAAAATGCATATTAGCATCGTCCACTGGATCCCGAGTCGCAGTTTCTATGTCTTTGGGTTTCTTTCCAGGGTGCCAGCCCCATATAGACTCTGGAAACACTGACGTTCCTCCGAATCGAGTCACCTTCGTTGAAGATGCATCCACGAAATGGAAGGCTTACAGTACGTATCGCGCTTTCTTTTGCAGGTATAGACATTTGAAAATGATAATTTTATGGCCCTAGCATCTGGATTTGACGAATGATCGTCGGGATTCGCTTCTTGTTCCCAGATTCGATCTCTGGGATCCAAATGTGAAATCGCAAGAACATCAGTTTGCCTATCTGGGAGCCTCGTTGATTACATGTATACCGACTCTTCGCCTTCCTCTACGCCTCCATGCAGTTCGACCCCAGATGATCAGAGGACTGGAGCTCCTATGGCTGTTGTCCTTGTCTTCTTGACTCTCGAGCGCATCTTCTGGACGAGGACCATCAAACAAAACTACACAATCATCACCTTGAATACGACTGGCCAATCGACACGCGCATCAGTTGACAGTTGGCGCTATGTCTCCGTGCTGCTTCCACGACAGGGTCGCATGGATAGATCTTCGTCTGCGCACGGGGATATTACTCGAAAGGACGACGCTTCTGCAGAGGCACCGGCCAGACCAAAATGCGTCCCCGAGTCAGTTGTTTGGCCAGTTCCAATCATAGACCCAACCTCTTTACCACAGCACAATTATCGCGAGGCCTTTCCTTCTTTCATCCCGACTCTCATCTTTCCGCGCCCTCCCGTCTTGATCCTCCCTCCTGCGACCTGCTGCAACTCGCGCGTTTGCCTCGGCTTCACCGCATGCGACGGAACGGTGCGTCACTTCCGAAGTGCGAACGGACCCACCAATCAGGCCCTTACGCCTAATTTTACAGATATATCCCTTAATTTTGGATAATAATCAAGCGCGCATCGACGACACAGCTCAACAGCCCCGCGCTAAATGGATGCTCTACCCCTTCTCGACGTGCTCGCGTCGCCATCGGACGATCAGCACTGCTGTTGGGAATACCTAGAGCCCCCCGCACCGGCCCCTTCTCCCGATTTGTCCATCTCCAAGCTAGACCCCGAGTTGCTGGGGTACATCCTCTACCTCGCGTCATCGCCATTCACCTCGTCAGCACCTTCGCCTATGTCGCTCACGGACGTGGCGCGGTACTTGGCCCAGGTCAGCCGGCACTGGCGCGCCGTCGCGCTCAGGTACAAGACCATCTGGCTCGGCCCTGCGCTTGATTGGCGGGCCCCGTACCGCTGGGTTGGCGAGGTCCTGAGGCGATCAGACCCCCTTCCGTTGGAAGTCGTTATTCCGTTTGAGGCGACGGCGCGCGATCCCCTCGTCCTCTCTGTCGTGTTGATGCACATTGGACGCATAAGGGTTTTGGAGCTCGAGCTCTCGCCGTTGACCTGGTGGTTCGTGGCGGAGTCGAAACAGCTAGATCAGCGGGCGCCTTTGCTCGAGCGTCTAATTATCTCAGTGGATGTTGATGACACGCCTCGGAAAAGGGTACAGGTCGCCGAATCGCGCAACATCTTCGCAGCACACGCACCCCGCCTTCGTCATCTCCAAGTACACAACTGCATCATCGACCTCAGCCAGAAGATATTCGATGGATTGACCATCCTGGTTATCGATAACATGCAATTCATTCCGATACCCCAGCTTCTAAGTATGCTGAGGCATATGAAGCTCCTCGAAAAGCTCCATGTGACCCGCATAACAGAGAACGTCCTTTTACCCAGCAATTTCCCTCTCTCGCCCGACATCCTGGAGGTTCACTTGTTAAACTTATCGGAGCTGATGGTGAGGACGACTATGTCGGTTTGCGCGACTATGATGCGGGGGTTGGTACTGCCAGCTTCTTGCTCAATCGTGATCGACGCCCACAACGCATACCATGAAGGCCGGGACGTAACCGTCCTCCTACGACGCATGCAAGAGGTCCTCTCCACCTGGAAGTGCGATCCCCTCACCGGGCGTCAATCACTTTTGTTGGGTGCCTCGGAGATCGTATACACCCTCCAAGGACCGCGAGAAGATGGGAGGTGCCATCGGGACCATCCGTACATCAGTCTCTCACTCACATGGCACAAGCGCCAGACCCAATTCGAGACGTTGTGCAAGATATTCCCTTTGGTCGCGTATACCTTTTCGTTCTGTCTCATGGCCCCAGATGCAATCGGCCTCCTGGTGAGCGCCGATGTGCCGTGCGATGTGCGCAAGCTGCTCTCACACTGGCTGCGCACGAAGAAGGATGTACAGGCGGTCCACTTCCAAGGTCACCACACGTTTATCACATTCGAACCCCTCCTCCGAGCCAGGAGCGCCGACGATGACGACGTCGTTCTCCCCTACATGGGAGACATAACATTTGCCGGGGTGAACTTCGCTGATGACGCCCGCCGTTACTGGAGAAGGTTGCTCAAGATTCTCAAGTTCCGGGAACGTATGGGGTCCCCGATTCACGAGATAGATTTTGTTCACTGCGTCGGGGAGCTTGAGCAGCGGGAGGACATCGAACGACGGTTTGGGGTGATGGTGAAGATCAACGGGGAGGATCGTTCGACATGCAGCAGCGACGACAGCGACGAGTCTGACAGTGATGGTGAAGATTCTGATTATACCGTACAAGCGCTCTCGGATGTAGAGGATTTCTGATGCTTTCTATTTTTTCTTTTTTTCCTATGGGAGTTTGCATACCCAATATACCCTCAATTCGTTCTGTCTTCCATCCGACCTCACAGGTCGAGAAGTTCGCGAGCACGCTGCGAGCAGAAGCGCTAGTCGAAATGATTGCAATGTCCGTTATGTCGGGATATCCATTCACAGGCCAAGAAGGGAGCTTCTGACATATTTCCCCGCACGACCTCTGGAACGCTTAGCGCTTAGAGGTGGGATCTAGAAATTCGGGCACCGCCACTGCACCTGCCCGATATCAAGAAAACGTCAAGAATAAGATATCCCTGATGAGAAACAAGGGATGGCGCAGGCATGACCTATGACCGCCGGACCCAGGTTCCATTTTGTTGTCGTCTTCTTAGAAATCGTTGAGCTTGGGCAACGCGCGGAAGAATGGTGAAGAGCCCACAACGTCCAGAGTCGGTAAGCGCCGAGCATCCGGCCAATGATGAAAGCCCCCGAGCGGTGGGATCCGACAAGGCTCAAAATGCAACCACCACGACAATCAGCCCTTCTCAGCATGATCGTGAAGATCTGCGTACCGAACACCATGGACCAGCAAGGAATCCTCAAAGACACGGAAGTTACGACTCAAAGGTACGTCATTTCGCCACCATAACGTCCGAGTCGGAGAGAGGTTCCAATCTCCACGTCGTTAGATACACCTGCCGCCAGATTTCAAGCCATGGTTGACGGGAGACCCGTACCATCATTACATTCCGAAGAAAGAGGACCCATGGCAGGAATGCTTCAAACTGGTGCTGAAATTCGATGATGAGATGTGTCGAGGATGGAGGGAAGAGATTGACACGTTACTGGTTTTTGTAAGTCCGTGGCTCGTATCTGAGCGCCAATCGTTAACGTAACCGTGCTGGTGTTGTAGGCTGGTTTATTCTCAGCTGCAGTGACCGCTTTTACGGTTGAATCGTATCGTTGGCTTCAGGAAGATGCTGGCGACATTCAAGTCCAGCTCCTCCAGCGGATCTCATCGCAAGTGGGCTCTCTTCAGAGTAACCAAAGCCAACCAGCACTATCTGATACTTCTCTTTCTACATTTCTCCCTGAACCATCCTCTGTGCGGATCAATGTATGCTGGTTTACCAGCCTCACCCTTTCCCTCACCGCAGTCCTTGTCGGAATTCTTTGCAAGCAATGGTTACGAGAATACCAACGCTACGAAGGTCTTTCTGCACAAGATGCCCTCCCAGTCCGCCAACTCAGATATGAGGGTCTCCTGGGATGGCATGTCCCAAAAATACTCTCAGCCCTCCCTCTCTTACTTCAGGCTGCGCTCGTTCTTTTCCTCAGCGGTCTCTTGGATCTTCTGTGGACGATGAACACACAGGTTGCCTCAGTCGTAACCGCGGTAGTCGGAATCACCATGGTCTTCTTCATGGCGACGACAATCATCCCTTGCATCCAACATCTCGCCCACCTCTCGAGGGTCTGGACGGTGGGCGGCCGTGAGCCAGGACCTCAATGCGCCTTCAAGTCACCCCAAGCGTGGGCGTTCCACCTCCTGATAACAGAGGTATTTTCCCTTTATTCGAGCATCAAGCGGTCACTTTTCTACGGCACCGCTGCCAATTACCTTCAGGCTCAGCTCGATTCATGGCATTCTGACGACGCCAACTGGTTGACGTACGACCAGCGATGGCGAATCCACGGGCGCTTTATCGAGCGAGGGATCAACTGGTTCGACAAGACCTTTGCTCGGGGGAACAGCAATGTCGACGCCATCAACAACGTCTACCACTGCCTCGAATCGCTAGAACCGCACGTCTCTGCGGCGTGCGTCTCTCAGATCATCGACGAGAACTGGGACCCGCTCGTGCCGCTCGTGGGCCTCGTCCAACCTGCCCTGGAGAACTTCCAAATGCAACCCATGGCCGAAGATGTACCCGAAGCATTTTCCAATGACATGATTTTATCCAGCTATCTCGTCGTGCACCACAAAGCCGACAACCGCATCGCCTTCCGCTGCATGGAGCAATGTGCGAGGATGCTAAACTCCCCGGCGCTGAACACGGAGTTCACTGCCATAATTCTAGAAGTGCTCAAAGTAGTCACGTCCCCGACCTCAACGAGCCCGTCCGATTGTGAGCGCATCGTTATTTTCGTCGTCGTTTGGAAAGTTCCTAATCATATATCCATCTCTAAGTACTCGTCACACAGCTTCTAACGGCCTTCAAGAGGCTGTTCGCCTCAAATCTTCTTTCCATAGACGAAGTACCGACTTTCTGGTCCGTCGTCCTCAGGATGGCAAAGCAAAATGAGCTACCGGCGGGAAGGAGCCCCCTCCCTTTGACCTCAGTCCGCGCGCTGCTGAAACACGTCGAACGCTGGCTCGCGCGCGTCGTGGATTCTCCCCACCTCACGATCGCCGATAAGCAATACATCGTCACTCGTTGTTCTATAGGTATTTCGAGTATCCGCGGCATGCTTAACCCTCCGCCTGAAGATAATCAGCCTGACGTTGGAGAAGACGACTCGGATTTAGATGAACAAACTTTCTCCCTCTTCCAGGAGGTCCTTGATCGCATGCTGACATCATTAGGAGGGTCGTATTCGACACTGAAGCCTTGGGTTGGCTCGGAGAACTGGGGAAGGGCGACCCCAGGGCTATATTAAGCCACGGAAGTCGAGGAAGGAGTCGGATAGAACACACGACGTTCGTCTCTTCGTTTTACTATTGGGTGTACTAATTATACATAGGACAAAAGTGCATAAGTGAAAAATAAACGATAGTAGGCACGAGCCTCTTTTTCCGTTTGGGACTTCACAGGCGACGAGGGACCATCTAACCATCTAATTCCGACCAAAACGCCTCGGCAGGACTTGGACGCCCAAGTTTTCTAGACTTTCCATTTGCTTCTCCCCCATCCCAAAGCAGTTCCTCAGCCGCACTTCAAAAATAGGAGATGGTCTGGGAGACTCCTTCTCTACGTTGTCACTTGAGGCGACAGGCTTTCGGGAGCGGTAGTGGATGAAGGACAGTAAGGCCCAGTACTTGCTTCGACCTTGGCCGGCGGGGTCTCTAAAGTCGATCCCCACGAACCAGATCGACTCGAGGGCCGGAAGAAAATCCGACATATAGGTGTCGTCATCCTTGGGTTTCTCTAGCTGGAGCGATGGCAGGAAAAAGGGCAGGAGGAACGTAAATGTGCTCGAGGAAACACCGCCGAGTCTTTGTAAATTACTGAACGGTCTGAGAAATTTGCTGAGAATCGCTCCCTGCTTCGCGCCGTCGATAGGAACGCTGAAGGTGAGGTCCAAATTTGTCACGGTCCCACAGGACTTCGCTAAGGCAGCCGTTACCGCGCCGAATATGTCCTGTGGGTCGATCGGGCGGTCGTGGGCAGCGAACATCAACGGCACGTTCCAGCGCAAAGACAGTTCGAAGGGTGGGGCCTCTGAGCCACTGGACCGAACGATGAAAGAGTCGGAGGTAACGGCAACTTGAAGTTTATTTCCGATTTTGCGTGAATCGACCCAGGTTAGAAGGGAGTGGAAAGTCGGGCTGAGAGAGGAAAATCCACAACCTGCCAGATTGACTTCACATTCAGCTGGGACTACAATGGAGCTGAGTAAATGGTTGATATGATGAAGCGGGGCCTCGAGCTTGAGCCACTCGAGGTGAGGGAGATTAATCGGGGGACCTCTGTGTCGGAGCTCCTCGTTCTCGCTGTCGAGGTAGTACGCGCGTGTTAGAGTGGCACTCGCCAGCTCGAGTCTTCTGAGCGACTTCATCTTTCCCAGAACGTCGAGCCATGTGTCGGGATCAACAGCAACGTCAGTTGGCACGTCGTTGACCGTAAGTTCTTCCAGCTGGTAGAATGCTGGAGAACGGAATCGCGTCCCACACCCACGTAGATCGAGTGCGCGGAGCTTCCAGGGGGGCGGGTCGTCGCTGATGACGATTGGCGCGTGGAAGAGCAGCTCTTCAGGCAAACGTGGGGGTTCGGCCCCGACCCTAACGAGGGTCAAAGATTCTACGTTCGATAAATCCTGCATGAACGAATTAAGCCTTGACCATGCCCCCCCAGGAACTTTGAGGGCGACCTCTCGACAGCGGGATAGATGGTGGATGCATTGGAAGAGAAGGGTTTCGAGTTGAATGGTGCAGTCCCAACGCATAAGGAGGTCTCCGAGGCGAAGTCGAGGATGGGCGGCTTCTGGCACCCCGTTCTTCATAATACTCTCGGTAACGGAGGGAATTATCATGGTTATTTTGGACGGTACTGCACGTTTTATGACCTCGTCAATCCACAGCACCGGGTCTCCAAAGTCGACGGAAGCTGCCCATAGCTCGGGACAGTTAATGGAAACGCTTCGCCATCTGTGGCAGACCTGCGAAGTGTATCGCGCGGTACGACTTGGTTCATGAGGATTGTTGGGATCTTGCTCGATATTGAACGCGAATATTTTCAGCAGTAGTTCGTTTGGGAGGTCGGAGATTGTTAGAATTGGCGCTGTGGTTGGAGAATTCTTCAGAGGGCTGGGAGGGGGTGGGGATGTCTTCTTGGTTTTCCTCTTACTAGTTCTCGTTCCGGCGCCACTTTTCTTGCGCGTCGCCATAGTTTAATATTTCGCCAACGATCCTGCGATGTTCGCCGTCGGTTAATTGATACTTGAACGCGTCCAGCAAGATAGAACTCACTGCCAGAAGATCAGGAAAATCGGCGGTTTTGATTGTGTGTGCACCTGGAATTGGGAGAAGGGCTAGAAAAGGACAGTAGATGGTGGTTGAAGAGAGAAGCAGGCCTTGGCAGTGGCCCACGCATTGTGTGCCCCAATTATACTCCAGTGTTGGCCCTAGATTAGATAACGCAAGCGAGATCACGCATCACTCCGTTACGCCATTTGGGCAACTTCGAACTAAAAGTAGGTGGCACTTGCAACTTGAAGCCGGGTGGCCCGTTCGCACCCCAGCGATTGGCGAAGACTTGATGGCTTTTCGGGACCGTAATTGACGCGTTTTTTTCGAGAAGGTTGGCGTTGGGTGTGTTGGGCGCGGGTGGCGCTGACTTTGGTACGAGCTTGTTGCGGACGTGTTGAGAAAAAGCCATCGAGAATGACGTAGACGATGAGCAGCTTGTATAGCGGGACGTGTCCGCGTAAGTACTTATTGGCGCACCGTCTCGCACCGCCTGGAGTCGAGTGCACCTACATGATGTGTCACAAAAAAAATAAGTGGTTGGCATTGGGCAATGAAAATCGTCCGTACGGTAGAGTCCTCGAGATCTTCTGTCATGCACGCTAGAAATCAGTGGCTAGAAGCAGCTCTCTCGGGGTTGTGTCAAATTTGATGTACTCAATTAACTAGAGATGCAGAGATACACAGTGCGGAGTATAAGTATATGCTGTCGAGTTGCTAAAAAAGTATGTTAGTATTCATTATAAAGTCCGTTGTAGTAGGTTTCTACGGAGTCTCAAAGGGAGGTCTAGTGCAGTCCAAGAACAGATAAGGATTTACACAAATCATCCATGCACTTGGAAGGGAGCAAAGGAAGTAAAGGAAGCAAGAAGGAGGTCCATTCCCTTCCCAGTTGTGGATTGCTGGTAATATTCTGAATGTCCACATCGATGTATTGGTTGAGCGCACCAGCAACGACGACCACCTCCAATGTTGGCGAAGTTGTGACGACGAACTTCGACGGACAAAGGAAAAATGGGCCCAATAGCCCCACGCTTGCATTTCCAAGGACAGTTATGCGTTCCACTTTGCTGAATGGCTTCAGCAACGTTGTTAGCAGCTTTTCGTGGCCGGCGCCAGGAGGAGGGAGCAGGCTGTGGATAGTAATGTCGGCCGCATGTCGGAATGCAGTGCCCATATACCGGCAGGTGAACCACAGAAGGTCGTATGGGCCAACCGTCGGCCGCCCACCGGGAAGTCGACGTCGACTATGCACCCTCAATCGCGGGTCTGTAACCCACAGGAACTCGACGAAGAAATCCGATGTCTCCTGGTCGTCGTCATCCTCTGTCGGGGGCAAGGTCTTGATCCTGAGAGCGCCCTCTCGAACCTCGATCGCAATGCGGGGTCCCATCCCAACATCCCCTCTCACCATACCATCAGCAAACCAAAGGTCTCCCAGTGCCCGAACAACGTTGGGAAATTGGTTGATGTCATCGGCTGCCTCGCAGCTGACCTTGACGGCACACTGGGCCGGGAGTATGACCCATGCGAGCATTTGCCCGACTTGAGCAAGAGGCCCCACCAGGGTGAAGTGCTCGACGTTCTTCAACTCGATTTCCTGTCCGACCCGAGGGATCCTATTGCCAATTAGCCGGCGCGTAACACGCACCAACTCGAGCCTCTTGAGCCGCGGGAGGCGACTCGCCGTATGTAGCCACTCGACTGGGGTCAACTTGCTCTTGCGTGGCAAGTTGTGGAGGGCGAGGACTTCAAGATTGACGAGGGCATTCAAATTGGCGAATTGGACCCCACAGCCACGCAGGTCGAGAGACCGCAACTGCCACGGCACTACAGCCGACGAGATCTGGCGGTCGAGCGACTTGCAGAGCTCCGGGTGGGTTCGGAGTGTATAATGAAGACGCTGCTGCTGAGGGCGGTGCCGGACGCCGACGGACAAGTCTTTCAAGTGTGATACGTCGACGCGGAATAAAGCACGCATGCGTTTTGCTTGCGAGGCTTGGATGTTCAGTAAGACAGTCTTCGTCTGGGGTATAAGGTGGGGGATGAGTGTTGTTAAGACAGTCCTCGAGCCGTAGCACATCGGAGGGATCGAGGTGTTGTGAAGTATGACCGTGCCGTTACGAGTGTGGCTGAGGGTCGGGGTCGTAACCTTAACATGGTCTCCGAGGTACATATCCTCGAAGATCACCGGAAAGGCGATCATCTGTATGGGGCCGTGGACACATCGCTTGATTAGCTCTGAACAGAGCTCGTGGCTTGGAAAGGGGCAGGAGGCGGCGCAGTTCGTCCATAGCTGGGGATTATCGACTGCGATCTCGCGCCACCGACGGCAGACATGAGATGTGGCAAATGTTGTTCTGTATGGGCTGAAGGGGGCTTCGACGCTGTAGAAAGTGTTTTGGAGAAATATATGGATGAGGGTTTCGTAAGGAAGATCGTGAATTGTGGCCATAGTGCAATTCGTTGGTGTAAGGGAGGAATGGAGAATGTTGTGGCTTTCGGTCGTATAAATGAGGTATCTTGTTCAAACTTTATCCAATCCACAGAAAACAATTGTTAGATGTCACAGAGATACTAGCAGAGGAACAGACTTACGAGTCTCGTCCAGCCAAGAGGATGTAGTCTGAACGTGGTGAGAAATGGGCCAACTTCGAGATGGTGGAAGGAATCAACAACGTATGTGGCGGGCCATAGACCAAACAACACATTTTATAGTCAACAGCTTCAGAGCCACAATCTGCGGCAACTTCTAATTGGCCGGTTCGTTGCGCGATTGACGACTTGCGGTTCTATAGATTCGGCTCAAGACGTTTGTCGACGCGATGTTCTTGTAAATTTTGCTGCTCGTATCTTCATACATAGGCACTGCCGATACCTGCTGTCGACAAAGGTTCAGACCTCTTCATCGCATCCGTCCACAGACCCAGCTCGCCGCAAGAGAATGTCCATTGTTGTTGGCCCATCTATATTATCAGAAAGTAAGTCTTTTCTTTTCTTTTTCTTTTTGGTGGAGCCAAAGTCTTTTCTTCCTTGAACACCATTGCTGTCAGGCAGTTCTCGCATTAGAGTGACAGAATTAGATATTAATCACAGCTCTGAAGCGACAGCTAATGCTGACCAGGTAAGTGTATGTACGTGCAAGCAAAGCATTTATTCGGGACTTAGCGCGGTTGTAGCTGGTCCGCCTACGTGCAAGTTTGCAACTCCTCTGCAGTCACTTGCCAATCTTCGTCGAACACGGCCATTAGCGCGACAAATTAATCGATAAGGTACTTTCGCTTGAAGAATGAGCGAAGGTGGAATATTTGCCATACACCCAGGCCAGCGAGGGAGAGAATCGTGAACCAAGCAAATGATTGCACTCGTTGGTTTGTCGAGTCTATAACAAGGGTGTCGGAAGGAAAAATACAAAGGAGAGGAGAAACAAGCGTACAGTTGGTTGACGTGAATCTCTCTTCACGCTTCTTGAGGTAGTTCATTTCGTCAACAACCTCTTTTACGAGACCCTCAAGTTTCCGCATCTCAGTTTCCAGCCCTGATAGCGACTCCTGGTTGGCGATAGCGCTGAAATGATCATACAAGGTCAGGAAACTCACTCCATGCGAGCAGTAGGCGAGTTGACGTACTTGTAGTCAACGGCGTCAGCACCAATATCTATATCCAGGTCGATGACACGACTCAGTTTGGTGAGGTCGTCGTGTGATACATCTACAACCACACAGCAGATGGACACTTAACTTAAGCCTTCCAACAATCCATAAAGTAGAACAAGGACGAACCTCCGACAATGTAGTTCCTTAGACATACGCCGACCTCGCCTTCCGCATGTGTTGTGATAGCCAGTCGTGACTCGGCCTTGATGTCCCTCTTGCTCAAGTATACGTTCTTTGCAGGCCCTGAATCAACAATTTCGATGTCTACTCGCTGGTTCCGTCCGGCACCGACGTTCGCGGTGACGATAACGAGGGCGTTGGCGTGCGCAGCGTTCCAGATACATTTTTGAGGCGGGTAGCGGTAAGCTTGGAGGTTGAACTTGAGGGCCGTCGCCGAGTGAATTAAGGAGAGAAAGAGGAGAATAAATGGCAAAAGCGCGAAGGAGAATGGCCAGGACGCCATGAAGGTCGTAAAGCAAGTCGTGACTGAAGGTTTGTTGCAACGTGGAATGACCGGTTTTGGGAAATTCTAATCCAGGCGTCAACGTTTCAACACTACTGACCGGTAGACCAACCACCATGAACTCTCAAAAACTCGAAGAAGCTTGTATGGCTTTTATGAGGCCACCAAGCCATACTGATGAGCCATCCATTCCTCCACTGGTAGAAGGCAGTTCACCGATCGCCATTCTTCCACAAGATATCCTTTGGCTCATCTTCAGCTTCATCACGAAGACAATTAGGGATGAGCGATACCCGGCTTCATGGAACATCGAAAAGTTCCAATATTATTTGCGGAACACGAATCCGCGACATACAGACCGTGTACACCGACTCAATCCCATGGTCGTCCTCAAGCGGACCTCTCAAGTCTGTCGAAAGTGGCGCGAAATCCTTCTCAACGCTCCGTCCCTTTGGGCCCAAGTAATCGATATCACCGTTTTATCCTGGGCACCGCCGTGGTGGTGGGAAGAAGTTACACGGCGGACAGGAGACGCCCTGGTCTCGATACGAGGCAAGGCATTCGTGGAACCCAACGATCCGCTCTCCAGCATCATCCTCTCCTTCTTGGCTCAAAATTGGCATAGAATGCGCGAGGTGGAGGTGTCAGTACTTTGCAGAGACACGATCGAATTTGGAACAGAGTCGCAAGTCCTGTACAAGGCGGACGCACTCATTGGCGCCCAATCTTCTGCCCCATACCTTGAGAGCATATCCCTCGACCTCGCCCACTTGTATACCAGCTTCCCACTGGAGGCACCTTCCCTTCGCGAATTCCACTCTGCCCCCTACCCCCCCTTCAACCCGCAATCGCTTTGGATACCCCAACTTCGCGCCTTATCCCTCAATTTCAACCCTGCTCAAGATTGCCCTTCTCCGACCTTTACGTTGCTAGAGCTGTTCAATGCTTTAAAACGAATGACCGCCCTGAATTCTTTAAACCTTCAGGGTCTCGGATTCGGCAAACGTTCATTTCTCCCACTTGATGGACTCTTCCCCAACATTGTCCTCCCCAACCTGTCCAAGATACTAATTCAAGACGATCTCCAGACATGCATCTGCATTTTGAAGCACATCACCCCAAAGGACGGATGTAGCCTTCGACTGCGAGCCAAAGGCAACCATTCTCAAGAAAACATTATTTCCTTACTGCAGAACATTGTGGGACGCTATTCTCGCCATCACATTTTCGGAGAAGAGCTCGAGATTACATGCTGGAATTCTTTGCTTCGAATTTCCGATGGTCGGTTGGGCACTCCTTCGAGATTTCCTCTTCTATTCATCGACATATCCTGGGACCGCGACCCCGATGGTCCTGTTATGAACGCTGACCGTGCTATTCCGTTCCTCACAGGCATCCCTCTAAACGTCAATCGTGTCAAAACACTCCATTTACAGACAGCCTGGGATCCGACCAGCACCCTCGTCTCGCAAGACCGTCGTCTTTCTTTATTGTCCTTCTTTGGTCGTTTCAACTCTGTCGTGGAATTCAAATCTTCAGAACCCGAGCTCGTTCTTCTTTCTCGCCTTTCGGAGCATCACACGGAACCCCTCCTTCCCAAGCTCCAATCGATCCAGTTGTCCCCAGGATCTTCCGTCTCATCAGTGGAGTTCTACGACTCCTTCATCAAGTTTCGCAATGCAAGGAAGGACCAAGGGCTGGCGTTGATCAGCACCCTTGATCTCACTCCGAAAGGGTGCCTTCCAGGCGGGCAAAGCCATTTACCCAACATTGTCTGCCTGGACAGTCTGACGGGGCTCAAGGTCTTGTATGTAGACTGTGATGATTCATTCCTAAACGTTACAGTGCAAGAGTATATATGTGGGAGCGGGTCTCTCCCTACACCAGTGCTTTCGTAGGTTCACATTTGTACGTCATATCAACTATTTCCGACGATTTCAGCCTGGATGGGACGTCGGATTGTATATACTATCCTTGCTGTACTCGTTTATGTTACGAATGTATGCTCCTCGATTCAAGGCGGGGATTACTTGCATGAGGGATGCAGGTGCTGGTAAGGTTTCAATGGTTGCACGATTTCTAGTCTGGAGAGCCGTCGTCGCTACTTTGTATGCTCAACCTCAGGAAGAGACGTCCAGCACCGACAACCAACGAAATTATGGATCATACATACAATACAATAATTAAATTAAACGGTGGTCGTGCTTGAGATTACCTGCTTTTGCTCCAAACCTTACGTTGATAGTCTAGAATGATGGGTATAAAGTCGAAGAGGCCAAAATCAGGCCAGTATGTTGATGAAAACTGAAGCTGGGTATCTTCACAACACTAGGATGCGGTTAGCACATGGTCTAATACGACAAGGAGGTTGGTCTCACCTGCCAGAGCAGGAAGTCACTGAGGCGTTTCACCCCACTGGTCCGGACGAGGATATCCAGAGGCGGACTGCCGCCTAACGAGGTCATGAGTGCGGCGTCAATGTCCTTTTCCGAGATGCAGCTTGAAAGAGAGAACAATCTAAAGCCTGGTTGAATTAGAGCAGTCATCCGACTCACCAATCCTTCGACTCCCGGACGCACTTCTGGACTGCAGTGGTAATTTCGTCGCGGGAGGTGTAAGGCATGCACAGATTAAAAATAGCGCTATTGAGGGGGTTTGATAGAAAGACGCTTTACAGAACGGAGAATATACCGTGTGTTATGGGCCGTCATGCCTTCGGCTTTCGCTACAGCCGCTTGTACTGAAGCGGGAAGTAGCTCTTGTTTTCCGATAACATTCAGTCGAACACCGTATTCATCCAACAAATCGCTGGTTTGAAATGAGTAATACGTCCTGGAGTACATGGAAAATAAACACACCCGTGTCCGCATAGCTCAACCAGCTTTTCTTCGGCCATAGCCATCAACGCATTCACCTCTTCCTCAGACCGTTTGAAGTTCTCGATCGAGAAAGCGTACGCGGAAACGCAGCGAACATTCAGTCGCAAGCATGCTTCCAGCATCTGCAGAACAAAAACCACGTCAGAGACACGTAGTCGGAAAAGTCAACACGATACTCACGCGTCGCAATGCCACGAACCCATCGCTATGGCCTTGCTGGACGGCTTTGTGGTGCATCCTAGCATATCTTCGGTTCCCATCCATGACAAACGCGACATGTCGGGGTATCGGGCCAGCCGCGAGGACTTTAAGGATGAAATTGCGGGCTCTAGTGGTGATTTCGTTCTGCAGCCATGCCCATGGACGTTGCAGAAACATGGCAAAGGTGACCGTGGGGAAGTTCGAAGTCTGGTTGATCAGTTCTACCTTGCCAAGCGATTTAGCTTTCTTGACTACCACCTTCTTTCTGGAGCTCGATGTCTGTATTCCAACACCCTCAGGAATTTCGGAAAAATCTGCTGCGTTTTACATAGGCTACTGGATAATCCTCCTCAGCGACCATCGGACCAATGAGAACTTATGGATTCATCATATACGGACCCGGATAGCAAGAAGATGCTGTCCTTCTGGCAAAATGCGACGCAGCTCTGGGGTTCTGGGGTAGTACGGATCTGTTAATGATCCTTGATATCGCTAAATTGTCTCGGTAAGTAGCGTGTTTCGTACTCATTCCTTCCTCGTCACCTGCTATCGGTATAGAAGGTGTCGAACGTCGTTTGGACTTGGATGACTCCATGAACGACTTCACTCTCGTCCGAGGGCGCTTCAAGGTTTCTAGTTTCTCACGTCCCCTTTGACTTCAATTGCAGCGGGAGAACTCTTCGAGGACCGCATGTCTACGCTGGGGCAGGATCTTCTTTGACCTCGCAGTGCCCATCTATGACAACCTGCATTCGTCACTTCGCCCAACTCCAACGGTCTGTTGTGAGCTTTATTTTTGATTCGCATTCAATACGAGGGAAATGGCTCATTCAATGACGCCAGCATCTCGTTTCCCATGCTCCGCAAAGCGTGTTCTCCTCCCTGGCCTATCCAAAGTCTCGTATTTGAGAGATCGCACCTTCGCGAGTCCCGCTTGTTTTGCGGAAAGCCCCCTTGTGTCCGATATTATGCAACATCTGCGCTGATATAGTATCATCGGCGTCTCATTGGCTGAACGCCAAGTGATGTGGTATGTATTACCCATTCATCACTCTCTTCTCCTTGGAAAAACTCGATGAACTCAATAGGTTGGCCTTTTTTCTTGTCGTCGGCATCTTACTCTTGGGCCCCGACGGGAACGTGCCGGATACCACCTTTGAATCAACTTGACACTGTAGATATTCAATCCGTAGGCTCATCGAACTTCTCGCTGAGAGCGCCGTATTCGAAAGGTGCTCGTAAAAGGTATTGCCATTATCTCGGTAGATCGACATAAGTCTACAATTTGAACCATCTTCCGCGACTCCTCGAGACCTTTCCTGTCAATAGAGGTCATGCGTTTGTTAAGCTTGTTTCCAAGGTATTTATACCGACTGGAAATCCTTTGGGTGATTGTCTGCAGGACACAATGCTTCTCTCCTCCATCGCCTCACGTTTTATCAAAGCCAATCTTGTCGTTCTTGGGGTAGTTTGGGCGACCCTCATTCCAGACTTTTCGAATGCGGCCCCACACGCGAGCTGTACAAACCCCATAATCCGAAAGGAATGGTACGACCCATCTATCTGAACAACTCATTTTCGTCCGCTCATCCTTCGCAATTAGGAGAAACATGGATCATGCCACTCAGAAGTCCTACCTTGACGCTGTAAACTGCCTTCTGAAGAGGCCTACGCTCTATTCCAAGACTGTTGCCCCTGGCGCGGTAAATCGCTACGATGACTATGTGGCGATTCACATCCAGTCAGTGTACACAGCTCATGGCGTTGTACGTTTATTCCTTCGTGTTTAAACTATCGCTCGCTGAATATCATGCCTCTCAGGGACATTTCCTTGCCTGGCACAGGTACTACATTCATCACTATGAAAACGCTCTACGGACAGAGTGCGGTTATACTGGTGCGCAACCGTGAGTTCAAGAACGTAGTTTTCCCTGTCTCGCGAAATAATCGTCCTTGTAGGTACTGGGACTGGACCCTCGACGCGCCTTTGGGGAAGTATGGCCAGTCGCCGATCTGGGACGCCACCTACGGCTTCGGTGGGAATGGTCCCTACGTCGAAGTTCCTCGTGGCACGTTTGGCATGGTCGTCTCACCCACAGACCGCTCTGGGGGTGGATGCGTCCCAGACGGCCCTCTCAAAGACATGATCGTGAACTTGGGCCCGGGAAATAACCTGAATGCAAACCCGCGGTGCCTTGCACGCGACTGGAGTCCTAACTTTGCTGCCCAGAACTCGAACTGGAACGTCACGAAGCAGGTGCTCGAGCAGAACGACTTCGGAAGGTTCACTAGCATCCTGGAGAGTGGGACTGGGGCATTCATGAGCGGCGGCAACATCCATGCCGGCGGCCATTACAGCGTGGGTGGCTACCTTGGGCAGATGGGTGATTTTTGGGTTAGTCCTGGTGGTAAGCTCATAATTTGTTCGGAAGCTTCTGCTCCCGGTATTCACTTCAACCATTTTTAGACCCCGTGTTCTTCCTGCACCACACCAACCTCGACCGTGTCTGGCGCAGCTGGCAGGCCAAGGACCTGGCGAACCGTCTGAACGACATTTCGGGGCCGCTCAACTACATGGACTGGCAGAATGTCCGAGGTGGAAACACGACCTTGGATTACGAGTTCAACTTAGGCCCTCTCTCCGGCGACGTGGCCGTCAGGGATCTGATGGATATTAAGGGAGGGTTCCTCTGCTACGATTACGACGAGCTTTACCCAGTCTAAGTAACCTTTTCCATATGTACCCCGTCCTCATTACGACATATCATCTATAGCTACTACTTGTCTCTCCGATTATTATGACAGAATGACTAACTCGAATGAGATTTAAGCTTTTCCTCTACACCACGGGTTGGTTGTTCCCCATTGGGACCTCGCCGGTAATTTAGCTTCCTTCCTTCCTGTCCAACTGTTGCATTAAAAAATTGCCACAACACACGGACACCGCCACTTCTTGTGTATCTTCTACAGCTGATCTCGATAGACGACAGTGTCCTTTTCGACTGAGAGCGTCACGGTTATATGTTCCTGACGATCCGCATCGAGATGGAAATTATCCAGACAACTATCCAAGCTGTTGGATGTGACGTCTCATTCAGTTGCGAGCGATCTTCCGCTCGGTATTGCTCAGCTCGCCAAAGAGTATTATCTCGACATTTATGATATTCCTAGTGACCTTCGGAAGGAGAATGTGTTGCGAGCCCTTTACAGCTGCGATTGCGATGCTGCTGAAGATCTGGAGGATCGTATAGCTAACCAAGAAGTAGCAAGGGTTCTTGAAGACGTCGGTTTTCATTTACTCCTGGAGAGGCTACAGGGCCCAGACTTCGGAATCCAACGGCTGGTATCACACTTGGGATTCATCCGAAGCATAAGGTGGACCAGTCTTTCACCTGTAGTAGGCATTGCGCTCGCTTACACACTCTCCCTCCTGCATGGAATCGGCATCACAGTTAACCCTGCTAGCAGGGCCCATCCCAAAGCTTGAATTTATCCTCAACCAAGCCTCAACACAGACCATTCCTTCGCTCTGTCTTGATATAAGTCGACGAGATGGCTACCATACCCATCGAAAGGCACCTCAGCCAGCCGGAGCGTGGAAAGGAATCTCCATTTGGTAAATCCCCTGATTGGATGTTGTGGCGTCACGATCGGGGATTCGGCACGCGAGTCCCTGGACGATGCGATTTGCAGTATTTTCGGTTGCATAGATGGTGTGGACAACGGATATGCGCACATAGGCGTTGTGTATCCTGGAAGGTCGAACCCTTCGTCGCAGTGTATGCTTTCCAGATGGTGAGTAGGAAATCGGGAATGTGTAGATGCATACCCAGAAAAGCTGCCTCATCAACCGCCGAGGTAATCCCCAGAAGAAATGCGCAGAGAAAGTATCGTAGATTCGGCTTCACCATTCGCCTCAGCGAAGCCAGCTTTGTTCCACAGCCTTAGAATAAAGTCACCATGAATCTGTGAGATAGGCCGAAAGACCAGAGCGGCAGGCGCTCTTCGGGTCGGGGTCGGCAGTCATTCGGCCTGCTGATCCGATCAGTTAAAATCTCACGGTCTCTTGCGGGTGTATTGCTTCAGACGCTCATTGTCACTGAGGTTGTTACTCTTCTACTTGTTCATATACGCCATGGAATTGTGCCCTCGTAAAGTCTATGTTCAGCTCCATACCGGACATCGGACATACGGCTCCCAGTTACCTGTCCGGCGTCATGACTGCAGTTCCTCGTGCCCGACCGCGCCCACGTCTACCACACAATCGGCTTAAAGAAGGCCCCATATTCCTCTCAAATGCACACCGGCCAAGATGTGGGCGTCGTCGAGCCTTTCGCGAACCCTTCCCTTGGTGATACCCCATCTATCTACATTGCATATGATTGGACCGTTGTACCAACAGCACAGGTCGGATTGCAGCATCTTGATCACCCCTACATCCACAAAGCATCCACGAAGGGAGGATACTATGGCCCTATTTCGAAATCGAATGGGTAACGGCACGCTTTCGTTCAACCTCCCTGCCACTCAAGGTCTCCGAATCCTCCAAGCGGCTTAGGGCTCGAGATTCAGGAGCACAAGTACTAGCAAGGCTTTTCAGAGGGCACTGAATCGTCGACTCGATGCTATCCATGAAGCCAAAGGACGCTGTATCCGGACACCGAGCACAGCGGGACAGAACCAACCTCTGGCACCGCTCGTGACCCACTTACGGGAACTGCCTCATGGCGCGTTGACAGAAAATCCAGGGATCACTCCTCATGTCCGAGCAATATAAATTTCATCGAACTCTTTCGATCCACCACCCACCACCTCATAATCTTGCTGTCGGAATTTTCCTCTCAATAGCCATGGAGGACCCGTACGCTGCATATCGACCCCGCCATTCCACGCACTCTTCGATAGCAAGCTCCTCGAAGACTCTTCGTGAATCAGGGTACTATTACTCCTCAGAATCATATGCATTGTTGGGAATGCCATCGTCGGCAAAAACAGCCGACGGTATGAAGCCGTCGTTCAGCCCAGCGCCTTCAAGAAACGAGACACCTAGTCGGCCCAAGTGCGTAAATCTAATGGACGGCAGACAAATACATGCTAACAGGCGATGTCGGACAGGTGGCTGAGCCCATACTACTTGATCCCGACCACCGTCCTCGTCGTGCACACGCTTTTGCTCGTCTGCTCCTGGACATTTTTCTCGATTACGATCAGCAGGCCTGCAGCCTTATCTCCAGGAATCGCCCTCCATGTCCGGGATCATATCCAATCTGTGACGATGGTGGTTACCCTCGTCGCCTCGTTCATTTCGTTGGTCTCCACTGCGTAAGTGATATTTGTTCTGCACTCGCTCAACTGCTCATGCCCCTCTCGAAAGCCTATACACGAGGAGTATCCTCTACTCCCTTGCCAGATTTTTGGAAGGAGGCGTCTCTCTCTATACTATCGCATCGGCGACGAGGATAGCGGAGCCTTCGCCGCTCAAGGATTTTACACGGCCCACTTGGACTATTGCTGCTTTGTTACTTACATTGGCCGTTAATTCACAGACTGCCGGGTACGTTGTTGCCTATTTCCTCACTTATTTTTGCGAACTAATTTGTTATCAGATGGACGACTCTTCTGCTGCCGAAGCAGATCGAAATCACTTCCCCCATGACTGGCTTTGAACTGGACATGAAAAGCCCTGGATTCAAAAGACTTGTGGAGGATAACAAAGACATCATTAATGCTGGTAACCTCGAAAGTAACTCATCGCAAGACTTCCCTCTGACATCTTCTCAGATCTATTTTCCCGCGTTATACCCATAACCGAAGCCAGCGGCGGTACAGCCGTCAGTACCCACTTCAACTTGCCCAGTATTCTGAACTTCAACCACTTCTCCTGGACGAACTCTACACGTACATCGTGGTTCCTCCGTATAATAAGCGCCGAAAGCTGATCCATCATTCTGTTTTTAGTGGGCGTAATGCCGGTCGCGCTCGAAGAGATCGAAAGCAGCATCCTTTCTGTCCAGGGGGAGAATATCCCCGTGAACGTCAAGATACACCGAAAGGAAAACACACCGCGCGGATTCCCCGTTCGGTTTTCGATGACTCAACAAGGGTTTACAGCCCAAGTCAGCTGTCAACAGAGGAATTTAGATGCGAACACAAGGCCGAGCATAAGATTGAGGTCCCAACTCGACCGCCTGTTCGATTCGCCTGTGACCCTGGCCCAGTTGGAGGTTGTCTGCCCCACTGCGAGCAGCGCTACGTTCTCAGAACCCGTTCTGACCTCCACGAATGTCGATGCGCTGTTCGGAATCTCCTGTCCTGTCATCCAAATTAATGGGGGAAGGCGATGGGACCTCATCCTCGCAGGCTCTGGGATATACAGTGCGATCAAGACAACGGTATGCAGCGTCTGGCCGCTGCTCGATCTGGTCAATGTCGATTATGACGACAATACCTTCGTCTTCAATTCGTCATTCCCTAGTTTCATCAATGGATCAATACCTTGGTCCTATGATGAGGCGCCATGGATTGGAGACTTTGCACTGTCGGTGTTTCTGCGTGGTCTGCGTGTTGGGCAGAGTACGACGGGAAATTCGATGGGGGATACCGTGCTTACTTTCCTGTCTAGTGTCCAGAATGATCCCGACGCGCTCTCCCAGATCCTGGTGAGTACAGTTGCCGTCCCTTTAGCCCTGTACTGACGACACGCTGATAGGCAGAATACACGCGCGGTGTTTTGGAGCTCAGCGTGACGGTAAGCCAAAGTGTTCGAAAGCCTTTTCAAAAATTGGCTGAGTGATTTCTTCTAGATGCTCCGAATGGTATTCACGCAATACGGAAACGGGCTTTACCCGGGAGGAAGCAGCACGATCCCAGAGAGCATGCGACTGAACATCAACGGCACACATCGTGCAACGACCATCGGCTGGCACCAGGCCCGAGAGACAGCCGCAAGCGTTCTCATCGCTCCTACGTTTGTATCAGTTGTGTCTATCCTCATCATCGTCGCCACACTTGCCAGCAAAGGAAGGAATCGGGAGCCGGAGGCCAGTCATTATTTCGATCCTGGTGATATACTGCATATTATCAGCGCGTCTGCTGCTGGAGGTATGAAGACGGAGTTAACGCCCTATCATGAAGATACTGTGGAGAGTAGCGAGCATGTACAGATTAAACTCGTGCCAGTGGAAGGAGCGGAAAGTCGGCCGGGTTTCGTTAGTTGGGAGAATGCAAAGTAGACGAATTACGGTATGACGTCAAAGGCCAGTGTGTACTTGAGCTTCGGTGACTATTCATATACCTATATATATCATAATATACGGACTTGCGTTTCCATGATTAGTGGCCTACGACGAATGGACAATATGCGAAACAGTATCGGAATTTCTTCGATTCCTGGCATTTTGATAACGAGAAGAACGACGATTCCCAAACGATTCCAATTTGTAAATCCCGTGAGGTCTGAAGAGAAGAGTTCTTTTGCCCGGCAAAGGGCGTGTTTTTTTTCTGTATCCTCCAAGAGTCCAAGAGCTCGTTAAGCGCCAGTTCATTCGTGATTTGTGTTTGCCGAATGGCCAAGTCGCCCCCCGCAAATCGTGACGCTGCTTATTTTAAGCGGTTTGTAAGTGGAGCGTCTCGAGTTTGGTGCTCTTGCTTCTCAACCACCATGACATCTCTCTTTCATCACTTCCTACCACTACTGCGACTCAACCCGCCTGCTCTGCGTTGTGTACCCTCTGCCACCTGTGCCGCCCCCTGCTCGGACATAGTCAAATTCCGTTGACACACCATTCTAATTCCGCCGGGCTTGGCAGACCTTGGTACCTCCACGGAGCTCTCGTGGAGCGCTTTCTCCACAATCCTCTGGAGAAGGATCGCAGCAGGAGCAGAAAACAGAGCTTAAACGATTGCGACTGACATGCTTTGATATGGATGGATGGGAGTACAAATCCTGGACATCATCATTTTCCAGACGTTCAGGGTCCGTGCTGATGGACAGAAACACCACACGAAAGTCTTCCGAATTCGACCGATTCATCAGCAAATTTCCTGGACAACGACATCGGCAGTATGATTCAAATCATGTATGGGGAATTCCGGACCAGGAATGTCAAAATGGCTCTATGCAATCATGAATTCCCTAATTTTTGTGGATTGCTTGGCATTTTCTTGTTGTTTCGAGTGATTTTGGGCGATATGAACCCAACACTGACAACCCCCGCTTTCACCCCTTCCCCTCGCCGTTCCAGTTACATTTCTCCTAGCTCTCACCTCTCCGCTCGTTTTACCCTCACTACAGGACTCTGGCGCTCGCGCCCATTATCCTTATTAGCCCCCTGCGCCCCCTCCTATTACATTTGCCGTAATGAATCGACCACGAAATGGCCCTTTCCCAAGCCAGAATCCGTCAACCACGAGCCTTTTACCAAACAACAATCGACCCTCTGTGGCAAGCAACGCGTTTAGCAACACCGACAAAGGCATGCGAGCATCGACGGGTCATCCTGTGAGTGCTTGTCTTCTTTCCATCACTTTTTTCGCTAAACGATGGCTCGCTCCACAGCCCTCTCTGTCGGACAAGGTATCTATCTCATGGGTCCTCCACGACTTCCAACAGAGGTCTTATCACGTTTCATGATTCTAGTACTCGCTCTCTCCTTCTCCGGCGTCATGGGGCATGCCGTTGCATATGTCCGTGAGTGAGCCCGACGACTTCCTCCACAACCCCGATCCCCGTCGCGATAGAAGCAATGATAGAGGGGGAAACATCTTTACCATGCGTGGCCTGGCGAATCTAGGGTGTCTTTCACTCCTAATCCTCGCATTAGTGATGCTTTTGTGCGTTTTCTCTCCTGTCAACGTTGATCTTAGCTGACTCCACCTAGTGCTGGTATGTTCGACGTCATCGTCAAGGGCCCTTCATCCCTTACTGAAACTCAACTTGGAAGGCTATCCATTACTAACCCACTTCACGGAAAAGCAACCGACGACCCAAGGCGGATTTAACCTCGGAGGAATCAACGCTTCAGGACAGATACCTGACCTTCCAGGCAACTTCGAGCTTATCGATAGGGATACGCCTAAGTCAGCCTATACCTACAAGTCTTACATGGATGATGAGGAGCTGGTCCTCGTTTTCTCCGACGAGTTCAACCAGGAAGGACGGTCTTTCTATCCTGGTGACGATCCGTTTTGGGAGGCCGTTGACCTGCATTACTGGGGTACTGTGAGTTCTTTCTGCAGCTTCTCTAACCGTATTCTCAAAGCTGTGGATAGCACGACTTGGAGTGGTATGACCCAAGTCAAGGTATGTTTTCCTGACGTTCTTCGTGACGACCCCTTATCAACTATCGGCTCAGCGTCGACGAAGGACGGCTACCTGCAACTGAGACTGGACCGAATCGATGACATCTCTCAAAACCATAATATGAGTTATCGGTCTGGCATGGTATGTCTATGCCCACGCGTTGATAACCTTTTGCTGACGTATCGCAGATTCAAACCTGGTAACACTTGATCGTTCGCCCCTCTGCGACCGCTGCCTGATATGCCTTCCTTCTCCCAGGAACAAGTTCTGTTTCACTGGCGGTCTGCTTCTCGGTGCGTCGTGACCGATACTAGCGACAAGCATTGAGCTCATATTATATCACAGCTAACGTTCAGCTGCCCGGCTCGAGCGATGTTAGGTGAGTTTTGTGTCTTCTCTCGATTTCAACTATGGGGGCGCTAATAGTATGATGCAGTGGCTTCTGGCCTGCCGTGTAAGATTGTTTTTATTTATCTACCGAATATCCTCGTTGACCCGTTTCGCCTTGAAAGCTGGAGTATGGGTAACCTAGGTAAGTGCTCATATTACTCCTCTTTTTTTGCTGGCAATAATGGTTCTCTCTCTCCTACAGGACGAGCTGGATTCGGTGCAAGTGTCGAGGGCCTGGTTCGTCGGCTTTGTTCATCATACCGGCGGCCTAAATCTCACATACTTCACAGTGGCCTTACAGCTATGAAGCCTGTGACGTCGGCACCCTTCCCAATCAGACCTACCCTGGAGAGAGGCGTCCAGCAGCAGCCCTGGTCAATGGCGACGGACAAGCGAATGGCGAGCTAGTGAGCCCTCAGGAAATGCCTTATCTTGCTTATTTGACCACCGACTTCTAGTCTTACTTGCCCGGCCAACGCCTTTGTGGGTTTTCATCCCCTGTCACTCGTGCCGCGATGCTCATTGCGTCTGCATAGCTGCCTGCACGTGCCCTGGCGAGTCGCATCCTGGCCCCGTCCGCAAGAACGGCGAGTACGTCGGTCGTGCCGCGCCTGAAATTGATGTTTTGGAAGCCACTGTCACCGACGGCACTGGTCATGTCTCGCTCTCAGCTCAGTTTGCGCCTTTCAACGTAGGTTCACCATTTGCTTTCCTGCTGAACTTCTTCGCTCAATATTTACAGGCTGGCTATAACTACGTGTTCAATAATGACACCGCTAAGATCTATGATCCTGCTCGAACTACGAAGAACACTTACCTGGGAGGTTCGTCCATCTGTTAAATAATCTGGTTTGGCAGGAATTGATGTCGGCGATAGGTCGCTACCAACAAACAACAAGTGGTCTTGGTTTGACGAATCCTGACTGCTACCAATACCCTGGCACATGTCTTGCCCTCTTTGGATTCGAGTATAAGCCTGGGTGGGTCTCCTTCGCGCTACTATTTTGTTCAGTCTCTGAGTAAATTGCAGCTTCGACGACGCCTATATCACCTGGATCAACGAAGTCGCTGCCTGGACCGTTTACTCATCGGCACTGGTAGCTGATCCCTTGGTTGAAATTGACAAACGCCCGATCCCGAAGGAACCTATGGTGCGTTTGCAGTGGTGCCTCCGTCGAGGCGTAGGCTAATTAACGTCGGCAGTATATTATCACCAATTTGGGCATGTCAGAAGGCTTCGGCGACGTCGATGTTGCGAATCTGCGGTTCCCTGGTATAATGCTGGTGGACTATATCCGAGTATATCAACGCAAGGGAGAGATCAACATCGGCTGCGACCCTCCAGAGTTCCCTACTGCCAAGTATATCGAGACGTCAGTTATCTTCTTTTCATGTTTTGGGGCTGTGTTTGCTCAATGCACGATGTTAAGGTACAAGGAGGCGTACACGAACAACAATCTCACAATCTGGTCCCAGTACGGCGAGCCGTGGCCCAAGAACAGGCTGATGCCTGGCGGCTGCGACTAGATGGCATTTTTTACCACCGCCATCCAACAGCAGTGTATAACCGATTATTCTTATTTTCCAGATTATGGTGTACAACCTGGGGTTGTTGGCAACTTTGTTGTTCATTTGGGTATCGTGTCGTTGTCCTTGCCCAACTTGTTGTGTTAAATTTTCGTCGTGTAAGCATACAGTTACTACATCGCTATACCTTGACATCTCTGTTACATATACATACCACGTAGCCACTCTTTGTTGCAGTAGGAACAGGCTCTGAAATTGACTCTTCATCTAAGTAATTGACTTTGATCACGTTTGAAATTTGAATTTGAGCGCTGAGCGCTTGAGCCTTCTGTGGCTTTCTTCCTTACGTAATTCGAACCTTTGTTCGTGTGGACCTGCGTCTCGTTCGCTTGTAAAGTCACCAACCACCATGGACGTCGTAAGTCGCATATGTCGCCCATGCCGTCGCACCTCGCTCATAGAAACATACAGGACGCCTCCGAACCAGCGCATAACTCGACCTATATCAGCTTTTTCGATGTCTCGCCGAGCAACTTCCCGTGGCAAGAACCGCGTCCAGAACAGATTCGCCTTCGTCGGGCAGCGCTGGACGACACGCTCATATTCGATATTCTCCTGCACTCAGGCGGTATCAGCGAAACGTACTCGCTTTATCCACCAGTAAATCCGCACAACCTTCAAGAACTGTTGGACACCATCGAGTCCTCGCACTATGACGTCTTGAAGAAGGATTGCTTGGTCTACTTCCTCCTCAAATGGTATCAGGATGGCAGGGAAAGGAACTTCCAGGAGCAGCGGTGCATACCTCCCCAGTTCGCTTCATTGGCAGACGCGTATTGGCATCTTGACACGGGCATAAATGTCCCGGTAAGTGTTGGCTTTCGGCCTGTGCAGTGTAACAAGAACCCTTATTTTGCGCGCTCTAGCGTGCTATTGCCATTCTTTCGGACGCTAGACTTAACAGAGATTATGCCTCAAAAATCATTCGTGCCATTTCTACCTCCCCAGACTCATCGACCTTGGTCAGGCGATATATTCAAACCGCAAAGCCTCTCCTCGTCGAACCTTTCGACATTGAATGCTACGCAGTGGCCCTGGCAGATTCCAGCATACTGGAAGCGTGGCAATTTTCTCGTACCTTCAACGACACTGATGGTATGCGCACACGGTTGTTCAGAAAGTTGCTGGAGTGGTCTGTCACGCGTACGTTATGTTTGTCTTCTCCGTCATCCTCCTCTACTCATCCCGTTTCAACAGCCAAGCCACGACCTCTTGCCCTCAGTCAACTCCTAGCTTTGCCCTTGTCGACCTTCGAAGAAGACATTCTCAATGATTTTGTTCGAAAGCCCCCTTCCGACCTTCCTTTCTCCTCAGTGGCTATCCTCCAAGATCTGATCTGTGTTCGCCTTATTCAAGGCAGTCGCTACGCTGAAGCAATTAAACTTGACCGTCAATTTACTTCCACGACCAACCCTAGGAATATCAAAGACACCCGCGATAGATCAAAAATGGTTCAGGACGTCTACGCTGCCCTTCCATCAGTCGAACGCGCTTTGGTTGACTTGGATCTCAATCCCACTTCTGCCAGATCCAGGCAGGAGCCCCTTGCCCCAAAACCTGTTTCGCCGGAAACCAGACGAACCTCAGGTCAAGGGATTCAAGACACGTCTCTCTCGCAATCATGGGAAGAAGTTCGCGTCCCAGAAGCTCTTGTCAACAAATCCACGCCCTTGAAAGACGTTCGTGTGCCCGCGTCTACACCTCGATTCACCGATCCTTTGCAGACGTCGACGGCGACCCCAGTACCCGCACCCATTCTTCCTATTAATTTCAACGGCATCGCGAGCGGAAGCAAATCCACACCAAGAAAGAGTGTTCCTCTTAGTGCCTCGGTATTAAGCTCGGCAAGGCCAAGACCCTCTTTAAGCGGAGTTGGAGCCCACATGTCGTTCGGTACTCCTTCAGCCATTGCCTCTCCGGCGAGTGGTTTGAAGCTACCCCCTCAAAATGGTACGCCCACTCAAGGCCATGGACACACCTTCGTCTCGGCTTCTCGGCAACAAAACGCCTTCTACCAACCCCCGCCCGTCAAAACAAATGGTGTGAAGAGAGCTTTCGAGGATGACAGTACGAATCGTAGCCCTGAACGCGTCGATACCATGCACACGGTCGACGCGGATATGGAGACTGAGAAAGAGGATAACAGCTTCGAGAAACCCTCAAGTAGGCGTGGCAGGAAGAGCAATGTCACTGAACGAGGCGGTGATGATGACGACAACAACATCCTTCAATATTCCGTGTTTGGTGCCAAGGAGAAACGAGCATCTCCACAATTCGCGTCGAAAGCGTCATCTAAGAAAGCTGGGAAGAAGGCCCCGCCAGGCACGTTTGGTTCGGAGGACGAGGATAACGCAGAAGAGGACCGAGAGCAACACGAGGCAGAGCCGCAGAGAACCTCAGCTCGCTCTCGTACCTCCACCTCAAGGAGCACACGCGGGAGCAGGGCACATACAGTTACGAAACCGCCTGCGAAGAAGGCCCGTCAGGTGAAGGAGAAGAATCTTGGCAGGAGCATACCTGGGGCTCTCATGGACGATGATGACGAAGAGGACCACGATCCTGTGCAAGACGAGGAGGAAGATCGGGTTGCTCCGCTTCGTGCACCGTCGCCACCTCCTGTTACCCGGCGTCCGGCGCGGAAAGCTCGCTCGTCGGCGAGCGTCATCTCGGATGAAGGCGAGGGCAGGCAGACGAGGAGACGGTCCTCAAGGTTGACAACGGGTGGAAGTAGTGCGAGTGTCGTTGGTGGCTCTCCTGAGCCGCCTGCGAAGACGAGGAAGACAAAGACGACTGCAGGGAGGAAGAAGCGGTAGATCTTCAGTTCGTGTCACTGGTCTGTAGAGACCCACCTACATTTATGGCTTTTTGTTTTCATTACATTGATCGTCCATGCTTCAGAATTCTAGACCTTGAACCTCTCCACACTTTCATTGACGGAGAGCCTGCCCGCAGGGCCCTCTTCTTTTCATGCCTCGAGGCCTGAATGGCTTCTCTTGTTGTCTTCATTCTGAGCACCTACTACTTCTCGCCTGTCAATGTCAATAACGATTTGGGCGGTTGTTCCGTCATTGACAAATCCCGATTGACAGGCATGAAGATGCGTGAGCATCGATCCTTGAAGCTTGACTAGGACTGCCTGCGTCCCTCCCGGCCGTTGATTCGTCTAGGTCTTTGTGCTGTTGACTTTGAACTTCAGTGAGCGTTCACTTTTCTGCTTCTTTCTAACTGCACGTCGTCTCGCAGTTCAGGAGGACTTGAACTTCAGGGGGCAACATTTCTTTATGCGTGACTGGGCGTACAGCATTTCTTGGCCTTCAGCCCCGAGCCCAGACGGTTTGTAAACAAGCCAAGCAATTGCCTACCGAATGGCTTTCATCGACGATCGCGGCATATAAGGGGTCAAGTTCGCGGTCAACAATGCCCTTTCGCTTTCCAACTCCCCGATCGTCTGAGAAATGCTCTCGTTAGGCAGTCTGTCTACTGTGGCGCTTCTGCTGCATGCGTATACCACGAGCTGTCATGCACAGTCATTTAACCTCGCAAAGGATTACTCTGGGTCCTCTTTTTTCGATGAATGGGACTTTTACGGACATTGGGATAACCTCACTCTTGGTGCGTAGAAGTCTCTTCCTTTTTCTCTTCTCCGATGTGTTCAACCCAAAGCTACAGGCGATATAAACTGGGTCACTAGAGAGAATGCGACTGCAAAACAACTTGCCTACGTGAACGATGCTGGCAGGGCTGTTCTCAGAGTCGACACAAACCCGGTTGTGTGGAACGAGAAGCGTGATACCGTCCGAATCACGTCCCAGAGAGAATATGACCTTGGTACCATCTGGGTCGCAGACATTGCCCATATGCCCTTCGGTTGCTCTGTGAGTCAGTTTTGCCTCGAACACACCGGGGAACTCAGATGGAATCCCTATTGCCGTAGGTCTGGCCTGCTCTCTGGACCAAGGGACATACCTGGCCGGATGATGGCGAAATCGAGTTCGTGATTTAGTCCCTCCTTTTCCCTCCTAGCCACTTCTAATCGAGCCTTCGCTCTTCTAGCATCATCGAAGGCATCAACCTCAACCAAAATAACCAAATCGCGCTCCACACCCACTGGGATCCTCCGTGCACGCACGTCGACCCACCTCCAGCAAACCAACGCGGAACATCTGGCAACCTAAACTGCTCATCAGCTGCGGGATGCACTGTCCTCGAAACTGCTCCGAACAGCATCGGAGCTGGCTTCAATAGCGCGGGTGGAGGAGTTTATGCTACACAGTATGATGTTACTGGGTAGGTTTGTTTTCGACACTTTTTTGGAAGGCTGTTTGCTCATTCTTCTATCAGGATTTAGTGAGTGATAGCCCTTTTTTCGTAGTATTCGACATTTTTAAAGACAATTCTCTATCTGGGCTCCTAGCATTTGGTTCTGGAGTGTATGCTACCTTTCTTTCTCTAGCAGAATATTTCTTGCTAACCACTCTATTTAGAGGCCCAACATTCCACAATCCATCCTCTCCACAACATCGACATCTGGTCTCTCCTCGCTGGCCGATTGGGGCCCACCGACAGCCGCTTATCCCGCCGGCACGCACTGTGACATTGCGAGGTCATTCTCGCCTCAAAGCATTGTCGTTACCATCACACTTTGTGGACAATGGTAGGTGATTTCTTCCGTTCCCTTCGTCTTGTCTGATCGCCTTGTTGTAGGGCCGGGAACCCGGAATTCTACACGCCCCAATGCGGTGGTCAAGGCCCTACAGGTATTTGCGTGAGTACATCTTCTTTCTTTTAGTATGTGTTAGCTGAAGTGGGCTTAACCTTACAGTATGACGACAACGTCGTCGGTGACGGCAGTAACTACAATGAGGCCTACTTCGAGATAAACTACATCCGCGCATATTCCGACCCAAACGCAACGCCGAACACGGTCACTCGCACCTCTACTAGCACAGGCACCACCACCACTAGACCCTCTACTACGGCTACCACCACCGCAGGAGGCTCGACTGGAGGTGGAACTGGTGCTGCAACTACCAACTTAGCCTCTTTGTCCTTGATTTGGATGGGCACTGCACTGATTGGAGGCTTGTTGGCTGCTGTCCTTTAAAAGTGGAGAAATTCACGATGCGTATCTATACCCAGGGAGGGACCTTTAGGACTACTTAGGACAAGAACTTAGATGATCCCGGGACGAGTGGCAAAGACTATCACGTTTCACTTTTACTTTCAATTGTAGGCTGCCAATGTACCTACCTGCCGTCAGTTATTTCGTTTATGAGAGGTTACTCTTTGTCTTTCTCGCCCTCTAGGAAGAGCTCTGCGTCGCGTTCCTGCTGACGCTGATCCCATATTGTAATATCTCCAAAGCAGCTGTCGTCCAGTGCAAACGATTGTTCATCGGAATTCAGGTCTCCAGTCCACGCAAAGCTGTCTTCCCAAACGCGCCTCCGTGCGATCTGGACAGATTCGTCAAACCAACCGCGGGTTCCAGTGCAATCGACTGGGAGTTCGTCGGAAGAGTGGAGTCCATCCAAAGGCAGAATGTTGGCATAGAACATTGCATACGAATACGAGTGTCGTAGCGTACATCTGGATTCGGATCCTTGGATTTGCTCCAGTAAGCAGCTGGTCGAATTTCTTGTGTACAGCCTCCGGTGCACCATCGGAAAGGGTGTATATTCCTTTGACAGGCCGCTGAGGTTACTAAGTACAAAGAATGGCCAATTAATGATAAATGATACTCACTGTTCCAACTTCCAGGAAAACAGAAATTTTCAACGCTGCGCGGAAATGTGTAAGTAGATGGAAAATTTCAGGATCGCATTGGATGCATTTTGAGTGTCGAAAGCTCGAAGTGGAAGGATGTGTCATTTTTGAGAGTTAACGGAGCAGCTATGAATGAGCGGCGGCCATCCCGTGTTTGCGAAATGAATAGAACAACTGCAGGTCGGAAAGGACTTCGAAATTTGGGCGAATCCAACGATGGGTCGGCCCAGTAAGTCGTGTTGTCGGCTTTTAGCGAAAGACCTTCGACTGAGGTGCGCGAATCAACCTGGACAAGTAAGAGTTGTCCAGGCTTTACTGGGCAATCTTTCGATTGTGTTGTATTGGGTGTGAGTGTCTCTGCCAAAGGATGAACAAAGAGTTATACCCATAAAACAGAGTACCAACCAATCGTATTCACTTCGATAATGTTTCCCTCTCCCTTTCCAAACTCCTTGAATCTGGTTTGGAAACTCGCATAATCAATATCTTCGTTGAATGCGAGTCCGTCTAAGAACTCGCCGAATAATGGGGGACGGCCTTGACAAAGCCGGCTACTGACCAGGCCAACAGTTTTGCTCTGATGTGAACAATACGGCCGATGGAAGTACCAGCGTTGCACAATTTACGCCACGGCGGATCTCCGCGACAAAGGAAGAGAAGGATGTTGGCGAGAGGTTCCAAATCGTCTCTGGGGTTGAGATCTGAGCGATTTAGTACTATGCTACGGATTCTGAGTAAAGAAATATAGCATACCTATGCCGTTAAATGCATTCAAACTTGCCCAAGACAATGTTACGATGATGTTTACCCGTTCTTTGACGAGGTTACGCTGGCGCGGAAGACCGGACGAGCAATGCCAAAGTCGATGATAACAATCTGGGATGGGTGGCCATCCTTCCGAAATAAAATATTGGCCGGCTTGATATCTCGATGGACGATACCATGCGCGTAGATATACTCGAGGGCGGAGAGCTATAAGGCTGGCGCCGTCAGATTCAGCCATCTTGGATGATATTCAATGTATTTACCATTTGTACCGCAACATCGGCAATCGCTCGAATCTTTATCCTTTGCGCTGGTTTCTTCAGGTCTCCAAGGCTTGAGCCGAGGGTTTCGATGGCCAAGTATTCAAAGTGATCATCCCGACCATGCGCACAAAGTTTTGAGACGGAGGGGTGCCCTTGAAGAGAGCTGAGAACGAGAGCTTCATATCTCAGAACAGTGCGTCACAGTCTTGAGGACGCTCGGGACTTCTTGACCGCGCATACAGCTGCATTAAACGCATCATATCCTTTGAAGACGTGACTCTAGAGGGTCTATCCTTAGCATCAAGTTGAACTTTAGGTTATGGGCACTCACAAATGCGCCAGATCCGATCCTTGCTTTCAGTCGAGATGCTAGCCCTTTTGGTGTCATTGGAGGTTCAAGCAAGGTTCAAGAGTACTCTCGACGGTCGACATGCCTCATATCTCCATGGATCATGGCCAGCCCAAGTTCCAACCTGAACTCCTGAGGCCTGACGCGCTCTACACCGGGTTCCAATTCAGGGGCTCGGAGCTGCAGCGATGCCTGCTTCCACTTTGAGTCCTGACATTGCACCTTCATCTTGATAAGGGTGGCCGGCATCTCCAGGCGGTGAATGGGCGGCTAGAGAAGTGTAAGTACCTGCCAGAAGGACTAGAAGCCGGCTATATTTAGACGGGAGGCCAGCCACGTGATATCCCGCTCGGCGTTTGCCGGCTACTGGAGGGTAACGGACCGCGGTGCTCGAATTTTGGCTGGGATGAACCAACAGAACCATAAGAGGCTCATTTCATGAGGACTCGTAATAAGCGGCAAAGCTACTTAACACGATGGCGTCGAGCGAAGAGTGACAATGGACTGTAGACTACTGTCAACACACGCCGCTCTCGCCACCCGATGGGGATCTCCTGGTGATTTGACGTAACCCCAGCGCTGCATTCATAGGAACTACCAGCCATTGGCACTTCGCAAGACACTCGCTCATTCTAGAGATTCATGCTTAATCTATGGACTGCTAGCGCTGCCTGCTATCAAACCGCGCTGCAAACCTCAGAATGGAGGGAGGACAACGTAATAACCTCCGACTTTACGCTCTTTGATGAGGCCAGGATTATAAAAACCCTGGTGTGCCTCCCATTTCAGCACCAGCTTGCTTTCCTTTACCCTCTTTTATTATCCGCCAACTTCACTGCCTATTCAACGAGGTATCATGCCGATAGTACCCCAAGGTGGAAAAGTCCTGGTATCAGGCGCGAACGGTTACATCGCTATGTGGACCGTGAAAATGCTGCTTGAGCGGGGATACCGCGTTCGAGGAACGGTCCGTTCGGAAAACAAGGGCAGGTTCCTGAACGACTACTTTGCCAAGCTCGGACATGGCGACGCATTTGAGTTCGCAATTGTCGAAGATTTCCTTGAGGTATGTGTTGATTTTATTCGTAAATATTTCCGATTGACGAGGGGATACAGGATGACGCGTTCGACGAAGTGATCAAAGACGTGGATGCTATTGCTCATATGGCATCCCCAGTCCACTCGAAACCCAGCGACCCAGACGGCGAGTGGCACTGTATTCACAGCCCCTTTTAAAGTTGCATCTCATCTGACCGCGTGCAGAGATCTTGAAACCCGCCGTTCGAGGAACAATTGGCATACTCAAAAGCGCCTTGAAGAATGCGTTCGTTTTTTTCTCTCTTGGTTGGACTTTTTCTAACCTTCGACACATAGCTCCAGAGTCAGACGCATCGTAGTCACGTCTTCCACTGCGACCATCATCACTCCGGACCTAACTGCGGCTAGGGTGTTCAGCGAGGAGGACTGGAACGAAGCGTGTCCCAAAGAAGTCAAAGAGCTAGGTGCAAAAGCGCGGGGTGTCTCCATCTATCGCGCATCCAAGGTGCTCGCGGAAAGGGGTAAGTGAGAAGCTTTTGTTATCGTGGTTCTTCAGTGATCCATCAACAACCCGTTCTGTAGCCGCGTGGGATTTCTACAAACAGCACAAGTCACAAATTCAATGGGATTTGACTGTTATAAACCCTCCATTCGTGTGTCAATCTTCTAGTTGCAGGCCCTATAAACCTTCTAACAATACGATTTAGGTGTTCGGAGTAATTGTCGATTCTCACCTAGTGTCATCGTTGCCTCATCTAGCCCCATTATTGTAGCCCCCCATCCACGATGTCAGATCGCCCAAGTCCCTGAATCTCTCCCTCCTGGCGTGGTACCAAAGGCTCGTCTCCGAATCTCCGGAGGAGAAGGACGAACTCAGCCACTGGTCATGTGGCTGGGTCGACGTTCGTGACACAGCGTTGGCCCATGTTATGGCCCTCGAAAAGGAAGCAGCAGGCGGAGAGAGAATCATGACCCCGTCTGGTAGGCGGCGAACCACGTTCCACTGGACCTTGCTGACTTGGTATCCTACCAGGACGATGCTTTTGGCAGGAGTGGAGTCAGTGGTACATCATTGTTCTTCTAGCGACTAATAACTATCTTCCTTACCACAGTAAATGCAGTGAATAGCCTGAAACAAATCCACTCCCTTCACACAAATTTGTTATCGGATGCCCCGAACTTCTTCATGAGCACGTTATTCTTGGCTCGTTGGACCAGTCTAAGGAAGAGCGAATTTTTGGGATCAAATTCAAGACTATGGAGGAGACGGCCAAGGATACGTTGGAGGACTTCGCGAGGCGCGGGTGGTAGGAATGCTCTCGTCAATACCTATCGTCCGCCTTACAGGACTTGATACATGACTCGCTTGTTAGCATGGCTTTCCACAGAAGAATACTGTGACTCTATGACCATCTATCCTACCATGGCCTGATCTATCGTGTGCTTTTCAAACTCAAACACCTGTCGAAGAAATGGAAAACGTCCAAATTTCCGATACCGAGCTCCACCGTGTACCATCGAATCTTCTTCTTTCGGACATGAACGGCAGAATAGAGAACCTTGGAGCACGTCCCAAGGTTCGGTGGGCGTCGTAACTTCCTGTAGCACAGATTCGACGTAATCCTTCAGCAGTCTTTATTCCGATGTTGTCTCACAGGTGCAAAAGCAGCCTTTACCACCAGGTTGGCTTCTTCTATCTGTCAATTATCTTGTTCGGGTCTCACTCAGGCCTTTGTCCATGTCCATGATACGTTCGCCTGAATTGCTGACTCTCGATCCGCCCACCAGCTTCACGGAGGAGGCAGCATGCCGTTCCACCTACTTGCTACTTGAGTACTGATACGAAGATGGTGTGCACCACTGTGCTAAATTTATAAAGACCCCATAATCAGCTTTCCATTTCGGCGATTTTCGCTCATGGCCGAGGACAACCAGAATATTTGCCAACAAGCCCGTCAGGAAGGGCCTCATCGTCTTGAAAAACGAACTAGACCACCTCCGTTGCGTAACACCACCTTTGGGGAATAGACAGCGCTGACCAACACCCACGCCAAAAACATGAAGCATGGTACCTAGTCGCTCCAGCCACAAGGGAGTCTCGAGTATGACCCAATCGCTGCACACGTTGGAGATCCAGGGAAGCCTGAGTAGGTTTGCCTCAACCAGATCTTCAAGGTCACCGAAAATTCGGTATGCAGGTAGCCCAGATGTTGACGGGAACGCTCCTGAGCAGTTCCTAACAAAAGGTCAATGTTCTCCCTAGACAGTACGACGACAAATCTGTCGAGATCCTCGTCAAGCAGCTGAATATTTGAGTTGTTTGCCTAATCATTAGCACAATCGTATAGCCGAAGATTCAAACGGGGGATGTTATGTCAGAAAGAGAAGGAAAAGCTTTCCATAAATTTATTCACGAAAGAAAGAATGATCGAGATCTCGAAAATTTCAGCGTACATCCATACCTTATCCCACATCCACCAAGGGCACACGAACACTATCCCCGTCGTGATCAATATCCTCCACCTCCGCCACTTTGCATCACCTATATACAACAAAGAAAGGTCAGCGATGCAGTCCATGAGAACACAAACAAGGACCTCCAATGGCCGGCACAAACCTGGCCACGAACATTCACAACCTCCTCTACCCTCTCCTCGCATCACTCAAGTGATTACGTGATATTTACCTTGTCTTTTAGCGATGAGATGAACTGCTGGTAGCTCGGCAGTACATCTGCACGATCCTGGAGGAGCATGCTAAGGGCCCAGAGGCGGAGCGGCGGCTCGCCGTCCTCCTTGACGATGTAGAGGTGGGGGTAGTACACTCCGCGGCGTAGCTCGCGGGTCTTCTGGATGACGGCGTTGACGCGCTGAGAGAAGGGATTCTCGAGGACACGAAGGGTTGTCTATGAAAAAGCGACGAAGCCTTGAAAAGAGGATATTTTCAGAGTGACAGAAGAGACACACCTTGCCACCGCGCAGGGCTTCGTAGCTCGGCAGGTCGAAGACGTCCATGATGAGTTGTGGTACTGCATCTCGGCCGACCCAAAGGAAGATGGTTTGGGCATCTTCGATGAGGAAGAGACCGTGCCTCTCAAGTCGTTCTGAAGTGAGAGGAAGCGCAGGAGGGAGGATGACACCTTGTTCTCCAATTGTGCCGGCCTGAATAAGTGAACATTAGTCAAGGATCCCGTGGTCAGAAGGAAGACCACTTACTTCAGGAGGCATACTATGCAGGGCATAGAACGAAGGATAGAGGTAAGGAATGAGCAGTTGGGAGGGCAACGAGGTTAGCAGAGCCTGGGAGTATGCGCGGATATCGGGAGGTATCTGAGCGCTTTGACGAATGCCAACCTGGAGAATAAAGCATCATCGTCAGCTTAGCCCAGCTACAAGAGCTTAGATAAACCCACGTTCTTCAACAGACCCAGTACCAACACAGGCAGCATCTTCAAGTTGTCCGAGATGGCCAACTGTGCGCTAGCACCTGCTCCACTTGAAGTCATGCTCGTCTTGTACGCTACCAGGATCTCAACGAGCTTCGCGAAAATATAGTCGCGGCTATCTTCGAGCTTGTGCGTCAATGAGCGCTCGACGGCCTTGTTCGCGAAGTAGGTGACGATGGCGATCTGGTCAGCCGAGGCATATACTTCTGAGAGGTTCGTCGTTGTGGGCACCGCGAGGGTGATGACACGAATACGGCGCTCGCCTTTTGAGTAGAACGGTTAGGAGAGTGGTGTAAGGTGACTAGAGGAAAGACAAACCATAGCAAGTTGTGTGGAGAACAGCAGTTTGGAAGACAACGAAGGGAGTTGTAATTGCTTCCTCGATCTGCACCTCGATGGCGTAGGACTGGTCTTGAGGAACCGCAGGCATAGCCAGAAGGTCAGTCGAACGGACGAAGAAATTGCCGTGGAATGAGGCCATGCGCAAACCTTCATTCCGAAGAAAAAAATTAGTATGGCAGGATACGGTCAAAAACATTTATTGACATACCTCTTGATGCACGAACACGCATAACCGCTTCCAACATGATAGGTTGAGCGAGGACCTCTCCAAACTCGTGTGCGAATTTCATGGCATCCTCCGTCCGACCAGCGTTGAAGGCAGGGTAATAGTATGTCTGACCAGAGGTGTAGTGAGGCAAGCAGGCTACACAATAAAATGAAAAAACGTTCGAAAAAGAAGCAGCGTAACGTACCAAGAGTAGCGACGTCCTGGTAGGCAGAGCTGAACAAGAACATGTCGACCGAAACTTGCGTCCTTGAGCACTCAATGGCGAAAGTTTTGTAGAACGGCGAGGCGGCTTGCAGCAGGCCAGATTCCTGAGGTTCAATCAACATAAATCTCGACTGCAGACCAAGATTCACGAACCTTGGCAGTGCCGAGGATCTTGGGGTCTTCTCTATTCTTAAGGGCACCAGCGCCGACCGAAGGGAGAGTAGAGGACAATACGATAATCTTGCCACCAATAGGCGCCATCAGCTTGAAACCCGCTTGTAGGGCTGGACCCATAGCGCTTCCAATGATGCTGTTTTCCTGGAACATCTCCCCGATTTTGCCAAGGAGAGCCTCTAATGACGCACGAGCTTCTGCAACATTCACGAGGAGATCATTCGGCTTTGGCAGGAAGACGTCGTCGACGTCAGAGACGACGAGCATGGATGACTCGGTAGTACCGGGCTGTTCATTGTCAGGAAGAGCACAGAAAGATAGAAGGAACAGACTCACAGGCAAAGAGAAGAAGTAGAGCGACACGTCGAAGCAGATAATGGCGATTTTTGTCCGCTCGTCCTCGTCGGGGATACGGTCAAGGTTCTCCAAGATTGTCCTTGTCGCAGTCGCTACCATGCCTGAAGGACAATCAATTGGTTCGTTCAAAGGAGAGTGAGGTAGTTACGTACCGGATTGGACGGCCGTATGGCTGACGTCAATCAAGAATACGTAGACAGCAGGCTGCGGTGGGCGGACCATGTACTCCGTCGGCGCAACGAACTCGACACAAGAGTGGTTGAGCTCTGCACGAGCCCAGCGGTCACCGGGTTGATTGCGAACTTGATCCCAATCGAATAGCTGAGGAACCTCGTTCGTCATGTTGCACATACAGCATCGCCAGCTACATCTTGTAAGCAGCGTGTCAAAAGGACAAAAGTGAAGAGATCGCACCGATTGCCTCCATCAATAAACTGTACATAGGGGTTGATGTACGTCCTGCATCGGCGGCAGCGAGCAATCACCGTATCCGTGACAAGAGGGACAGGCTCTTCTCCTTCATTCAACGAACGATAAGGCGTGATGACGAGGGCGAGGGGAAGCTTCGATTTATTCAAAAGCGATGACGTTGTCGGAATCGCGTTGATGGTTGATCTAAAATAACTGGGATCGCCGTTGGCGGTGGGCGAGGGCGAAACACACGAGTTGGGCGGGAGGCGAATTTCAGGCGGGGGACGTTGCAGCTCGCGAGGTTCGGGCGGTGATGTGAGGAGGTTGGTCGTGTAAAGCTGGAATTGCTTCTGGCCGACACCCATCTGTCCGAACTGGTTGGCGAGCGCATCGACGGGAGCCTGCCCGTATTGCGGTTGGTTGAAGCCTGGCCCGTTGATATACTCCGGTTCGGCCTGTCCGTAGTACGGCGCTTGACCTGGCGCTGGTGGTTGCTGAGCTTGCTGCGCGGCGAATTGATTCTCTGCGACAAGACCGGGTGTGAAAAGCTGTCCTCCCTGAGGCTGGGCTTGGAGTCCTGGAGCAGGAGCACCGTAAGCAGGGTCAGGGAGACCATCTCCGCCATAGTACGCGTGTGTTTGGCCTGCAGCGTACTGACGACGCTTTCCGTGGTGAGCGACTGGCGGAGGAGACCCGGTGGGCGCGTTTTCGTGTCCACCAGGGTGGGCCGGAGGTTCCCATTGAGTGTGTCCGGTGGTCGTTTCTTTTATAATTACCCGTCAATCTAAAGTCGCAGTGAAAGGTGGATTTAGGGCTGACCGATGAAGAGGTATCGCTGATGTGTCGCGTCCCTGCAGTTGTTTGAGCAAAATGCCGGTCTGAGCACTATAACGCTCACCATTCTGCGGCCCATCCTGGGGGAAGCTGCTCTGCAGGAGAGGCCATAGCGATGAGTTACCGAGAAAATGAAGGGCGAGGTGAAGAGATATCGTGCGGTCCATGGCCACGTCCGCGAAACACGCCATTGCCAATCAACGCCAAACACTCATTTCCCTTTCCCGCTGATGCGACCACTTTCACTTTCAATACGGTCTCTTAAACGGACCTGCAAATGCTTTCGTAGCGTGTAAGTATCGACTACGGTCAACCTTTCACCTTCGATTCCTTATTGTCTGTCGAACATTGCGCCTACAATCCTACTTCCTCCACCCGTGACCAGGTTGAGCCTCAACTGAACGCGACGGTCGCAGCATGTCGGCTCCTTTGCAGAGCTTGCAAAACGGTGAACCATTCGTTGTCAAGAAACTGTTCATGGTCGGAGGTCAATCCTTAGGCCGAGAGATGCTTGATAGATCCCAATGCGTCAACTGAGTGTCAGTGAGGTATTATGGGTCCTCCAGAATGTGGGTTGTACTGTACACACGAAGGCCGAGGAGCGTCAGGTGTGAGAGGAGATACCAGAGATCCGCCATCCTCCAGATCTTGAGGAAACGAAGCTTGGATAGGGTGGTGGGTTGGTCGATGAGTACATTGTCACTATCAAGCCTTTTGGTACATTTAATCATCAATTCTTCGAGACATATGCAGAGGGATGATATGGGCAGGAGGGTTGCACAGTGGGGTATATTCTTGAGGGCAAGGCGTCGGAGCTGGGCCAAAGGGAACTTGGCGGATAGATACAATTTGTTGGGAAAATATTCCCAGTGTAGCGAGTTGAGCTGAAGAGGATGCGGGTGATGTCAACCACAAAATCCATATCCAAAGGAACCCGGAGGTTGATCTTCGCCTTTTTGAGGAGCATGGAAGGCTGCACACTTAATATGTGCAATCGAGGTGATTCCGGATCTTTTGAACCACGGTGGCAGCCATTCTTCGCAGGGCTCGGGATGGGTGCTACAGGTTGTATCGATTGTCAACTGAAAAAATTCTCGAAGGACGTCAGGTGACAAGATTCTGTTAATTAAGTCCGTGTCGTAGGCTGGAGATTGCATGTCGAGGCCAGAATCCAGAAAGTAATCGGCGTCTTCTCAGTGGAGAGCCGAGGGGAGAGACTAATCAGATATCATACCTGTACGTCCTCCGGCCTACGGAGGAGTCCCGATAGCGTCCTGCTGTAGTAGAGACTTGCTGGATCGACGAAGATTAGAGAGCTAAATGGAAATTCAAGCCAACTGCGTTTGCACGCGATCTGTGCGTGTTTGAAACGAGTTTCAAGTGCCAGAACTTCTACAAGTCATGAGGCCGAAGAATAGCGTTAGGGCCAGAGACACTTTGATAAGCATGCAGGCGCATGTATGAACAATTCGACTTTCAAGGTCATGTTCAGTGTTGAATCCACTGATATTTTCTGGAGCTGTTCTCATACAGGCTCACATGAGCACCCTCTCCGTGAACGACCTTGATAGGAGAATAAAACTCTAAGTATCATGCATTGTCATTTCAAAGCACTCACCTATGGGCCTTTTTTTCAATCTTGAGATCCCAAAGGCACGCCGCACAGCAGCCTCCTTGCGTCCACCGTTATGAGGCATGTCGTCTATGACGACGCTTGGAAGAGGTCGATACCCATATCCCAGGAATTTTCTTGACTTCAAAGACAAAGAAAGTGAAGAAGCGAGGTGGATTGTAGACAATTCGTTGTTCTTGCGGAACGAAAGATGCCAAGGTCGTCGCCGCCGTTGTTGTGGGCTATGGACGTGTTATTTGGGGCTGCTTGTTCAGTGAATGGCTCCTGCAAAGGCAAGACACCTTCGCCGCCACCACGAGCGGGCCCGTATCCTCTTTTCTTCTTTTTCCTTCAGGCTAAGATGCCCCCACCGATGGAAAAACGATTTGACCTGAACACATATCGTCAGGCTGCGCGACAGGCCCAGAACCAGCCTCAAGCGTCGGGGTCAGGTTCTCGACCGTTGCGCCCTGCACTAGTCGCGTCTGCCACGAGCGTTGCGCCGCGTCCTGCTGTCGTGACTGCTCCTCCTTCGAACCCTTTTTCGCACCAGGCAGGTCCTTCGGCTTCACACAATGTTCAGAGCGCAGGTGCACAGGGCCATAACTTGTACCCTGTGCACAACGCCGCAAGACCGCAGACGGGAGGCCAGCCGCAAGCCGTATCGCGACCTCCAAGCCAAGTAGCATTCAACCCGAAGGTTCAGCATCATCCCCAAGCCCACGAAAATGTTACTCTGGTCAGAGTAGACCAATATCGTGATCAGCAGCACCTCCCGCTGCCTCCCTCACCGTCTGGATCCTACTCCCACGCACTGGCCTCACATGCTGCTCAATACAGCGCTCAATACGCTGCGGCCTCAGGTCCTACCCCTTCATCTATCGTGGATCAAGTCTCGCAGCGTGTTCTTCAAGTCCTAGCACCAGCGTTCACCCAACTTCACGAACAACAGAACGCTCTCATTCAGAATTTCCACAAGTCGTCTCAAAGCATGGAAGAGATCATAACCCAATTGGCTCAGTCCCGGGCAGAGAACGAAGCACTTGCCAAGAGACTCACAGAAAGGGATGAAGTAGATAAGAGGAGCAAGCAGAGAGAAGTCGATAGCGTGATCGCTTTGGGTTTACTCGCGGACAGGGTCAAGGACGTCAGGACTGAGACCAAAGCTATCCTCAAGGTTCTGGGACGGAAGGACGCCACGACGAGCTTGAACGTGGCCAAGAAAAGCGTGCTCGATCGGTTAGATGGTATCCAGATGGACGTGCAGGAGTTTCTGGAGAAAGTTGGAGATCCAGAGGCTGATGGACCTGGTTCGTTCATTCATTTCCTCGTCATCAACGAATCACATACCTTATCTCCTAATGATACAAATAGCTCAGCCACCTGGTGCTCTGACGCCACAACCGCAGGCGCCCACAATTCTTCGGCATGATATGGCAACGAGCCCAATCAGACTTCCCGAAACAGGCGCCCAATCACCTGACCCACCCCTCATCATGCTATCGCCGCCCATGTCGCCGCCTATACCAACCCAAAGGGTCTATGTTTCCATGGGAGGTATGTGCACGATGATCGATCTCACTGGAAAACTCTAAATAACCATTCATACATCAGTTGCAACGTCGCCCGAACCAGAAGAACACAGTTCTCGTCGAAATTCATATTCAAGAACGCCCTCGTCGCGGAACTCTGCACACACCCTCGGTAATGCTTCTTGACCTTCGTCTCCTGCATATGCAATGCTGATCCTTCCCAGTCGACGATGTGGCGGATCAAGATATTACTATGATTTCGGATGCAACCGATACCACCAAAATTGCCTCTGTTTCCCCTGATCCAATGCCTCGCAAGCCAGCGGACTCTAAAATGGATGTCGATGACGATCCCTTCCTATCTCCGAAGAGCAGTGGCTGTGTGGTCAACCAAATACACATTCCGTCCTCCTCCCCCAGTGGCCCCTATACTCCGAAGAAGCGAGGTAAAAGTCGTTGCCCTATTGCCGTCGAAGAAAACCAAGGATCTCCCAGAGCCAATGCGCCTGGAACGACCTTCTCTCCTGTGGATTGGTCCAAGACGTTAACGCCTTCCGCTCAACCTATCACACGATCCTTCTCTGCTCCATCCGTTCCGTCATCTCCTCTTAAGAGTTTTGAAGCCAAGGGTGCCTTGAATTTAAGTCCTAGACGATCGTACACGCTTCCTCCGCAAAGGCAAGGTTCCGTTGCTGCTTTACGACAAGAGGCGACAGGCCACCCATATCCCCTTGTTTTCCCCCCGCCTATTCCGCTTTCTCCTGTGAAGCAAAAATCCGATTTAGGCGCAGCGGCTGAGGCGGCTGAGAGGATGCTCAGTCCCGAAAGTCAGTGCAGCGACGACGCAGACAAGCCTAAATATTTGCGGCCGAAAGGGGTGGTTTTAAAACACTCTCCCCCGAAGATGAAAGCAAGTCTATCGTCGTCTTCTGACTCTTCTCTGACCTCGTTAACCGCCTCTGTATCGTCTGGATCTTCGCTCGAGGCTGAGGCCAATGAGAAACCAAAGGAGGACGTCAACATGAAGGAAACAACGCCTGTGCCCATTCCATTGTCGTCTTCCCCGCTGCGGCCGGCGACGACGTCGACCCCTCTGTCGGAGACGAAGATCAAGATTCGGATTCCTGCTCGGGCTAGAATACCCCCGCCACCATCCCCTGTGTCGCCTCTCAAGTCTTTGGACCTCTCCTCTGTGCGAAATGCTGCACATCACTTGAACAGCAGCCCGACGAAACTTAATAGCAGCCCAACGAAACTTAATAGCAGTCCTACGAAACGCAACAGCAGCCCTCCGAAATCACCACCACGTCTTGAGCCAACGTCTGAGTCGCAATCTAGCGAACCTTCGAGCCGGGCTACTGAGGATGAGGAAATCGTTCAGAGCATTGTCACCTCGTTCGGCCCTACATCATCGCCTGGCCTGCCTACACCTACCAACTCGCTTATGGTATCGCCTTTCAAACCGCTGGCGAATGGCATCAGGTCGGGCGTAGATTTGTCGTCTCCTCTCTCCCGCAAGGGCCGTAGAATGGTTGAGGTAGAATGGAATCCGGACCTCGACGATTCGGTCCCTCGTCTCGTTGACTTCGCGACACTCCGCGTGTGGCATACGGATCGGGCGAAGGAGCTGGCGGAGAAGAAGCAAGACGAAGAAGTGGAGAAGGAGAAAGACGAGGACGAGGAAATGAAGGATGCAGACGTGCTCGAGCCGGAGCTGCAGATGGAAACGGAGAACGATCAGCAAGCAACTCCACGAGCGCAGTCTCCTGCTACCCCTCGAGCACAATCTCCTTTCATTGCATCTAGCTGCTCTCCACCTGCTATGGAGATTGCCGAAAATAGCTCGAACCTAGGGACTGAAAATATGGACACAGTCGAAACGTGCGAACCATACCAAGACAACAACACACCTGTACCTCTCGACCTACCTCCTTCATCTCCTCTTTTCACCTCCCCCAGCCATCCGCAATACAATTCCTCAGTCTCTTACCGCGACGAAAATGTCGACCTCCCGTCGTTGTCTCCGCTTGTCAAAGAAAAGGAGCAAACCACTCTCGCTCATCAAGACACTCAAGATTTCGGTAGCCTGCAAGCTGTGTCGAGTCCGCGCACCGCCAGCTTCGGCGTGATTTCCGTTAGCAGTCCGAAAGCTGTAGAGTCGCAATCTAGCGAAGATGCGATGTATATCTCTTCCGCGATGACTACACCTGTGAAGCCCTCCAAGGCAACGCCGGTGTTAGCTGACATCCCGCCTGTGGCTACGTCTTTTGTTCGCACATCTCCTGAAAAGAAGGGCAATCAGAAGGAGCAGGCTATGAGACGCTCGCCTAGTGTCATCTATGTCTCCTCTGATTCGTCTGACGATGAAGGTCTACCGTCTGTTCCTGCAAAACCGAAAGCGACACCCGCGGCAGAAGCGTTGGTGAAAGTGGAACCGGACGCTGAAAAGGAAGTTCCTTCCAAGGCGACTACTCCACAAGTGCCAGAAGTGAGGTCGCCGATCCCACCTGCTCAAGTCCCAGCTCCTGTGCCCCGCGTAGATCCTTTGGAAGAGCTCTTCACGAGACCGCTGTCGCCCATCTCTGACCTCTCTGACGAGGATGACGAACTTCCGAAGGAAAAGCAGTCACCTATCGACCTCAACCGTTTCACAGCAGGCCTATCGGACGATGACGCCGACGTCATACGTGTCAGGAAATCGCGCAGAGTCTCTGAGTCTGTGCGTGCCCCGTCAGCCGCCACCACTGTTGCACGGAGAAGCTCGGTTGCAGCCAAAGCAGAAGAGATCGATACCGTCATGGCGGACCTCCCACCACCAGTTGCACCGCAGAAGAAGAGCCTGCTGGGCCAACTGAAGAAAGGACAGAGTGCCGCCGTGACCAGGATCAAGAAACGGAAGAGCCGCCCAGAGCCCGAGACGGAGGACGAGGATGAGCCGCCGTTGAAGATCGTCAGGCTGCGGAAGAAAGGGACGAATGGGGCCTTGACGTCCGCCACGTCGTCGTCGGGGTCATCGGCGAAGGGCAACACGAGCACGAACACAAGGAAATCACTTAGGACGCCTTCACCGAAGAAGGCCGCAACAGCCAAGGTACAGAGGACACCAAGGACGCCAGCCAGCCACCAGAGCCAGAAGACGCCGACAAGGAGGTCGAGGAACCAGAAACCGCGCTCATCGACAGTTGTGTGGCCGACAATTAACGAGCCAAATTTCGAGCAGCTTGTGAAATGCGATACGTGAGTTTTGCGCTCTCTTTTGTGCATACAATTGGTTGTTAACTTTGACTTTCCTGAACAAACCAACAGATGCGATGGCTGGTACCACATCGGCTGCGTTGGCATGCCTATAGAGGATGTCCGGCTCTTAGATAGCGAGCTGTACCAATGCCCTCCGTGCGAAGCGGGTGTCGATCGCAGTGGTATGTTCCCTCTAACATTTCATCCTGTATGCGCGTTTCTGATACAGATTGACAGCTCTTTCTCCGACGAAAGGCGGCCAAGACGCAATTCCCGCTGCGCGGTGCGCCCGCTCGTCGTGCCGGCGGCCCAAGGCTAAGAAGCAGGCGGCGACCAAGGAGGACGATACCTTTGTTGTCGAATCGTTCGTGGGTCGGCTGACGAAGATTGTGAGTGGGAAGCTGGAGGTGGTGACGTTGTATCTTGTTAAGTGGCTTGGGTGTGTATATTTCGACTCCCTCTCTTCTCTTTGTTGTGTTTATTCTGTGCTGCTTTTAGTTACGGTTTCAATGAGTGCACCGTGCAGACCCTCGACACCTTGTGCATGACCAACGCCGCCCTCCTAGTTGACGCGTTTGAGAAGGAGGCCGAGAACGAAGGCCTCGACCTCGAGAGCTCCAGCAACGAAGCCGTGGTTCTTAAATGCGCCAGCGAGGCGGGGTGGGACCACAACTTGGAGTTTGTTCCGAAGCCCAAGGTCGAAGCGAAATCATGAATATGCCGGTCGAACTCTATGCATTGTTTCTTCGTATGCTTGCTGTAAAATATCACATCCTCTCCCTCATTTCGTTGTCTATGCCCTTCTTCCGCCTGCAACATCCCTAGGATTACCCATCATTGTCATATACATCTCGGATTCCGTATCATGTCATACCACCGCTATGCTCCCCTCGCCCATCTTTCTTGATTTCTGTCGCTGTCACATTGCTATCGACCGTAGGTACCACCAATGTCATATACAACATTACTTATTGATGCTATTATTCTGAAGTTTGAACTAGGTAGTTAAATAATCCGTAGTGGAGATTGCGGAAATGTAAATGGTCCGAGGTGTTGAGAATGAAGGAGTTGAACATCAGAAGCTTCGGTATAAGGAGGTGAGTAGAAAAGGCATATAATTATCACAGAAAGGCGAAAAAGGTCCCAGATAAATTAATACAAGCTTCAACAAACCATTAGGCACTACACGAGGATCACAGCGAGCAGTAGCGCCATGAGCACGATCATCAGGATGACGATACACCAGCTGCTGCCTTTCTCCTCCGAGTCGCGGAGGAACTTCCTCATCCGCCGCATCCCGTCGCTCAGCTTGGAGTCGGATTGGTCGACACCTCGTTCGAGGTCTGTTAGCATCCTAGGAAATTCCATTAACCCCGAGAATACACGCAAGAGCGTAGGACAACATACTCATTATGTTCGTTAATCTCCTGCCCCATCAAGCTCGCCTGCTGCGCGATGTTGGTCAGCGTGCCTGCTATCGAGTCCATCGTCTGGTCTTGCTCTCGTATCATCATCTGCAAAATAATAACAGTACTTCAGCGTCCAACTCGACCATTCAAAAAACGTCGACAATTGACAAAGCAACACTGACCTGCTGCTCCTCTCTCGCCCACGCAGCCTGGTGATCCTCATTAGCTCCATACCGCTCGGAGAAGGGTGACCCGGGCCCTGCGCCGGCACGCGGACTCATGGCGCCCGAGGGTAAGTACTGTGATTGAGATTGAGACTGCGGGACGGACGGGTTGGGTGGATTGGAAGAAGACACAGTCGCTCTCATGTTCTGGACTTGCGAGGGAGGGTGGTGGTTAGTAAAAATCACGAAGAACGAAGAAAAGGGTGGGATAGAAATGGGAAGAAACTGGGACAAGGGAACCAGTTGGGAAGCACTGCGGAATACGAGGATACAGGATAAAGGAGGGAGGGAAGGTGGAAAATGTGGAGGCAAGAAATAAGAATGAAGGAACAGACCTCTATCTCTTTCCATACATGCCCCACGTACCGCCGTCGATTTTGCACCTCTGCATCGTCTAGTCCGAACATGCGCGCGTCTGTTGATTCAACGATCCTGAAATACGTCCAGTATTTGAGTCTTCACGAGCATATAGCGGGCAGAACAAACAGGCATACTTCACACTCTCTTCGAGGTCCTCTAGGTCAGCTTCTAAAGAGGCTAGCGTTGCTTTAAGCTACCAAGATCTCAATCAAAAAAACAACAAGTCACGAATGAATGCGACGACGTACCTCATTTCGAGCCCACATCAGCTCTTCGCTCCCCGGACGCGCCATGCTTTGTATTCGTAGAAACGAAGACTGCAATTGCGTTGCCGTCTGCAGAGACGACTGTATCTCCTGCTGTACTGCATGATATGGGTCTACCGACATGATGTTGAGGTCGGTGGTGTGTAGTGCGTGTCAGGAATGGTGTCGCTGCGGATAGTCCAGAAGGGAACGTTCAGGAAAACGTCGAGAATATTTTGCGTTCCTAGAGTTATTATAGGGCTTAATAATTCCCAAATGCGAGCTCTACGCCGGTAAAAAGGTAGACCTGGAGGTGAATATGAATGTCGAGCGGTATCAAGCGGGCCCAGTGCAGAGTCGTGTTTGCATAAATTAAAATAGGAAACAAGTTCACATCACGTGCAAGCACGCGTCTTTCGGGAACTTTTTGAATCTCGGCGCTTAAGTTTTTGCGGTTCACTGGCTCTCCTTGGTCTTGGTCAATATTGAGCGCTGAGAGCTGAGCATGTCGCAATCACCACGTATCGAAGGAGCCGGTGGGGTAAGATTGACCAATACTTAGGTCGACTCGCGACGGATTCCACATCCTCGCGTCCATCTTTCCTTTTCACCAATTGAGGGGCACCTAAGGTATTAAACAGGCTTTCTTTTCTTATGTATCTTACCCATCTAAGGCAGCTCCCAAATTGAAGCTTGAAGGACCTCAGGGTGCGAGGAAGGCCGCAGGCTGCCAGCATGGCAGCAAACATCCTGAATTATGTAAATAGGAAATAAATTCCCTTTGTTCGACTCTTTCGACATGAAATCCTGACAGAGCGCTTCAGCCCTGAGATGAATCTCAGAGACAAACGTAGGCAGTAGTAAACGGTATGCTAATTTCCGAGCGCGACTCGCTTCACTACGATAGAAACCCACGGTAGGCATTGTTTGACCAATACTTACACGTCAAGTCACGTACACGGAACTGTTTGTTACCCAAAAGTAAACGGATCTTCACCACAGGCGGTGTTTGGAATGTTTACCGATCCGCTCCTCTTTGCATGTAGCAACACCCCCTCTCCGTACATCCATCCAACTGAATTCAGATAGGCATCATTTCACCGCCAGTGTGCACTGCGACAAGAACCTCTCTATGCGGGAATGGATTAGGGTTTTGCTATAGGAGCCTACTCAAGTTGTTGATAATGGAAGACATCTACAATGGCAGGATGTTAACCCCGGGCCATTGATAATTCGAGATCAGGGATCCAAAATACTGACCTGGATGTAACGAGCGTGAATATCTTCAAAACCTGATAGGCTTTCTTGCATGAGAAGTGAATCTATGTGAGAGGCTTTTGGAGGCGATGGAATCGTACACTGCATTTGGGACAATGTGGTATTACTATCGTAGCAGTTGGAGATGCGCTAATCGGACAACGCCTCAATTGTTGTGGGCCGGATCATCTCTAAGTATTTCAGATGTGATTCGATTTACAGAATTTCATTAATTGAGGAACAGCAAAGTACTTCCAATAGCGACGAGCTGGCCAAGGACAACTTGAACACGGCTGACAGCACGGCACCAATCGCCGTTGATTAAATAGGAAATAAATTCCCATGACGTCCCAAGATCGCACTTTCGGCGCTTCTTGCAAATCCCCTGCTGTCGAACGATAACTAGATGTGTCGTTTCCCCAGGTCCTTTGGGGCTCATCTGCCCCAGTCGATTCAGAGCGCTCATCAGACGCCGTCGCGATCCCCACGGCCTGCCGGGCGCCTGGTGGGTGAGTCAGAAATCTCCTCAACACGTGATGGAGGGCAGGCAGCGGCTGATGGTCGCGGTGATATAAGAAGGGTGGCAGGATCATGGCAGTGGTGCGTCGCTTCTTCGACTTCACCCCCCCACATCTACTTACTACCAGTGTGAACGTTTAAAGGAAGAGGATGATCACTGTGACTTTTGTGAGTTTTCTCTTTCGTCCTTGATGTGTTTGGAGGGTGACTGATGATCCTGGGGTGACTTCGATGCGTAGATCAGGCATGGAGAGAGCGAGGATAACTTGGTACGAGCATGATCAGGTGGAGCGATTTAAAACTAATGGAGACCTGTGTGCACCCGCCAGAAACCCATCTGGGCAGGATGGAAAGACGCCCCGCTCTCTGAGCTCGGTCGAAAGGTATGCAAACACCCTTCACAACCCTAGTTTATTTATAATCTCACCTCCATACCTCTGGATTTCTGAAAACAGCAAGCACAGGCCCTGGGAGCCTCGCTATCCACCACCCGCCTGACCCACATTTACGCCTCGTCCCTCCTCCGTGCACACGCCACCGGCCTCGCCGTGCACACGCACCAACCGGCTCCCCAACCCCCCTTCACCGTCTCCCCGCACCTGCGAGAGCAGCACTTCGGCGTCGCCGAGGGGCACAGCTGGGTCATGCACGCGCCCGACGGGGTCACCCTCGAAGAGATGTATACGAAGAAAGTGTACCCCGTGCTCTATGGCCGCGAGGAGAAGTTTCCCGACGGCGAGAGCTTGGATGATCTTGCAAGGAGGGCGGAGGAGGCGTTAAGGGAGTGCGTGTTGCCTCACGTGAAGGTGGACGGCGAGGGGGAGGAAACACATGTTGCGCTGGCGAGCCATGGGCTGTGCATTAGTGAGTTGATGTCGGCGCTAATCAGGCTCGATCCCGAGGCGAGGAAAGGGCAGAAGTATAGTGGCCTGTTGAACACGGCGTGGGCGAGGGCGGAGATACGCATTAGAGTGAGTCTTTTCTTGGTCAGTGAGGCCACGCTTTATGTGTTTATTTTTGGGGGGTAGGACGGCCATAATGGTCCTATAGATCCCTCGAATCCTCCACCGCTCGAGGTGAGGGTAACACACTTCAATCATAAAGATCATTTGAATACACTGGTAAGTTTCGGGGTCTAATTTATCTCGCTCGTTTATTTGAACTTCGATTGCAGAAGGAGATCCCGCCCACGCACGTCGAGGTTGATGGTGCCCGAGCAGAGGCCAAAGCCTTCTTCGGAGGCCAGACTGTGCAAGCGTAGACGGTAATCGTACACAACTCGATAGATTCATTGGACGTTGAACCAGGGAGAATACCTTCCATTCTGTCTAGATGTACATACATACATGCAATCATTCGCATTATTTATCGAAAGTCAAACGAAACACAAAAGGAGTGGGAAGGGAAAACGAACGTGAAAATGGAAATAAAAGAGAGGCAAAAAGCAGCCAGTCAGAAACCCGTATCGTCTATCGTACAACTTACACCCTATATCCCAACCTTACACCTCAGAATCGTCATTGAATGACCGCCTTGACTGTGCACGCGCGGGGTACGCCCAGCCCGAGGCGGAGCGGCTCCTGCGGTGCTGCATCACCCGGCGGGCAATTGGGTCGGCGTCTATGTCCTCCCCACCCTCTTCCTGGTCGGTTATCAGTCCAAGATTTTCCGCACTTGCACGGCGCGAACCCAGTTTCGCCTTGCGCCCCTTGAGCTTGCCTGCCCGTCCGAGCGCCGGGGCACTTTTTGTCCTTGAGTGCCTCTGGGAGGTCCTCGAGCCTCGCTCGTCCTCACGTTCGCGTTCGGCAGCGGAGTCAGCCGCCTCTGACAACGGGCGTGTCGTCGTCTCATCGTCTCCAGTCACCGTCTTACTTCCCCCGCCCGACCCGAAAGGCCGTCCATTGCCAACGCCCAATGCAGCAAGGGCGGCAGGAACGTGCAGCGCGAAGAACTCGCTCGGGGTCAGCATCTTCTTCTTCGGGGCGATGCGATTAGGAACAGCAGGTGCACTAGTTCCAGTAGGGCCGGGTTGGAGGTCGGCGTCGGTGAGCGGCTGCGGGGCGACGATGACGTAGGGCTGGTCGGAGCACGCAAGGTAGACCGAGTCGGAGAGCGCGGGGCTGTCGGCTGTTGGTGGGCGGGGTGGGCGGACGGGCTTTCTGGATGGAGAGCTATTCGGAGAGGGAGAAGGAGAGGCGTATGGAGGTGTGGGAGAAGAGGGAGTAGGAGCAGGAGCAGGAGGACAGTCAGGCTTGATCGTGCTCGTCCCCGAGTCGTCAGTGAGGTGCGAGTCGCGGTTCACGTTCACATGCGACATGGACGAGAGGGAGAGGTACTCAGAGGAGCAGACGGAGAACTTGGACTTTGCGGGAGAAGAGTCCACAGGCATCTCGATGATCGTATCACCCACACTCTCAGTGTCGTCGATGGCGGCGTCATCCTGGTGCACCGTCGAGCGCGCGCCTTGCTTATGGAAGCCGACAGTCACCCAGGACGGCGAGGGGGGAAGACCAGGTGGCGTCGACGGGTCGTCCTTCACCTCCTTCACCTCTTCTGAAGGCAAAGGACCCGCAATGGGACGGTGGGAAGAAGGAATGCACTTGCGCGCTCCAGAACCGCGACAGAACCGACCAGAAAAGGCGGGGTTAAACAAGAAAAAGATGCACAACGCAAAGAACAGTATACTCCCAATCACCGACCCGAGCACGACCATCTTGTGCGACGGCGCGGGCGTATGGCTGCTCGACAACAGTTCATCGTCGCTCACTCTCGTCGGTGAAGGGCTCGCCGTGGGGAGGAGTTCCGGCCCAGGGCCCATGTATGGCGGGGCGGTCACCATGAAGGGGTCGGCGTTGGGCGCTGGGGTGGGAGCAGCCGCAGGGTCCGCAGTCATCGCAGACAGCTCTGCGTTGAGCGAGCGGGTCATAACCATGAATACGTCCTTGATGTTCGCTAAGTGCCGTTCGCCGTCTGGAGGAGCGAGGTCGTAGTTTGCGCCGTACATCGTGAAAAAATCCTGCTCGGAGCGGTTGACAAGGGCGTGTCTGGTAGTTCCAGGAAGGGCAAGTGCGATGCGGCCAAAGAGGAGGGCCCAGAAGGGCAAGCAAATGGCCCAGGACCGCATGGAGAAGGAAAAGAACGGAGATGCCGTGCGGGCTTGGAGAGTAGGGAACGTGGCGGTTCAGAGATGTGGTAGTCAGGACGAAGAGACCTGAAAATATTCCTAGTGGGACTCATTGAAACTTATAACTGAGGAGGCTGGCGAGATGATGGCTGACAAGAAAGAGGAGGATCGACGTCAGTATTTGGTAATCATTTTCGGGCTCCGCAGGATCGGCATTCGGCAGGACTTGTGGACGCGCTCCGAACCGACGGCAGAGCGGCGATTGCCGGGATCGAACCTCAGGCCTCGGGTTTCACAATCGATACTTGTCTAAACTCTTTCTTTCTCCAGCAAGCATGGTACCGCATTGTCACAAATGCAACATACCGTTTCTCGATATCCCTCCATCGCCGAAATCCTCTCCCATCCACCCGCTTCTTATCGCCAACGATCCCGCGGAGGCGTATGACGAAGCCATCGCGCGACAAGTCATCGCATCCTGCAAACATGTTGTAGCACATATCGACGGGCTGATCTCGCAGTTGAACAATCTGCTCGACCTTATCAAGTCTCGTCGGGAAGAATATACGCACCACATTCAACTTCACGAGAACGTCCTCTCCAAATTCGCGCGACACGTTCCGGCCGACATTTTGTCGGAAATATTCCTTCATGCTGTGAACAGACCATCGATTGGTAGCAAGCAACTGCCCGAAGAACCTTGGGTGGTGTCACAAGTCAGTCGCCGCTGGCGGCTGGTGGCACTCTCAACACCCACCATTTGGTCGGCTTTCCCTGCCTTTCGTGAAAGTCTGGACAAGGACAAACGTTATTACTCTAGACTCCAAACGGCGCTGGGACGGTCTGGCGCGGTGCCGCTCAATGTTTCATTCTACCTCTTCGGAATTCCTGAGCGCGAAGTCTGGAAAATGGCCGACCTCTTCACTCCTCACTCTCATCGCTTCAACGATCTTTGCATATCCTCCAACCTCCACGCGCTTCAACTTTTTTCTTCTCGGATGACCGGCCATCTTCACGCTCTCAAGTCCTTAGCACTATACTTTTCGCATACACAAGAACCCTACAGACCTCCTGTTTCTCTCCCGATCACGTCGTTTTTGGAGGTACCTTCCTTACGCGAACTGACTCTTGGCATCTGGACTCGTCCTCAGACGACTGCACAAAGCTGGATAGCATTACCATGGCACCAATTGCGAAGGCTGACACTCTCGTGCGCGGCGCTGCTGCCCTCGAGTATAATCTCAATCCTTCGTCAAACAGTCGCGCTGGAGCGCTGTGTCCTTCAATACTGGCACTGCGACTATACACTCTCCATGGAGATACCACACTTCAATAGCCTATCCCTCATTGAGCTTCATATTGGTTCAGAGATGCGAGGCGTCGTCGAGCCTTTCTTGTGCTCTCTCACTTTCCCGTCACTCCGCAAGCTTTCAATTTCTGCGCATGATGTCGTGGACCTCCAATGCCTAGCTGACTTCATCTCCAGATCGTCTTGTTCCCTTACATTCCTCGATCTGGCATGGGAGGGTTTCTCGGGCGATTTGAAGACCCTGCTTTCCCTGGTTCCATGCTTAACAGATCTCAGGATCCCTGGCAAGGAATTTCTGCGTATTCCGTCTGCGGACAGACCGTCACTCCCCGAATTGCGCCACGTTTGTATTGTGTTGGATCACGATGCTTACGCATTTCCTCCAAGTGATTCGAGCACGAACCCTTTTACAGATACTATGCTCGACTTGTCTTCCCTCGAAACTGTCACTCTTTCCCTCCCCGAGTCTTTCGAGTCGGAGGGTGACTGCCAGGAGCTCTTATTCCGCCGTCTTGATGGATGGTCTCAGCCCGTCTATGATTCTGTATTAAGACGGGACCAAGAATTGCAGACACTCGTCAACAGAAGTCTCACAGAAGCTGAGGTATCTTTCCCTGAATGCTGTACCTCCGTAGGACGGCTGATCAATTTCTCCTTTCTTTCAGGCCTCTTCCTTGCAAGAAATATTGTCAGCTCTTGAAGGCATTCATGGTCGTTACATCCATGTCAGTATCTTGCCCTTTGGTCCAAAGACACCCATATTTACAAATTTTCTATCCTTGTAGGCTTCTTCCGTTATCGACAACCTAGAGCGGCTCCTATTGGTTCTTAACCACAGCCACGAGGGCATCCGTCCCCGCGTAGAAAGGTTATTGTTGCAGTGTACATCGGCAGTAGACGCTTATCTGAATTCAGTTGGATGGATGCTCGGGGACTGGGTGGTCGTGCATGCACAGCGGCGCGGGTCGATAAAGATTAACGGCACAACCCGGTACGGAAATTTATTTAGTTCGTTTTGCGTCACAAATGGTTGCGTGTACGTATGAAAAAAAAACCTAGTGTACGTGGTCTTTACTTATACTGGTAGAGCAAAGGCTTTGGGATCTGGAAATTAGAACCTGTGGACGATAATCGTCTGGGCCGAGATTCATCCCGCGTGCTGGCAGAATCTGTTCCCCCCGGAAAGTGATATTCCTTCTTAACGCCACTCAATGTCCTTGAGGGGATTTGGCGAGGATTAGCGGCTCGCACGGATAAGATGCGTCGAAGAGGTCATGGGAATTTATTTCCTTTTTAACTCAAACAGTTGCTATTGTGCTAGCAGTCGTTTTCGCTCTTGCCCACTCCCACCAAGATACGTTGCAGTTCCGTGAACTCTTCACTTTTCTGATTCAACCGCAGTGAGTCATTCACATATGCATGCAATCAGAGCCAAGACGCTCATTTTCGTAGCCTCTCAATGGGATAGAGTGGGACACCGTGACTGCAGGTTGTCAGCAGGCATCAACATACCCCAGCCCATGCATCGCAAGAACGAAATTCGAGCGTCAATTCAACGGGCATTACGGGCCTGATCAATCGACTTCTGCCTGTCGAGGTTGTGACAGAGATATTGCTCATCGTCACTCGCCGATGCGGTGGGTGCCTCTGGTGTGCTGATCGTAGCGGGAGTTATCCTTTTCATGAAACGACCTTACGCGAGAACGTTCTCGGGTCACATCGCTTCCCCGTGTATCTTGTTACGCTGCCCAATCCCCCCTGGTTATCAGCACCGTATGCTCCTTTTGGAGACACATCGCGCTGAAAAACACCTCAATGTGGTCCGAAATTTTCATTGGGGATCCATCGAAAGGAGGAGCACGACTTGTGGAGCCCTGGATACGGCGAAGTGGCACACACCGCCTTCTATCTATCGGAATCATTCAGCACCACGAAAGCGAAGGATTTGAAGTAGCCTTAAACATTGTTTTCGCTCATTCGAAACGATGGAAGAATTGTCGTTTTCAGATTGACCTCGAAGACCCTGACGTGTCCGACATCACTTTACCAACTATGTTCTTAAAGAACGTGATCTCCCCAGGTGCCCTCCCATTACTAGAGATTGCCCATCTCGATCTGCGACTCAACGATCAGAGTCCTGTGGATGACCTGACCCGTGCCATTCTGGAAGCCCCGCGTCTCGACACGCTAAAATGGGCGATTCTCGACACCTCGAATACCTCCGCTGTCATGTCTGTCTTCTCCAAGTTGCGGTCGGTGACCCTAACGATGTTCTTCGCTGCTGAACTAGAACTTGGAGCGCTTTCCAGGATGAAAAGGCTCGAAGAATTGCAGGTGCTTGATGTGTGCAATCGCATTGCATGGTCTCCCTCGCCTGTGTTGAACACGCCTAGTATCTTCCTTCCCGAATTACGAACACTTTCCCTCGATATGTTCGAATGGTCGCTGCTCGTCGTCCATGCTATTGTCCCCCCAAAATTGCGACACCTCACCATCACAAATACATCAAATATCTTCCCTGCAACTATTCAGATGCTCAGTCGTTCCTCTGCGAGCCTCGAAGTGCTAAAACTTCAATCTCTTCGGAATGGGGAAGAGGAAGGCGTTGTCCAATTCCTGAACTCGCCTATCCTTTCAAACCTGAAGGAGTTGAGGATCCACGGCGATCTCTCCGGTGGTCTCATTCAAGCTCTTTGTCCACACCTCGATGAGATACCGCTACCCCGTCTCGAGAGTTTGGATCTAGATGCATTCGGTGCTATCGTGGATGGTGTTGTGTCGACAACGGTGGCGAGCCGGTTTCGGTCAAAGTCCGAGGGATGGAGCTGCCTTCGTCAGGCAAAAATACAACTGAAGGGGAAAGATGATCAGTATATCAAGGATGCCTCGACGCTTAAATCCTTGACTGTGGAGGGTTTCGACGTCCCATTCGTCTGTGGCACTTGTGATAATGACCAATATTCACTGGCTTAAAACAGCTTAAAATGAGACACCGGATTTTCGGGGCTTCAACAAAACGACGGAAAAAGCAAGCATAAAATTCACCATGAGGAAGTGGCGAGGCAATGACAGGAATCGTCTCCGACCCAAATACTAGTCGACCGCCTGCCAGCCGTTGGCGACAGGGAAATGTGCAGATGGGCACCTCGGACGACATAAGCGCCGAAGCGGGCGACGTCATGGGAATTCTTTTCCTATTTACAGCGCGAAACTTGCGAGCATTGGTCACGGTACTGTGCCGAGCCTGGACGTTCTCCCCTTCCTTCCACATGGGCCTATTCATTGAATGTACGCACCCAAATTCTGATCTATTCTGTAATTCCTGACAAAACGATACGTAGTATAAAGCCACCGCCGTCTCAGATAATGGGCGCAAGGCAAGGTCAGGGAATAGAGGTTATTTGCACTTCGAATATTCCTAGAATCGCCCAAATCTCATTGGCTGAAGGAGGCCCCAAGCCAATCAGATTCGCGGATTTGTGGAGCCCTCAGAACTGCAAATAACCTCTAATACGTTGGAGGACTCGCGAACACTTCAAGATCATCTTGGCTACCTTCCTCGTCTCCTTCGAGAAAGCCCGCCTTTTGCGCTTCTCTTAACGGCTTACGATAAGTTAATTGAAATCACATCATCGCCGCTCATCGCCGTCGCCAGTCGTTTACGTGCATCGTGTGCCGGGCGCCTTCTTCAAGGTTGCCCAAACCATCAGATCTACGTTCTCAAGACCAACCCTCCAGGTAATCACACGATTTGATACTGATTTCCTTATGGCGTCAGCGTTGTGAACTACCGCCATTTATTTCACCCGGGGATGGTATAAATGGCATGCTTCATATTGAGTGCCCTCCAGAATCCGACATTCAGACCTACTTAGAGCAGAGCATGGCCGGCAAACTGAACATTTTCTTTACTGGTGCCACAGGTCAGTCCACCTTCGTTCCTTCGGCTCTTGCGTTCGAATGATTTTTCGTCTTCTAGGTTACATTGGAGGTAGTATCCTCTCCCGTCTCCTCCAACACAAGGACGCCGCTTCATTTCACATCACCGCGCTCGTGCGCTCCAGCAACAAAGCGGAAAAGTTCAAGACTCTTGGTGTCGATACCGTCATCGGATCATACGCTGACGAGGATTTGCCCATCTTAACGCAAGCCGCTTCTAAAGCCGATGTGGTTTTCACCGCGGTGTGTTGTGCCAATGACCGACTTGTGAATCCCACCTGATGATTTAACATACATTCAGGTTGACGCAGATTCTCTACCTCCTGTCCGAGCTATCCTCGATGGACTCAAGCTAAAGTACGAGGCGTCTGGCAGGGCCCCGATCTTGATCCATACCGTACGTCCTTTCCCTCCGTTCTAAGTCTTCGATGAGACGCTCATGTTGCGTGTCAACAGTCCGGCACAGGTCAGTGTGCAAGACCTTCAGTAGATGAAATTTAAACATCTTCTAGGCCTCCTTCTGAACCTAAATGAAGCTCGAGGTCTTCACAGCGAGCACATTCATTATAGTGATCTCGAGACGGAGAAGCTGGATGCACTTCCCGCAACTGCCTTGCACCGCAATGTAGACATTCCCATCTTCGAAGCTGATAAAGCTGGCTACGTCAAAGCATACATTATCGCTCCAAGTGAGATCTTTGCCCTCAGGACGAAGTGAAAGGCAAAAACAGATTCCTTGTTTTTTTTTATAGCCATTGTCTTCGGGAATCCCAAAGGGCCGCTCGTCGATCTGGGAATCCAAAGTGTCCATTCGATAGTGACAAGATTTATCGTCGAGGCCGCTATTGCCCGCAAGCAAGGAGGCTACGTCGGCAAAGGAGTGAATAAATGGGCGGCAGTCGACGTGGAAGACAGTATGTGCTGTTATTACTTGGGCTTTGCAACGACTCCGACTGACCAGATTGTATCTTCACAGACGCTGATCTATACCTCGTCTTATTCGACGCTATTCGAACCCGTCCGGACGAAGTCCCCCGTGGCTACTATTTCTCGGAGAATCTAGAGTTTGCCTTCATCGAGGAAGCCACTGCGATCTCGGAGGCCCTAGTCGAACTTGGCGTCGGCAACTCTCGCGAGCCCAGTGCCTTCACCGTCGAGGAAGAGAAAAACTTTGGGGTACGTTCAAATTAATTTGCATACCGACAAAGGGGCATCCACTAACCAGTTTATTTGAATGCACCCTTCTTCTTGTAGCCGGTCTTGCCTTATATCGCCACCAATTGCTACGCCAAAGGAGACCGTGGCCGGGCATTGGGTTGGAAACCACAGTTCGGCAAAGAGGCATATCTAGCGTATGTTAAGTCGCAAGTGAAGGTATATCTGCATGAACAATAGCTGTATATTTATATGACAAATGAAGACGGCACAATTCCTTTTTGTGTTATTTCATCTCTGTGTTCCCTGTATGTAAGTAATAGCGGATGGTGTAGTGGCCCATCGACAATGGTGGTAATTCATTTCTCAACGAAGGAGCTGTCCTGGTCGGGGCAAAATAAGTACGAGGAGGGTAATTTTCTCGACAACTCAAGTCTACCTCAACTGTTAAAAATGTAACTTGGGGAGGCCTTTTATACTGGACCCTCTGACGATATAAGAGCCAGTCTCTCCGTGCGCTCCGAGAATGAAGACAGTCAGTTGGCTCGTTGTGCTATTGTTTGGTTGAGCAGAGGACTAGTCCCAGATCGTCGCAAACCAAGGTCCTAGTTACTCAACTATCGGATGGTCAGATTCCTAAGCCTTGCCTAACCACAGCGACTGCCATTGAACGGGCCCAGATGACGATGGATTAATGAACTCTCGAAGGCGTCGATCTGCGTCGACGAGTCCGAGACTTTCGCGTGCATACGCAGCATAGTGGGTTCAGGGATGACTCATCTATCAGTGTTAATTTCCATTACGACCACTGGGGAGCAAGGGATTTGCAACGAGCAGGACTGCGTGGGAATTTCTTGCCTAACGCGTGGGAATTGGTCGTATTTGCTTAGTTATCAGCCGATACTACGAAGGTCGTCGAACGGAACCTTCTCTTCCCCATCTTGTCTGTGTAGGCGAATTCGTTGAATGTACGGACCCAAATTTTGACATAGTCTGTCCTCACTGACAAAACGATCCATAGAATAGTCAAGTCGCACAGAGTCGCACCTATAGCAAAATCTTTCTAGAACGGTGGTTAGAAGAGGAGAACGACGTCATGAGACGCCAACGAAGTCTTTCACTCTGCTTGTCGACTGTTCAACATGACTAAAGCTGAAGTTCTAACGTTTTCTTCGCTGATCGGCCAACTTGGACAGCTTATACCTCGTTGGATAGGCATGGCTGTTCGGAATGTGTACGTGCTTGAAAGGGTGTCTTGCTGGGTTTCCGACAAGTTCTCTTGCGAAGACTTCGCAATGTTACCCTACGCTGCCACGCTCTCTCCGATTCACGATCTCCTCCAAAAAACTCATCTTGGCAACATGCGCCTTCTTCGTCTCCCATTCTTGCGTTGGTCATCATTCTAACGGCTTACAAAGTGCCAATCCATCTAAGCACCCTCACCATCGCCATTACGTGTATTCAAGTTTTGCACCCAATTTGCAGCGGTCAGCTTCTTCTCGAATCTCAAGACTGACCCTAGTTCGTCGCGCAACTTGACAGCGATTATCTCGCGGTAGATCAACCGCCATTTATTTCATCCGGGATGGGATAAAACAGCTAGCTTCGCGCTGCTCGTTTCCCCCAGAATACGAGACGCCGGACATAGCAGGAAAACATGACCGGAAAACTGAACATTTTCTTTACTGGGGCCACAGGTTAGTTGACCTTCATTCCTTTGACTCTTACGTTCCACCGATTTTTCGCCGTCTAGGTTACATTGGAGGCAGCGTGCTCTCCCATCTCCTCACGCACAAGGACGCGGCGGCCTTCCACGTTACCGCTCTCGTGCGTTCCACCGAGAAAGCGGAAAAACTCAAGACCCTCGGTGTCGATACCATCATTGGATCGTACACCGACAAGGATTTGACTTTTTTAAAGGAAGCTGCTTCAAAGGCCGATATAGTCTTCACCGCTGTGCGTTGTACCAATGACCGGCTTATGAACCCCATCTGATGGTTTGTACATACATCTAGGTTGACGCGGATGCACTCCCCCCTGCCCAAGCCATCCTCGACGGACTCAAGCTGAAGTATGAAGCGTCTGGCACGCCCTCGATCTTGATCCATACTGTACGTCTCTTACCTCCGCTCTGCCTCTCTCAGGAGCTCATTTTTTTGCTTAAACAGTCTGGCACAAGTGTGCAAGACGTTGCTTACCTTCAGTAGATGAACTAAAGCTCCTTTCAGGCCTCCTTCTGAATCTAAACGACGCCCAAGGACTTCACAGCGAGCACATTCATTATAGTGATCTCGAGACGGAGAAGCTGGATGCACTCCCCTTGACTTCCTTGCACCGGAACGTTGACATCCCCATCATGGAAGCGGATAAAGCCGGCTATGTCAAGGCATACATTATCGCCCCAAGTGAGGTTTTTATCCTCCAAGACAAGGTGAAAAAGCTCATGCATTTTTCTTATAGGCGTTGTCTTCGGGAATCCCAAAGGGCCACTTGTTGATCGGGGAATCCAAAGTGTCCACTCGATATTGACAAGATTCCTCGTCAAAGCCGCAATCGCTCGCAAGCAAGGAGGCTATGTAGGCACAGGGGTGAATAAGTGGGTGGCAATCGATGTAGAAGAGAGTATGCACCATTATGTTTTTTTGCCTTGCAGCAAGACTGAGTAGATCTTACCTTCACAGATGCTGATCTGTACCTCATCTTATTCGACGCTGTTCGAGCCAACGCGGACAAAGTCCCTCGTGGCTACTATTTCACAGAGAACTTAGAGTTCTCCTTCATAGAGGAAGCCGCCGCGATCTCGGAGGCTCTAGTCGAACTTGGCGTCGGCAACTCTCGCGAGCCTAGCCCCTTCACCGTCGAGGAGGGCGAGAAATATTTCGGGGTACGTTCAAGTTGATTTCCATACCGACTAACGGACGGCTGCTAACGACTTTATTTATATGCACCATTGGTGTCTCATTAGCCGTTCTTACTACCCGTGATCGGTGCAAACTGTTATGCCAAAGGCGACCGCGGCCGAGCATTGGGCTGGAAACCGCAGCTGGGCAAGGAGGCGTATTTGGAGTATGTCAAGTCGCAAGTGAAGGTCTACCTGCACGAAGAATAGTTGCTTGTATTTTGTATGGCAGATGAAGATGGCACATTTCTTTTTTCGTATTATTCTATCTCAGAATTCAGAGTGTGCAACCGTGGATGGCACTGTACAACGACAATGGCGACGAGTCTATATGAAGATATCCCGCTCCTAGGTTATCTCGCGTACGCCTCCATTATTAATTCTTTCCCCTAGAGGCCTTTGATGCTAAATTTAATCTGTCCTTGCACTAGGTGTAGGTCTTGTGCAATCTATAATAATGAAAGCCTGGTGTCTAGATATTCTTGTGCCGGCTTGGTGCCGACGGCTGGTCGGGGTGAAGGTGGAGTAGCTTCAAGCTGCTCCGTTGGGATATGAATAAATACTCTCTGATCTAGAACGAGTTCGAGGCTATAACGAAATGGCGGGAAGACAGCAAACAGCAAAATGGCCGCGAGGATGTGCTGAGGCATAGTAGACCGGGAATTCGTCCCGAGCCGAATACCCGTTCCAAGTTCGATAAGATAAGATCAATTACCCTCTGCCAGCTAAGTAAAAAAATCAGTAATACATACGACTCTTCATCGAACTACCAAGATGTCCACAAACACTGGTTGTACCCAAGAAGGCCTTTTCCAAAAGCGCCACCATCTACCCGCTTTCGACACTTTTCATGATCACGAGTCCACCTCCTTGACTTCCGGAGGTAGATACGTCAGAGCGACAAGCGACTCAAGTATAGCACCAGCGACTACCAGCGACCATATGATCCAGCGGATGCTCTGGAGTCTCTATGCATATGGGCCTCATCCTGACGGAGGAGACTGAGGCTGCCGCATGCAGCGCCGAGCCTTACCTCGCGGTCTAGACTCGCCATGCAGCCTCCACGCGCCGTCGTCATCGCGTGAAGACGCTCCGGAACATCGCTGTGTCACCGATACTTAAGAGGAGCAGTGAAGGGAGGTCGGAGACATACAATTACCCTTGGGCTTATCAGACAAGCCTCCATATTACTGTCAAACGACGGACGCTACAGTGTCGCGATCGGTGCGCTCCATTGCTATATCATCGACATCATTGACCGACTGTGGTCTCCCTGCAGATACTTGACGTCAACATCCGCCCTATAGTTTCTAGTTTGAACGGCTTATCGAACACTTTGCTGCCGCTAGTAGCTTTGACGCGAATTCGACGCATATAACGCCCATATTGGCCATCTACACTTAAACGAACACCGAACGGCTCTCGAAGAGTTTCTCTATTTCACATACACTCGAAATCATCAACGACCTCAATGCCGGAACTGACCTACGTCAACGCATCGTGCCACTGCGCGCTCAACACCTTCCGCGTCGGCTTCCTCATCTCATCCCTCCCCATCTCCACCGATCTTTGCCACTGCTCGACATGTCGGCACACTTCCGGCCAGCTCGCAGTTGAGCAAGTCTCCATCCATGGCGCGCCGCTCGCCCGTGCGGTTGGAGGTAGCCGCCAACACTCGGGCAACAGGAGCAGGAGCCGCAGCCCCGCTCCCGGCGCCCGAAGCACTGGGAACACGAATTTAAATACGAAGCGGCACTCGGCCCTCCTCGCACCACCAACGATCCCGATAATCGTGGTCGAGCCCGACATCCCGCTCGATCTCACCGACCTGACAGCGTACAAGACCTCTCCGGACGTGACGCGATACTTCTGCAACTCGTGCTCCTCGCACCTGTTCTTCGTCGTCCACACGAAATCGACTGATCCGATTACGGGCGAGGAAGAGAAGACGGATAAGTGGGCTGTTGCGGTGGGTGCACTGGACAAGACAGAGGGGATCGTGCGGCTTGGGTATCACATCTGGGTCGGGGACACTCTGGATGGTGGGATCGCGAATCACCTCAGGCGGATCGAGGGCGTGGGCGTGCTGCCGAGGTACAGCGAAGGCGTAGGAAGCCCGCTCGTGCCTATCGGGTTGAACGCCATCCAACCCCCACCTATCGCCAACGGCTCCGCCAATCCCAACTCACCCCCCTCCTCCGACCTCCTCAAAGCGTTCTGCCACTGTGGTGCCCTGCACTTCGCACTCACCCGCCCGACCCCAGAGTCCTCCCTACCCACCTCCGTCTATCCCGACCTCATCTGCCCCTACGACGTCTCGCACCTGTCCAAGATCCACAACCCATCCGACGAGAAGTGGTGGCTCGCCCCACGCCATTCCATGGGCCCAAAAACGAAGTACCTGGCAGGGCACTGCATGTGCACGTTTTGCCGTCTGACGAGCGGGTTCGAGGTGCAATCGTGGGCGTTCGTTCCGCTGGTCAACGTCCTCGTCCCTGCCTCTGCCAGTGGAGAGAATGGCGGTGGCCAGGACGGAGAGGAGTGGGTACCGCTCTGCCTAGAAGAAGACGAGCATCGCCCGAAGGCCTTGAAGCAGTACATCTCCAGCCCGGGGCGGTATCGCGAGTTCTGCGGGACGTGCGGTGCGACGGCTTTCTGGTGGCAGTTGGCGGTGCCGGACCTCCTTGAAGTCTCTGTGGGGCTGCTTGATGAAAGGATCGACGGAGCGAGGGCGGAGAGTTGGCTGGAGTGGTGCACAGACCGGGTTAGCTATGAGGATAAGGCACTCTCCCCGGAGGTGGCAAAGGCGTTGGCCGAGGGGTTGAAGGAGAGTGCAAAGAAGGCGGAAAGCTAGTAGCGGGGGCAAAGTTGAAGTAAGTATGCTACTTTACACAAACGAGCTCCGAAGGATACCTTTGAGCTGTAATGAAAGGACTTCTTATGGTATGCTTTCGTAAATTTCTTGTACTCTACATCTTGGAGACTACGTATCTGGGGGGGTCTGGTTGTAGTTTTCTCTGTTGAAATATCCCCATGGGCTATCATTTGAAAGACTTGGACCAATCCTTGACCTGATGCTTCCTTGCCGCAGCACCCACATCGCTCAACAGGAACAAACACGAAGGCGTCGAGCTTGACGACCTTTCCCAACGGGAGTCGATCTAATGAAAGGTTCGCTGATACGAAGGTCTTATTTTAAAGCCTTCGAGGCGCCAGGCGGAATGATAAAAGAAGATATATAATGTTGGTTTAAGTACGTTGAACAACAAAACTGAACGCAGTGGGTCTTTACTAGTTACTTGTCGAGTCTTTACCCGGTCCAGACGGCCTGCAAAATATCAATCAGAAGAAAAATTAGAGATTTGAAAGCATATCATCTTACAGGTCCGGGCTGGCTGTACGTCGCTGGGATGGCTGAAGAATAAAAACGACGGTTAAACTCTATCGCGCTCTACATTGAAAACAAACTTACGGTAGTAGATGTTGATCCTGATGCCGGGTTCCTGGAGTAAGATGGTTATTAGAAATACGTAGAAGATGGAAAAGAGAACTCCTCACGTTGCCGTTGTACACTCCGGGAATAGAGACGAGAGGTCCAGGCGTTCCATTTCCTCCGTTGGTCACCTTGACTTGGGCACAGCTGATGTAGAATTGCGCTGCGACAAAAGGTGAGACGTCCGCTGTGAGCCAGAACCCGGTCTTACTTACCTCCTCCGACGTTCGAAGCGCTGTGCAGCGCGATGTGCTCAACACGGACCAGGTACTCGCCGTCCGGGAGGTTCCTCGGGACGGTAAAATTGATCTGGCTTTGGTCTTTGACCGCCGTTCAGCATCGGGAAAAATAGCAAAAAAATGTGAGCAACGTACTATCGGTGGGGAACGAGATGGAGCTGCCGCCATTCGTAACCGCTGAGACTTGGGCCACCTTTCAAGGGCATCATTAACTGCATGAACTCTAAAGAGCAGTGGTTGTAAATCACCTTGAACCAGACCTGCCCGCTTCCGTCCCATCCATTAACGCTGCCGGGTGCCTTCGCCATGTATACATTCGCCACCTACAAGAGGAGGAGAACGCGCTCAGAGATGACAAATATTGACCAGGGCGCCAACTTGAAGTACATACACCAGCGTGATAGATAGCCTGGCTCAACCTGAACCCAAGCTGGGACCCAGCCGTCACTGTAGCAGTTTGCGCCGTGGTCGAGGAGGTGTAGCACCGGAAGTCGGGGCTGTTCACATTGGTGACGGGTGCGTTGGTCTGGAAGTTGTTCGTCCTTCGGACGCTCACCCAGTCGCCAGTCGACACTCCGTTCACCACGAGGGCGGGGAATGTGTCTGATCAAAAGATTCGTTAGTCTTGAACAATTGAGCGATGGATTTGGGACGGACAGTGGCAGGTGGAGAGCGTCACCAAGGACAGAAGAACAGTGAAGATGGACTTCATGGCGATAATCCGAGATGGCAGCGAACGTACAGTCGTCGGATTAAATGCCTCACATCCCTCAACTATTTTATACGAGCTGGAGAATTCTCCGGGATTTTCAGGGCACAGAAAAGGATTCGTCGTTCAACCAACTAAATTCTCTCCTTCTCTTGTCTCCGCAGCCAATAGGACTCAGCCTTGGGAGAAACGCCTCCGAGAAGGAGACGATACTTGCCCCGTGATGCCCCACTAGGATAATCCGCTTGATGAGACAACCGTAAGGTTATGTAGAAGCCATTACGCAGTTCGAATAGCTTGAAAAGTCTTTGCTGGACGGTAGCAGATACTTTTGCGGCTGCACAGGACTGAGGGGATATCGTCCGTTGAGCCGACCTATATAAGAAACATGATAAATGCCAGATAGAAAGACGAAATAGCGCACGAATCCAATGAAATTTAGTTCTCTCAGCCTCGACGTCGACATACAGGATCATCTTCGGCTGAACCAGGCAATCGGCTTCGCGGGGAAATTAGACTTTCGCAATTCATTGCGCCATATATTCGAGAATGACCGTGCTGAGTCCTGCGGTTGTCTTGGTCAATTAATCCCATTACTTCTTTGGGTATTTATCACCACGCTAATAGAGCTTCAAGCTTCAAGTCCAAGGATTTAATGCGAGTCTCCGTGCAGTCTGGCTTTTCGATGTGGGATTCTTGTCCTGCTTAGGGCTGCCAACCGAACCCGTGTGCGACGGTAGACGGCAGCCGACGCACGGCACGGGTAGCCGAACCGGAACCATTCCTGGCTTCCCTCACCCGGGACGGCTGAACCATTCACAGCACCCGTCCAAGCCGTGCTTGGTCGGCCGGTGGAACCCGTCGACGGAAAGCCGGGTTCGAGAGTAATTGTTACTCATCTCTGTATCGAATGATATGCCTAGTGATTGGTAGGTTATTGTTACTCATCTCTGTATCGAATGATATGCCTAGTGATTGGTAGGTTAACTGTGTATAATGGGTAGACAAATATGCATAAAATATAACACCTACACATCCCAATAGAGTAGCGGCGCGACGCAAATTGCGAGGTGCGTCATTCCCTGGGTGTGCGAGACTTGAGTAGCTTGAGTGAGTGAAGAAGAGAGGTGCGATACGAAACGTGCCAGAACCTGGGACGAGCGCTTAATGTGTTAGAACTCCAGAGAAGCTGATATTTTGAACGATGTCATAAGCCCACAAAAACGACGAAATATAAGTATGAGGGATGAATTTATGATGACTTACAAGGGCGTCAAGAAGATACAAGATGAAATAGAGAGATAAGTGTGCAGGAGATGGGTCTCCGTGGCTAGTCGGGATGCGGCTATGTGCACCCGCTGGTCCAATCCAATAGTCCGAAGTTGTTTGATGGGCGCTTGAATGCATTGGCCGTGGCATGCTACGAAGGCTCTCTAAAAAATGCCCGAATGAGTTGGGTTTAAAAGATTACTACCCAACTCTCACCATGCCAAAGGCCCACACAGTCGGAGGGACCAATCAGCAAATTTAGGCGCCGAGGGTTACTTATGTTACCGGGTTGGAGGACGGCCGTACACGGCCGTGTTTATTCCCGACCCGACCCGATGGTACATCCCTTTCCTGAATACCCGGCCGGTTCTCACTCATTTAAACCCGACCTCCAGCCGTCCTTGGACGGCCGTCACCGTACCCGGCACGGTTGGCAGCCCTAGTCCTGCTCAAATTCCGGCGGGCTAAGCGGGGATAAGGAGATTTCTGGGACTGTGTGGCTTGGCTGGGAGTCATGTTCTCCGCGCTGATGAGGCAGGGAGCAAGGCGTATGTAGACGTATGTAGACGTAGAAGTTTGAGTGAGTGCTAGTATTGACCGGTTGACCCAGCAGTGTCCTTCAATCGGTGATCACCGAAACTTTCCCATCAGCCAACCCTTCGGCTATTGCCGTGATGCTTATGTCAGGCGACAAATCTGCTGGTGAATAGCTTCTCGCCTGTTTGAATCCGTGATTAGTGGATGGGCCACGGAACTGTAGAGAACCGTGTGTCGCGCCTGTGAGAGAATCGCTTTTCTTCTGTCACACTCACACTGTCAAGTTCAAGCTCAACGGTTGTCGCTCGCAACGACGAGGACGCGTTCCAGGTTCAGGCTAGAGATGGTGGTTGAAGAAAGTGAGGTATGCTCCTTATTATTCTTCTACTACTTTCTGTATGCTAAACGTTCTTTACCATTTCTTCTTACAGCTCCTTCGTGAGGCTCATGCTTTGAATCAGATTTCCGATACACGCCGTGGCAACGTTGGCTTGTGTTTCTTTCCCAGACGAAGGAATAGCAGGTTGTACGGGGTAAGTCAGCTATTCTTGATTCTTGGGATTGACTTGTGTGTACTTAGTGTCCTCTGAACTATTTACGTGATGTTCGTTCGTGCTTTCCGGTTGAAATGAAAAGGCTGCAAATTGTGTAACCAGCTGTTGGGTGTGAAGCCATCTCACATTGGTACCTTTCTCGCGCGAGTAGCACTCGAAGGCGACCTAAGGAACGACGTTAACTGTCTCCGCGCCATTGGTCCGTAGGACAAAGAAAACTGTTGGTGCGTTATCCAATAACGAGGTGAAATAGGCTTACTAACCCGCCTGTTCTGAAAGGGTCTCGCCAAGGCCGAATGGCTCCACCCACCCAGCTCGCAGATTTTAGAAACGAGAGGTACCCTTTGTCATCCACTTGCGCCATTGATGTCTGCTTATTATGCGTGAGTGTTCCATATTCGATGATGACAGAGACAACTCATTCCTGTCTGGTGAGGTAGGTATAAACTCCATGTATTCTGTTTAATTTTCTCAACGACCATCCATTCGTCAAGTGCCGTTATTTCATCTATGTCTTCAACGCAGAAAGCACTCGCCGTTGAGAAGAAATTCGGCGACTTCGTTCTTCGTGACGTCGAGAAGTACAAACCTGGCGCTGGCGAGATCCTCATCAAGATCAAGGCTGTAGCTCTCAACCCGGCCGACTGGAAGATTCAAAAGTACGGGATCATCGTCGAAGAATTCCCCGTCATCCTTGGATTTGACGTCGCGGGTGATGTTGAAGAGGTCGGCGAGGGCGTAACCGAGTTTGCCAAAGGGGATCGAGTGTACGTGTAACGGTTAGAGACCTTTTCTTTGGAATATTGCGACTAAAGACCACATTCTATAGATTCTGTCAAAGAGAGCTAGGAGGCACGAAAGGCGGTTTCCAGCAGTTCGTGCTGTCGCCAGCTGCAACAACTGCGAAGGCGAGTCGAGTTCAATGTTGGTTTCATTGACTGACTTTGCTCCTTTTAGATCCCACCTAGTATCTCATATGACGAGGCAGCATCAATCCCAGTCGCTCTATCTACTGCCTACATTGGACTCTACAACCAGCACCCACATGGTGCAGGACTATCAGCTCCACTTTCCCCAGCCGAAGAGGGGAAATATGCAGGCGAGCCACTCATTGTGCTGGGCGGTGGGAGTTCCGTCGGACAACTCGCTATTCAACTCGCCAAACTATCGGGGTTTTCGCCTATCGTTACCACGGCGTCTCTCAAGCACACTGATTTCCTCAAGTCCCTTGGTGCGACGCACGTTTTCAATCGCAACCTCCCCTTCAATGCGCTTAAGGCTAGAGTTGAAGCCGCTACATCGGGAAAGCCGATCAAGATCGTCTACGACGCCATCTCCATCGAGGCGACACAAGAAGCAGGGATCTCTCTGCTTACACCTGGAGGACAACTGATTCTCGTGCTCTTCCCCAAGGTCAAGGCACAGGATAAGAAGACCGTGTTTACTGTCGCTTCGGCACTTCGGCTACCTTCCAATGTCAAGATCCTCGAAACACTGTATCGCGAGAAGGTAGCTGGATTCTTAGAAAGAGGAGTGATCAAGGTACGCTTATTTTCGATTCTCATCCGTGAAGAGAAAGGAAAATATTTACACTCTATAGCCCAACCGAGTCGAAGTTCTTTCTCAAGGTCTCGCTGGAATACCTGATGGTTTGAAGACGATGGAGGCGGACCAGGTATCGGGGATGAAGCTCGTTGCTCGTCCTCAAGAGACGAATTAAGCGAGCTTCAAGGAGAGTGGCTCGTCTTTGTAGGTAGCAAGCGACTTCGGTCCCTCAGTTGCCTTTATGACAACACTGTCGCAGGCGTAAGCGTGCGGCAGATAGCGGTACGGTAAATTTGGGAAACACAACACACTCTACGTGATGCTACAATCAGTCGAGACCACCACCGACTGAGGTATAAGTACCGACTGAGGTATAAGTACCGACGACGAAGCGCGATGGATATGGAGTAAATGTATTCGCCATCGATTCTGTCTCATATCTGTCGTCAGGCGCTTGATGAGCCACCGGCGCTCCGCAGAGTTCGGCGACTTCTACCCATTGTCGACTTCGTCAGAAGACCATTGGTGCCGATAGTCCAAAGTCGAAACACTCAACTCTTTTAACACTCATCCTTGCGTTCTGATTCGTCTTTCCCCTTTTTCATCTCTCTCAGTCGGACTTGCTTGTTGGCATCCACCTTCTCGATAAACGACAACGCCCAAACAAAGGCGGAAAAACGGTGAGTCCGACTCTGACAATACCCTAGCAACACGAATGTTAACATTAGACGATATTAGCCCATACCATCGCTGCCAAATCAGCCTATTAATACTTCAAGTTCATGAGCACAACAACTCGGAAGATCGACGACAGAGACCCCGCAATCATATACTCAAAAAGATCGAGAGACTGGGGTGGGTTCGGTGGGATATACGAATACAACGCCTCATCGATGTTGAGTATGACTGCAGGGTCAACAGCAACTCTAACTTTCGAAGGTACTGCCTGTGCCAGTGAAATACAATACGAAATTCTGATCAGTTGGCTTTCAAGGGTATTCAGTTTCTGTCTACGGAACCATTGGCGCGGACCCCATCCCTGCAAGGGCTTCGTATGCCATCGACACTTGGTACAACGCCACAACCGGGACACCGAATGTAACCGGAAACGTGTATCAGGCACTCTTTTTCCAATCCCCTACTCTCTCCCCAGGGAACCACACCTTGGTGATTACGAATATGGTGGACGGTGCACGGTACTGGTTGGATTTTATCACGGTTTTGACCAGCGGCACTTCGACAGCAACCCGCACAACCTGCGACTGCTTGTCACTGACATCATTCCCAACATCAACCGCGACCGCGCCGGCGGTCGACCCACTCCCCTCCACAGACGGGGGAGATTCACATTCCTCACGAGGTTCCGTCACATTACCCATCATTGGTGTGGTAGGAGCTGCAGTTATTTTGGCTCTCGGAATCAGCGGTCTTGCATTGTGGCAACGAAGGAAACGCCGAGGGCAGTGTGAAGCTCGAACTATTTCTGAGCAAGACCAACAATCTACATCTACCCCCATTAGGAGCTTCATGAGCCTCCTCCGGATCCGAAATTCTCAACGGAGACACCAAGAGGGACTTGTTACACCATTCCGTGATGCCACTTTGGGGAAACATGACGAGACCCTTCATCCTAACTCTGGGACCAACCCTCGTTCTGCTAGTGAGCACACGTCCGACAATCCGCCCGCGTATCGCCATTAAATATACGGACGGAGTTTTTCTTGTCTCCTAGTATACGCAGTAGGCACAGAGGACATTGACTCAAATTCAACAGATGTTTGATTCGTTGCACCCGCCTAGAGCGGATGTTTCAGAATACATCTCAGTTTCCATATTCCCTCAGCTCCAACCGCGACTGTGTAAAGGAAAATGATTTCTTATGAAACTTGCTCTTGTCTACGCCAGCGTCTCCGTCAAGATAACAGAAGGCCGTTGACGATTCTTTCTCAACACTAAAGGCTCAAGATAAAAATATCCCCGGATTTCACAAGACTAGAAGAGGAACCAAGAGGTGTCGGGGTGTCACTGAAGTATAAATACCGACAGCGAAGTACGGCTGGTGCCGAACTCGCCTGTCAACTTGGGCGCTTAATCGGTGCGTTTCCGGCCCGGTCTTCTCGTTACCTAATAGCAACCCCACTGATGCTGTTGAATCATGGTTCAAATGGCTGTGTAATGCCACGACATCAATGCATCGGAGCACTTCCACCAAACTTTAAATATGCCCTCACACTATTACCTTAGCATATTTTACTTGTATTGGTCACACCTGGGAAGACGGAGACACGGACTGCGGTTGGTGATTGCAGCGGCAAATTCTAGCGTCCGATGATCGATGCCTTCCATACCTCAGAACATCTTTTCGAATGCACATGTGCTATCGCGATCTCATAGGGAGCATGTTCTCAAATGCTGGTCGACTCAGTTGCATGAGGCTCGGGAGCCGAAAGGCAGAAGAAAAGGGGGATCCTAAATAAACAGGTTAGAAAGAACGAGTTCCTGGCCAACCTTCCTTCCTCGACTCCCAGTTATTCTGCTCCTTGACAACTTCGTCGCAACAAACTTTAGCGTCCGCCATTGCATACCTATAGAGAGTCAGAACTATAGTGGGTGAACAACACCAATACCAAGGGGTTCATTGACATTTGATTGCAGTTCTTAGCCTCGAGATTGACCCCCTTCAAGCCCATGGTCACATTAATAAAGAAAAGAGATGACGGAAATGCTGCAATCATCTATTCTCAGGGGAAAGAAGACTGGGAGGGCCCCTTCGGGGTCAGCGAGGAGTACAATTCCACCACAACACTGAGTATGATGGTGGGGGCAACCGCAAATCTGACTTTTGAAGGCACGTCCCTAAATTCGCGAGATTGTGACAAACTGACTGAGTGTGTTACAGGCTCATTAGTGGCAGTATATGGGCCGATCGGGGCGTCCGGTAACCGCGCCTCTGCGCGATCGACGATTTGTATAAATTCACAAGTAAAGCACCAACGGTCTCTGACAACGTGCATCAAGCCCTCTTCTTTCAGTCGCCAACTCTTCCTTATGGAACTCATGTCTTGACCATTACAAATGAAGGGAAAGACGCTATGTACTGGTTGGATTTCATCGTGGTCACCCAGACCGACGCTCTTGCAACCGGCAAGATCGTCTCCCTCTCTTCTTCAAGTGGGCGGCCCGTGGTTACCTCGAAGGCTGATCCCCCAGTAACATCCGACATATCCAAATATCCAAACATATTGCCAACTGCAGTGGTCGTTTCAGCGCTGGTGGGGAGCATCTTAACCATCTTCATTATCTGCGCTATTGTGTGGAGGAAATGGATAGTCACGAAAGCAAGAGGCGTTGCGGAACGCATTACGCCATTCGTTGAAAATGGGGATGGAAGTGACAGAAGATTAGGGCTTCGAGCAGAGAAGCGTTCAAATTTAAGCAGGGGATCATCTACGAGCCCAGGCCGACCTTCTCCTCCACCTCCATATGGCACAAATTAACCTTGATCCATATTGCTGCGACAGTATTTGACCCAATTCTAACATATTTCCGCAGATTACACTATTTAAATTTGTTACTGGTGTCATTCTAATTTATAAACATTTTAACCTGTAGATTTCGCGAGATCTACGCGTTCGATGGACAAAGTGGGTCCCCGTTCCAAAATGGAAGTCACTCCTTGTTTGGACATAAAGACGCAGCCAAATAATTAAATATGGTCCAGAGGAAATCCTGCACTGCTTTCATCGCTTCCACCACCTTCGACCTCGGCGACACATTCCCTAGGCTTCGCAAGGTAGCCAATACACCTAGCTGCTGCTCAGTATAGGCACAAGGTGGCCTTAGGGCCTTCCTTTTCCACCCTAGCTTCGGCTGTCGAGCCTTTATCATAGGATTCCGACAAAAACACACCCGACGACCCGATGGCGACGAAGGAGGACCAGGAGACGCTCCGCCTACTTGTCCAGCATGTCTCGCGTGCATTCTACGAGCCAAAGTACACGATCATTATGGACCAGCTTGCCAGACATCCGGTGTAAGTATGACTTGCATTGTGGCTTGCTTTAAGGGCCACTCAGCAGGCTTTTGTGGCCTGATTTTCCTCCGTTAACACCTCGTCTCACGTCGTGATACTCCTGATGTTGATTTTGGTGCCGTTGTAGCCTCAAGGACGATGATTTGGCAGGTCGGATGGGGCTCCAGCCGAAGGAGCTCAACAAGGTCATAGCAGTGCTGTCGAATGACTCACTCGTGAAGATGTGCGCATCTCCTTCACACCTACCTCGTTTCTAGCTCCATTCACTCGTTGCGCAACAGATACCGTCAGAACGAGCTGAAGGAAGGTGCTCAGCGGAGCGTCGGCAAGCAGTACTACTACATCGACTATGAGCACTTCTGCAACGTCGTCAAGTGGCGGATAGCGAAGATGAGGTACATCATCGACTCCACCCTGCGCAACGTATATTTAAACAACAATTCTATCCCCAAGCCAGTCCTAATGACCTACTTTTTTAGGAACTCGACAACAAGGGGTACATCTGTCCCCAGTGCAAGCAGTCGTACACGCCACTTGATGTGGACAAGCTCATGGACTTTGCGAGGGGTGCTCTGATCTGCGAGATCTGCCATGCGGAGGTGGTGGACAACGAAGATGCGGAGAACGTGCAGGGGAGCAAGGATAGGATGCAGAGGTTCAACAACCAAATGAGGTTCATACGGGAGGGGCTGCAGAGGAGCGAAGCGATGACGTTGCCTGCGTACGTGCTCTATATCACATCCAAGATCCGCCTCATTAATGTGTGGCTATTAATGCAAACAGGTTTGATGTAGCGGCTTGGATCAAGAACAATCCTACGGACGCCGACAAGAACAAGACGACGGGGATCTCAAGCGGATTGAAGGTCGCCGGAGCGGACGGCACGAGGAAGGACGACGAGGGGGTAGGTGTTATGATGGCGATGGACAAGGACGAGTACACGCGACGAATAGAGCGGAATGCCGAAGCGGAGGTCAAGCGGCAACAGAATGCACTGCCAGCGTGGCATCTAAAGAGTACGATTACGGGTGACCTGACGGCACTGGGCGTCAAGGAGAATGCGAGGGAGGCAGCAGCGATCGGAGCAGTGGAGCAGATGACGAACGATGATATTTTGAAGGGGCTGGGTGTCATTGGCGGGGGTTCATCAAGGAATTTGCAGAGTGCGAGTGGATCGATGAGTGCTGGCCCTGTGGAAGATGTGAAGCCGGTGGTTAACGTAGAGGCGGACAGTGTGTATCTCCGCCTTCTTTTTGTTTACTTTTGCTGACAATATCCTTCCTAGTGTATGACCAGTACTACGCCTCCCTTGCAGCCTCGGCAGCCGCGTCTGCTCAGCCTACACCATCAGCCACTGGCCTTACCTCCTCTTCTTCAAGTTCGCCGGCATTCGCCTCAAACTTGAACGATGACGATGAAGAGGAGGACAAAAAGCCTGATGTCGAGTACCTGGACTCCTTGAACGCCTATCGGAAGCGGTCAAGATCACAGGAAGATATCGGTGGCGACAGTAAAGTAAAGGTGGCCAAGACCGAACTCAATGGGCTCCCCAACGGCCACGGCAGTGTCAACGGGCAGATGACGAATGGGAACGGGCATTTGGGAGTGAATGGGTTCACGAATGGGTATGCGGGCGGAGCAAGCTATGGAGGTTATCAGGACGCGATCATGGATACCTTGCAGGAGGCATCTGCGGAACTTGGGGTACCTGAGGATGACCCTATGGTCATGGGTAAGTTTTTTTAATACAATTCACTCGCCGGTTTGCCATCAGCTAATACGTACGCTTCTCACAGTCGCTGGCAACCCCAAGCCTTACTCGCAGGTGACGGATGAGGACCACGATTTGATGACGCTGGAGGAATACGAAGCGTACTTCGAGGTCATGCAGGCGCGGTCATGACGCGTTGCATTTTTGGCTCGTATCCTCAGAGGACTACGAAGACTTGAAGGATTAAACACACCAACCACTCCTCGACCACCAGATGTTTCCTACGTCGCTTCAACTCCAGCAGTCGCCCGAGACGTTATGCCCCTTCTCGCTTTTCTGCAACGGGTGTTAGTCTCCTTTACGACGACCACTTTTTCGAGTATTTGCGTTGTGGAACGGAAAGTCTGGTCGTCTCTTGTGGTTTTCGGTGTTCTTGTGACTAGACCTTTACACGGATGATCTGCGTGCATGCCGTAGGGCGTGTTGCATGTAGTACTAGTATGTATGCTCTGGTCGACTCGATTAAAATAAATAAATCGAGTACACAGTGCAGTCTTGCATGTATCATAGATAGTTTTGGCTAATTGGAGAAGGTTTGGTTTTCAGTTGGTCGGGATCCTGCACCGGGCCGGCCGCGAACCTTTCTTGACTCCTCCCGCCATCATGTCGCCTCAGACCGCTGTATATGCCTCTTTCATATTGCTATCGATGTGAGTTTATCATGACCTGCTGGCTGTACCCCAGATAAAAAAGCGCTTGTCAGCCGTACCAGTTCTATGAGAAATAGGCACTCGCCATCTAGGATTCTCAAGTTCTTAGCAGCAAGTTTTCACAGATCCCGGGCCCCGTCAGGCGTTTGGGCAATCCTGCTGATGAAACGGCAAGATTGTCAATGTCAGTAGGCTCAAGATCTACTGCTCCTCAGGAAGGCTCGTCAGTTCGATGCTCATCAGTACGATGACACCACGTTATACCTAGCAGAGCCCGCGTCCTCTTTGCGAATCGCGCTACTATAAAATGTCTGGTTTCTCCCGGATTCGACGCATCTCCCACCTCGGACATAACACCACAGCATGGCTAGCAAGCTGAATATTTTCTTTACTGGTGCCACAGGTTAGCCGAAGCGACTTCTATCTCGCGTTCTACCGATTGATTCCTCTTCTAGGCTACGTTGGAGGTAGCATCCTCTCTCGTCTCCTCAACCACAAGGACGCCGCCTCCTTCCAGATCACCGCTCTCGTGCGCTCCACCGATAAAGCGGAAAAGCTCAGGACCCTCGGTGTCGACACCCTCATCGGCTCGTACACTGACGAGAATCTGTCCTTTTTGACCGAAGCTGCTTCCAAGGCCGACGTGGTTTTCACGACAGCGGGTCGCACCTTCTACTTCTAAAGCCCACTCGATGATTTAAAGTATGTGCAGGCTGATGCAGATAAGCTCCCTCCTGCCCAAGCCATCCTCGATGGACTCAAGCCGAAGTACGAAGCGTCTAGCACGCCCCCGATCTTGATCCACACTGTTCGTCTCCTACATCCGTTCCAACTCTTGGAGAAGCTCATGTTTTGTGTAAACAGTCCGGCACAGGTCAGTGTGCACGACGTTGCCTACGTTATGTCGTTGAGATGCACACTTCTTTCAGGCATCCTTCTAGATGATGCTCGAGGTCTCCACAGCGGGCATATCCGCTATAGTGATCTGGAAACAGATAAGCTCGATGCCCTCCCTGTCACTGTCTGGCACCGGAATGTAGACGTTCCCATCTTGGAAGCCGATAAAGCGGGGTATGTCAAGGCATACATTATTGCTCCAAGTGAGTTTGAGGCCTCCAACGCAAAATGAGAAAGGCTCATGCGTTTTTTTCCAGGCCTTGTCTTTGGGGAGCCCAAAGGGCCCCTTATTGACCTGGGTATCCAGAATGGTCATACGATGCTGATAGAGTGGCTCGCCAAAGCATCTATCACCCGCAAACAAGGAGGGTACATCGGCAAAGGAGTGAATAAATGGGGAAGAGGAGGATGTTCTCACGCTCGAACCACCACCATCTCGGACAGCGAAGCAGCTCAGTACCGCCAACGCTCGCCCGACGAGACCCCATCCGAGTCCTCAGACGATGCCCGGGTTGCTCCGCTTACGAAGTCACCCCATACACGACGAGTGGTCAAGAGAGGTCGAATCAACGGCCCAGCGACCCCTCCTTCACCATCACCTGCCACCAATCTCCCACAACAAGAGTCACTTACCGGCCTTCACAGGCCCACCAAGACCAACAAGTCTCAGGCTCCCTGGGACGACATGAAGCACCTAGAGCAGATGCTGGACTCGGTCCTTGCATCCGCTGTCATCATCCAGGCAGCCTCAACCATACCTGTGGAGCTCACCCCCCACTCCCGCAGTGCGTTGGCTGCGATCATTAACATCCTACAGCCACACACCACCATGCCGACTGCACCTATGTCCACCACTGCACTGCATACTGCCACGAAGCCCTACCCCCCTCCTGCTACTGAACAGCCAGCTCGACGGGCGGAAAACAAGTCCTATGCGCATGCTGCGTCACACAAAACTGGCCAATCGGTCAACAGGAAAGAAGTGTCACTAGCCGGTCAAATGCCTCATCCATTGCGGAGGGCCAAGGCGCCCGCCACACCACGTCACTCCCCCTTTCGGCTAACCCTTCGATGGCCTAACCAACCACCATCCCTTCCACCAGGCTTCCTCATGTTACTCCTCGACCAATTGAACTACAACTTCCAGGAAGTTGGAGAACCACCCCCCATTATGGCTCTTAACCGCACCAAGGCCGGGAACATCATCATACTGACACGAGCACCAGTTCTAGCCTCAGCACTCCTTGCACGACAAGACAATGTACTCCGATCGTTTGACAAACTCTCAAATGACTTCAAACAAAGTGAAGACCCGATCTTGGAGTTGGATGTGCCATGGCATGGGTTCGTAATTCACAACGTTCCTGCTCTTGGTCTGGCAGAAGTTATGGATTCCCCTGTGGGTCATGGACACGATTTGCTGGTGAGGATAAAGGTCGACATTGGAATCCCAGGAGCCCACATCCGCGACTACCGCGTACTTCAACGGGACAACTCATGGAAGGAAGACGTGACAGGGATGTCGACAGTCTCGTTCCTCATCATGCTTGATGATGAGGGATTGGCAGACAGGCTACTGTCATTCAAAGGTAATATTCATTGGTGCACATTGTCGGGCGACCCGCTACCAACCCCGGAGACGACGTGGCGTCGCAAGATGATCAGACCCACCTAGCCCCCATTTCTTTTCTTCTAACCTAACAACTATCACTTATTATCACTTATGCCGACGGATTTACCGATCGTTGGCGGGTGCCGAGATGCCGGCGCTCGCTTGGCGGCGGATCAGCCACGGATCAGGCTCCTTCCAAATCGGTCAAGTTTCCTCAGTTTGGGCACGTTTCTCGGGCTCCGCCGGCGGTCTCACAGCCCCCCTTGACACGACTCACGACGCGTGTTCACACTTGGGCGCTAGCGCCGTGCGCTTCCCCCGCGTCGCTCAGCGGCCGTCCCCTCCCTTCGGACGTGCCCTGGGGTCTTTCCTACCTTGACACATGTAAATAATATGCATTTTATCAATGAAACATGACAAATGCATTGAGAGTGAGAGAAAAGACCCATGGACTGCCCAAACACCCCCGGTTCATGTCCTGGGGCAAAATAAGTGCTTCCTTGGGTGGCATAAGTTGAATAAGTAACTTATTTTGAGGGATTTACGGGGTGAGCTGGCCCGATTTACGCTGGATTTACAAGATTTACAGCGAGCCGGCTCAATTTACATGGCCCGATTTACAGGCTGATGAGCCAGCGCTTAGCCGTCGCCTAGCGCCTGCCCTGTTCGGCCGCTTGCAACTCTGATGGCGGCACTCTAATCCTCTGATTTCCCGACCTTCAAGTAAAATTTCGAGGCGCGCAAGCGCGCACGGATGTCTCCTCGAGGCATTTGGTATTTATTTTTTGTGTAACATCTTCATGCCTCTGTTCTACTAATTTTCACCATCCAGGACTCCGCCAAATGTGTTGTCGCACCCTTCCCATCACTCCCAGACTCTGCTCGGCCCTTCGTGCAGGGCTGATTTGACGGCCGCAATGCCTTTTGCCCTTCCCTCGAACCCACCTTTGGTGCTCCGGGCGTCTGGTGCCCTGCCAACCACGATTTACCGGCACCGTAAATCCAACGTAAATCGAGTCAAATAACCATACTTATTTGATGTGAACCTCTCACACGTAATTTCACGGTCCCCAACCTCCTTAAGAGGCTGACCGCTTGGGGGTTTGCATTCATCGCACCCCAAGCTGCTGCACCAGATAGACTACCCAAGGGAAGTTACTTGATCATTATATTAGCGTAGCTAGAGAAGCGGAACCCTAACATATGGCTTAGCCACAACGGGGGAGCTTGCGGAATTAAAAAAAAAAAAAAAAAAAAAAAAAATGGGGAAGAGTCCATGTGGAAGAGAGTATGTGTTACTATGACGTTGCATCAACTGTGACAGAGTGGATTTTACTTTCGCAGATGCTGACTTACACCTCATCCTATTCAACGCTATTCGAGCCAGCCCGGAGAAAGTCCCTCGTAGCTACTACTTCGCGGAGAGTCTGGAGTTCGCCTTCACTGAGGTTGCTACTGTGATCTTGGAAGTCCTAGTCGATCTTGGTATAGGCAACTCTCGCGAGCCCAGTGCCTCGAGGAGGCCGAGAAGTATTTTGGGGTATGTTGGCGATTTGCATAAGTATCGACAAAATGACTAACCGGCTCATCTAAACTGATGTGTCTCAGCCCAGGACCCGGGAAGCTCTTGGCATTTGTTGTCCGAAAATTTGCGGATTTGAGGCCGAATTTTGGTAAATCTCTGTCCGGAAATTGCGGATTTGAGGGGACTTTTCGCAGACCTCTGTCCCAAATTTGCGGATTTGAGGGCTCAAATTAAGAGTATTTGACCCAACATTTACACCATCCAGGCAGTGCTAAACTAGATTTGGCCGGAGATCACTCAAAAACCAACTACACCAATATCATAACAAAAGAGAAGGCCAACTTGCTTTCACGGGCGGCCGGTGGTGTTCGACGCATCCATTGCACGGAGATTACTTCATGCGACATCCTGCTCTTCCTCGATGAATCGGGCGGCGGGGCATTGGCATGAAGTTCAACGGGCAAGGGCAGTCATTCCTCCTGCACCATTCCCTCTGAAAATTCACATTCTGGGGGGAAAATGAAGTAGATTTCAATTTTCTACATGTATGCGAATCAAATACATCTCGATGATGCATTTCCCGCTTGTTTTTCGCCCTCGAGCATGCGGAAACCACCTCCCGCGACGACAGCAACTGGTGGCGGAGGTGCCAAGAAAATTTTCTTTTTTTGGATTCACGTGACGACCCCTGTCCGAAATTGCGGATTTGAGGGCCAAAAATTTGCGGATTTGAGGGCGAAATTGCAGACACCAAATGCCAAGAGCTTCCCAGGTCCTCTCAGCCCGTCTGGCCCATGGTAGGCGCTAACTGCTATTCCAGAGGCAACTGTGGCCAAGCATTGGGTCAGACACCAGAGTGCAGAAAAGAGACATATCTGGCGCATGTCAAATCGGAAGTGAAGTTCTACCTGCATGTACTATAACTGCCTATGTTATGTTTCTCAAAAGATGAAGCGAAGTCAACATGAGGAGACGATGCCAAGCCTGTTCGAACTTGTGGGCTACGATCTTCGTCGCGGATGCTGCTCCGCTCCTAATCGACTCAAGTCTCGATGAGAGGCAGATCCTTGGCATACCCATCTCTCTCCCTACCTTCCTCTACTATCTCTGCCCTAATTGGTAGGTTGCCACTCTCCATTGGATTTATCCCAGAGTAGCCAACGCTTACCTCCCTCATCCCGGCCCTTGACAGGTTTCGCGTTGCACGGAGAAGTAAATATCAAATTACGAACGGAGGTGTTCGAAGAACTGTCTGATTAAATAATACAAACTCAAAATTTCCTTTAGGACTGGAATGGATGAGGCTCTTCTGCGATGTTGCAACTGTCAAAACACTTTGGGTTTTAAGTGCTTGGGGGCCAGGGGCACTTTTGGCATTGCAATTATCGGCCGAACCAAGCATAAGACACGGTGCATCTTGCCCTATCGTACCATTCACCTGTGACCTGACAAACATTGGGTCATGATGAACGTCGGGCCTGCATACATAGGGACTCATTCGACAGATTGCGGGGTTTTGTAGGCTTTGGCTGGCTTTGGATCACGGTCACATCCTCCTCCGGATCCGAATAGTGCTGCTGAGATACTTCAGTCTACAACAGGCTGCACAACGTTCGACGACTCACGTTGCGTCGCAAGATCAGGAGCTGTAGAAGAAGCGAACTCAAAGTGAGCCGAGAATTTTGGGGGGGATGGACCGTGTCGAGGGTGTGAGTACGAATGCAAATGATCATATGTTATAGCATGGTGGCCGGCTATGGGCGCTCCTTGGGATCTGAAGGTACGTACGGATCTACGAACTTCCACGACCAACAACTTCAGAGTCACAGTAGTCATTCACAGCCATACTTGAGACTATCCTCCCACTGCGCATCAGCCACAGCATACGGTCTCAACTGTGGCGCGACTTGTGGTTGTGGCAGCTCACCTGATGACAATTTCAACAGACGATGCCCCAAAACAATCTTTCTACACTGCGGGAAGCCAGGGCATTTTTAAAAACTACGCCGGGATGCAGTTAATTCTCATAGCCTGCATAAATGTTTGAAATAACCACCTGCATGGCAATTTATAAAACTACACCCGGTGGTTTTATGCCCTGCCGGAGGAAAGTGAAAATAACCGCCAAAAGGACTCTTTTGGCGGTTAATACAACTAAGCTCTGGTGGTTTTTCTACCTCGACTGAGCTAGGTTTTATTTACATCGTTTCTGGCTGTATGATTTTCTGCCAACATTAATAGTAAATTTCATTGCCCGAGGTAATTACATAGCTTGTGCTAGGTCTTGCGCCTCATACCTGCATCAACCCTTACCCTCCCTATCTTCTCCGGCCGTCGATCTCGCAGAGGCACGGTCTCTCATGTCGGATCTGCGTCAATCATGTGTCGGCCTCATGAGATCGTTACAGCACTAATGGTGTACTGTATTCTGGCAGATGCACTGAGTGGGGACCTTTCGTGCATAGAGATGACTCACCATATCTTTGTGCCCCGGCTTTGGGCACTGTGGGAGAGCAGCGGGGGTGGGCTGCGGGAGAAACACAGTGATAAATCATTTATCTCCTGCTTAAGAATATAGGCACACTGAAATGTCAAGCACGAGCATTATCATGATGCAAGAGGGGCATCAGAACTGTCTGGATGCATGTACGACCCAGACAACGCCATCTCACCTTTGCTATCCACATCTAGGCCATCCAGCCATGCTATCATTGGCGAATAACACCTTCCTAATGAGTGTCAGGCATGGTCAGACAATGATGACCAGGGTTTCGAGGAGGGTAGCGCAACTGTTGGGAACTTGATGAATGGCAGCGAGCTACACATGGCTGTGTTACATAGACGAAGAAGAGGAAGGTGATGCTATGTGAGATACTGACGAGGAAAAACAGAGAATTTAAACAGTATTCACATGACTAAACGACTAACATACCTGTGGAATCCGCATACTGCGCTAGCAAAGCTCAAATATAGCCATATATTGAGGTTGAATTCGGAAATAAAAATAGTGAGCTCTTGTCAACAGACGTGCTTACCCTTTCGGCAACAGTAACACATACAACTATTAAGCTCAGTGGTGGCAGATTCGGGTGGTGAAGAGAGGCCGCAGCGAAGGCTGAATGTTGGGGTACCAAGCACCCTCATTTTGGACCTCGTCATCGCCGTTGTGTCTATACGTAAGTGTTGTTAGAAGACTTCAGCCCCGAAGTCATGAATTGAAAGAGTGGGAGGTGTCTCGGTGGTACCGGTTGTGAAGCTGGAGCAGAGGATGGGGCGGTATTCACTGGAGGCCAGAAAATGTGTGATGGTGTTGAAAAGAAAAGCGAATGAGCATCATGGACTTACCTAGCTTCAGAAACGTCCACCTAAAACCTTGTGCCTCGACACCACACCATCCTGTTGCTTTTGGTTTTCATTAGCCTACGAGTCGATGAATTTGAGCCAAGAATGCGATCCGAGTAAGATGACTTACAGGTCGTGGTTGTCGCTGCCTTTTCATCTATGCCCATCCACTCGCCTGCCTGCTCGTGCTCGTGCTGCTACCCTCTCATCCTTGTGGTCGAACGGCCGCTCTGGCTTGCCTGATGCCGTCGAGTTGGTCTCGTCCCTGCCGTTATGCTACCGCCCACTGTTGTTTTCTTGCCCCCGCAGCCATGTTCTTCCGATACCCACTGTTGCGCCCCTCCTGTCATGTTGGCGCTGCCAAGCTGAGAGACAGATGGTGAGAGGTGGGCGGACGCCAACCACCACCTCCATCCAAATGTTACGTGGCACCTGAGATGCCGAGGCTCCGAGAATGGCAGGCGCAGAGAGCGGGGCAGAGAGAGACGAAGGGAGGTAATGGCAAGCGCCGGCAGGTAGTCGCACGGAGGGGGACACCCACATCCCTGTTGAAGGGGAGGGGTGGGTGAAGGGTAAGGTGAGAGCGTGGGGTGAGAAGTGAGAAGCGAGGGCAAGAGAGCAGGGTTGGGCAAAGCGGAGGGAGGTTGGTGTGGGGAGTTCAGAGAGGGGGTGTTTGTGCCCGGTCCACATCCCTATTGAGGAGGAGGAGCGTGAAACACGTAGAAAATGAATGTCGACGAACAGTTGACCTTCATGACCTAATTTTGAGATAAAACATGTATGAGTGTACGTATAGATGAATGTAGTATGTTACTTACCTTAGCCGCATTAAAAGAGATGACACAGATCGCACCTTTGTAAACGATTGGGAGCTGCCTCCTGGCCGATAGGTGTCCGCAGTTGACAAGGAGCATAGATATGTGAAGTCGAATGGAAATGAGCACATACACTCAACAAAATCGGAACTCACGTTCCCAATTAACTGCGATCAGCCCATCGGAGTCCGGATCAGCCAGATCGGAACATGTAGTTCAGTTCTACGGGTGATCTAGTCAGATTTTCAGCAAACGGATGCCCATCTTGAGCCTCAGATGGGGGATCGGGACAGAGATGTGGTAGACATGGAGGTAGCAGATGGTGGTAGGAGGGAAGAAGCAACATGTCGGAGGCAGGAGTGACGACGGCGGCATCACGTGGTCGCCTTATGTTTGGCAGCAGCTTGTTTGTTCCTATAGGCAACCAAACAAAATGAAGAAAAATCCTTCATTTTGTTTGGTTGCCTATAGGAACAAACAAGCCGCTGCCAAACAATGTTGGGAGAAACCTGCAAGTCCGTTGAGTAAGTGACTTCAACATGAAGTAGGGCTCGGACGGCAGAAGAGGACGGTTCGATCGACTGACATAAGCAGCCAAGCGAGCCCAGGAGGCCGAGTCACACTGTGATGAGCCTCGCCCTCCCCGCCCTTTCGAGCAGCGCTCCACCCAGCCGAGCTGCCAGGCTCCGAGCGTTTCGAACGGCGCTCGACCGCTCCAACTGCCCAACCCGTCGTCCCACTCTGTCTCCAAGGCCCCCTTGCTCTGTGCACCCACCTGTCCCACCACTCATCCGTCTTCATCCGTTGCCGGAGACCACTACAGGATTGACGTGACAACGATGATGAATGACAGCCCACCAAGACACGACGAAGACAAGAATGGACCGCCAGAGACGGCTGCCAGAGACGATGACAACCCCCACCGAGATTGGATGCTGGCAGAACATGACATTGCCAGCCCTGCTTCGGACGATGGACTGCAATCGTGAGCAGCCTGTCTGCTCCTGTCATCCACTCCGTCAACAAGGATTCTCCTCGTCCAACTCGCGCGGGACCAACCAGACCACCCAACACGAACGAAACTGCCCAACATGAACGAAATCCGAACAAACTGACAAACAAACCAATACACCAGGTGGAAGAGGGTGCAATCTGATGCGAGATGCATAGGCAATTTACAGAACGGCAGGGTTGGAGGAGCAACAGGTGCGTATTCACCACCAATCGAGAAGGAAAATGAAGCTAACTCACCTGCCATCTGCCTTCTCCAGTGCGTCGCACAGCGTGGCCAGCGTTGATCCGACGAGCCCTTGACCTGCAGAAGTGACTGCACTGGGCGTCAGTAGCCCAAAGGTGAGTTTCGGTAGTTTCGGTATTGGGGACATGATGAAAGAGTTACTGAAAGGCCACTGATTTTCTTTAACAGTACCCCTCATAATTATTCGACGCGAGGTGGACAAGTTTTTTTACGTGCCCCTCCCCTCTTTGCCAAACATGTGGTACAGTACCCTGTTTTACCTGATCGTGTGTTACTTTACACTAACCTCCTTGACCAGACTTGACCAGATGAACCCAAATTTACCTCGCCTTGTCGTTGTTGGGTTGGGATTTCTAGAGGATAATATATAAATTTCCTATCTTTCTCATCAATTCTATTTCATTCTCCTTGCTCTGAAATCACGAAAGCAATGCTGCGGCTACAGTGTGACATCCCTAAAGATCAGTGCTAAACCTGGCTGGCTCATGCTCACCAGGGTCAAGAACCTCGGCTCAGCCATCCCCAGCCCTTTGCCATCAAAACCCGAAGCCATCATGGAGGTAAAAGAGGATGGTTCACAGGTGAGCCTTTCCCAAAACATGGATTTTGATGATGTTTCCCTAACGTTCCATCACTAGAACAGACGTTCCGTCAAGCAGACGGTTCGCCCATCATCAGTTCCTTTCTCTCGGCTCCCTTGCCCCCTCGTGAGATCCACCCACAGTGTTTGTTCTTCCTTTCTCCATCCGGGTCCTTTCTACCCTCCCCATCCATTTCAACAGCACGCTCGTCGTTGCTGCCTCCTCTTCCTCATGCCCCATAATCCCGAAAGGCATCATCCACACCGACGACCAACTTGAAGATGCTTTGTTGGCCCCGCCATCAGCTCCAGCTCCAGTCCCAACCCCGCTAGGCAGCGCCAGCAACAAGAGGCGTGGACACCTTCGCTTTTGCTGCATCTTGTCAGGCTCTGACGACTTCGGCTGTGGCTCCAGCACTTGACAGCGGTGTCTACTATAATGCCAGCACCCCTCTGCTACAAGCCTCTCTGTGTATCAGATCGGGTCTAGTGATATGGATATCGTCGACAACGTTGACATCTTCGACGCCCGCAAGCAAGATCTCCAGGCAAGCCCCTTCTTTAGGTTTCCTCCGTTTTGCACAACCAGGCAGATTCTGACTGCCCTTCTGCTGCCCCGTCCAGTACTCTTGTCGCAGAAGATCAGCATGTCCAGCCCAGACACCCCATCACTCACATGCTCGCCCTCGTCCACCAACTCTGCGGGCGATTGTACAATCCAGATGACCCCGTTAGAGGACGGCAGCTTCCCTGCATGCCCATCATCACACTCATGGCTCAATGTCACCCTCGCCGCCTCCGCCGCCTCTTCATCCTGCTCATCATCAACATTGGCACCTGAACAGCATTACAGACTCCTCGAAGCTCCAAGTGTTCAAACAGCATCACCTACACTGATGATGACACCGCTGCCTTTTGTCGTTGCCCACCAGAACACCACAAGGCCAAGTGGAAGGCATACCTCTCTCGCGCTGCGAGCAGGGTTGCCTTCGATCTGGCCATGGCGGTGCGGAGGGCTGCAGAAGGTGTGGATGACCCAATGATGCCTCTGTTTGCCTTGTCACGGATGGGCCGGTGTCTTTGCTTTTTCGTATCGCCATTGCTTACTCAGTTGTGTTTGTGGTCCTGTTTACAGATATTCGTGTCTTCTCTCAGCTATGTTTTCCTCCTCTTTTCATTGCCCTTCTCTATATTATAGTTGCAACCCCCAAGGACTCCCCTTGTTTTTTTTCCTTCCTTTTCTCTCTTGAAACACTCTTTCATATAAAAATAACATTAATTGACTAATTATATTCCTCGCAATTGGGACTGGTGTGGGAAAGTTACAGAAGATGCTGGCTTGATCAACAATGCCCATCTTTTGTCCCCCAATCCTCTGCCATCCCCATGAAAAAGCCTACTAGGTCTGCATTGGCATGCACAATAGCTCTCGGAACAAAGTACTTACAAAATATGACGGTAAGTTCTCCCAAATATATCATACGAGACATTTAGCTAATTTGCTCCATCGTTGCCAGATGTCTCGTCTCGGTAGTCTACCCTCTCTCAAAGCAACCACCAACACCCATCAAGCACAATGGGAATAGACAGACTGTGGCCGGTAAGTGTCTACTGCTATCCTTATCTATGGACTTTGTCAAACTTACAATAATCATTAGCTCCTTGAACCAGCCGGGGAAAAAATGTCATTGCAGCATTTGGCCGTCGAGAGCGGATTCTTGACCCATCCAGGACCTGGTGGAACACGCAGTCTTTGGGTTGGAGTTGATGCCCTGTAAGTATGTGTTCTATTCTCTTTGTGCTCTCCTCATCTTTCTGTAGTGCACGGATCTATCGTGCCATCTACCGTCACGGCAAAACCAAGAACCCTGAGCTTGCAACTCTATTCGCTCGATGTGCCCGCCTCTTCAAGCTACCAATTTGTCCTCTCTTCGTGTTTGATGGGCCTGGGAGGCCAAAAAACAAACGAGGGAAGAAAGTTCGGGGAACCCGGTTGTGGTTGGAGCAGGACTTCAAGACCATGTTGGATGGCTTTGGGTTTACATGGATTGAGGTATGTTTAATACTTTTTTCTCCATCATGCACTGATGTCTCATTGTACCAGGCCCCACTAGGAGAAGCTGAGGCTGAGCTTGCTTCACTCGCAACTGCTGATTGTGTGGATGTTGTGCTCTCGGAAGACTTGGATTGTTTCATTTTTGGGGGGCCAGCTATCATGCGATTGTATGTTACCTATCTGTTGTTTCAGAGTGAGCACTCGCTGACAATGTCAGTGATCTGAACACTTCTAATGACGAGGAGGTCATCCTCTATCGTGCGGCCAAAGTAGAAGCTCATCCTGACCTCCACCTTGAGCATGCAGATTTTGTCTTCATTGCTCTGACTGCAGGTGGTGATTATGGTGTGAGTTTTTTTGTGCCTTGGTGTGAGATGCAGCACTTACATTTTACCTTAGAGAGGGATCCCGAACTGTGGCATAGATACGGCCTTCCAACTTGCAAAGACTGGTCTTGGCCAGACACTTCTTGAAGGTGTAAAGCATTACCAAGGACGCAACTTGCGGGCATTTCTTTCTTCGTGGCACAAGTTGTTGATCCTTGAGGCTGCCACTAACAAATCCGGCCACCTCCCACATAAATATCCGCACCTTGCCAGGAGCATTCCAGCCAACTTCCCGACTGTCACATCGCTCAATCTTTACACAAAACCCCTCGTGTCTGGTGAAATTCCACCCTCCCTCTTCATGAAACAGCCGGACCCTCCAATGCTTGCAAGCTTTGCTGAACATCGCTTCGTTTGGGGAGATCCTGTCGGAATCCTCAAGCATTTCTCTGACACTGTTTTCCCTGGGCTGGCCACCCGATCCCTCATGTCAGCTGCCCAGGTCCATGATCTTGGGTTTGGTGCTCAGAGCCAGACCCCAATTTCGCATGTCATTGCTTTGCGGGCACCCGGTTCCCCAGACAAGTGCCCCCGTCACCAGGAAGTCCGCCTGGCTCTCTGCCTTGGCTCCGAATACATCAACCGCATTGTACGTAACCTTGATGGCTGTAACAGTGCCTCTCGGGTCAAGGCTGTGGAGAAATGGATGAAGGATGAATGTGGCAAGGTCAAAGCATGGGTGCCACTCGAGATGGTCAGGGTTACGTGGCCCGCCCTACTCTCTCCTTGTAAGTCCCCCAAGTTTGTACATGATAGCCCATTCATGAATTAATAATTGTCCATCTAGTTGGTCTTTAGAGCTTGTTGCAGCTGCGTGCCCTTAACCGCCTCTCAATCATCTTAGACTTTGTCAAAAAAAACCAGTACCAAATTTCTTATTTAACCGTCTTGTCTTACTCTACCCCTTGTACAATACAATTGCGCTCTGTCCTCTTTCCAGACCCTCGGATGTCACCTCTCGCCTATGCTGGGATCAACAAAGTATTGGAGGAGCAAGCTCGCAAGCATCAGCAGGAGGACATTGAGGATGACCTTGAAGGCGAGCAGGAGACCCTCCCTGATCTCACTCCTGAAGACCTGTCCAGGCCAGATGACGATGACGACAACGACATGGTTTCACAGTGGTGAACAACCGTGACAGGTGCATCGAAGGGTATCACAGACAAGACAGAATCCGAGTATCAGAGGTGGGATGATAATTTCCCGTCGAATACAACCCTCAAGTCTTAATGGTGCTGGGTGCATGCCCACCTTTATAGGCTGATGAAGCAATGTGTCAAGTTCCTGGTTTTGTTATGACCTGTGCTGAGCCGAGGTGTGCCGGAGACCGGGTGTGTTCGGATGTGCTTCAGAAGAGATTTCGGATGTGGACTTTTGGCTTCAATGTTCGTGCGTTGCGCCCTTGAGATAGTCTAAGTCCGATTTCAGAGTATAGGCTTTTAGGCCGGTGTCGGATGTCGAACGGATGCGAGCGGATGAGAACGGATGAGAACGAGAGGAGGAGATTAGAAGTCGAGTATGATATTCAGACTGCCGGACTCGGTCGTCCTGCAGTCCCTTAAATACTACAACGAATAATGGACTACCTATGACAATGAGCCGTCGGCTGTCTCACTCGTGGAGGGAACGTGTACGCTAATGACCATAGAATAATGAGGCACGTGTACACTAGGAAAATCAAAGACAAATAACAAACAAAAGAACAATATAATCGAAGAACCGAAACAGCTATGAACGGATGTCTCTCGGATGTCTTCGGCACGGAACGGGTCATGACAGTACCTCCCCCTTAAGGCCGAGCCCCCGAGGCCTTTTACTGTGGCTGATGTTTGGTATTGTATACGCCATGTTGAACTTGGCCGTTTAGGGTTGTTTGCATCCAGAAAAATTTCTCTTCCGCTCTACCACCTGGCCCCCCCAAAACCTGAACTCCACAATGTCCAGCCCCACCAAAACATCCGAAACCCAGCGCCTACTCGAACAACAAAGGAAGTTGGCGGAGGAGAAGATGCGGGAGAGGGCGGAGAAAGCGAGGCAGAGACGGTTGGAGGAGGAGAGGGAGAAGGCTGAGGAGGAGGAGATGGCCCGGGCGCTCGCGGCAGTGGAGCAAGCAGCGGAAGAGGAGCGGCTGCAAGAGGAAGCAGCGCTCAACAACAGCTGCAAGAACAGGAGGCGGCTGAGAGGCGTAAAGCGGCGGCCAGGAAAAGGGCCGAGGAGAAGAGGGCTGAGGAGGAGAGGAGGAAAAGGGCCGAAGAAGAATGAAAGGCCGAAGAGGAGCAAGCAGCCGAAGCGGCATGGCAGGCAGCTAGGCCTACAGCCTACCCAAGCACGGACGAGGAGGACGAAGAAGTGGTTGTAGAACGAACCAAGCGCAAAGGCAAGGGCAGGGTCATCGAGTCATCCGGTGAGTAGTTGGTTTTCGGGTGTCGGTCAGTGGCTAACGGCTGTCGTAGATGAAAGTAGTTCAGAGGGCGAGAGTGGGAGCAAGGGAGAAGGAAGAAGGGGCAGGGAGAAGGAGAAGGGGCAAGAAGAAGAAGACGAAGACGAAGATGAAAAGGATGACGAGGAGCCGGAGACGGCTGCAGCCATGAAGGGGAAGACAAAGACGGCACGCAAGGTGAAGTCGCAAGACAAGAGGAACCAGATCCGGGACGAGGGGATCGTGAAGGCAGAGGCGAGCTGGCCTGTGACGCAGGAGCCATGTGCCCACTGCATCGCGGCTGGCATTCGTTGCCAATGGAATCCGGGTGCCGTGGAGAAGTGGCGTACGGCCGTCGAGAATGGCAAGGGGAAGAAGCGTGCGCCACCCGGTGTCTCGTGCCCGGCTTGCATGCGCGCCAAGATTATGTGCGTGCTGCCGGCTACAAAGTGGATGCGTGACCGGCTTGAGAAGAACAACGACGGCAAGAGGAAGCGGGACGATGACGACGAAGGGGACTTTGAGCCAGAGGGAAGGTTGAAGAGAGTGAGGGTGGAAGAGGAGGAAACGCCGCGAGCCGGGCCTAGCCGCGAACGAACACGTCGGGCGGCGGCTGTTGGGGCGGACCAGGCGCGAAGGAGGCAGAGGAGGGAGCAGGCCGAAGCATTGGACGACCCATTGGTCCACCTGGCGTGGTCCGTGGAGAAGATGTGCCGGCAGCAACAGTCGACGAGCCGGGCGGTCCTTGAGCAACTCAAGGTGACCAACCGGCTCTTGACTCGGTTCGTCACGGCCTACGAAAAGGCCCACGTGGAGAAGAAGGAGGAAGTCAAGGAAAAGGGACCGGAAGAGGGAACGGGAGAGGGAGTGAGCCAGTAGGTATGGGGCGACAAGGAACGGCTACAAAAAAGTACATAATTGTATATAGAATTTTTTTTTTTTTTGTTGACTTGAAATTTTTATGACTTGAATTTTCTTGAAACGAAGGGTTGAACGGAAGTGAACGGAAGATAAACGGAAGAGATATAAACTTAGAAATAGAGAAGTGCAGATGGGTCGAACGAGTGAAAAACAGAAGAGGACGGAGGTCAAACCGGCAAAGGGCCTGGCTTGTTGGGATATGCCTCGTGGAATTCTTGGACTAGTTCTTGAGCGTTCGGGAGTTCATCGGCTGGCTGCCAGGAGAACTCCTCATCCGTGTTCTCATAACCATACCATCGAACATAGTAGAGGAGCTTGCACTTGCGTCGTCGATCGATCTTAGAATCGACTATCTCGGCGACCTCGTACTCGAGTTCACCTTCGATTTCGACGGGTGCTGGCGGCTCAACGGCACGGCTCGGAATAGTACTCGGCTTGAACGGCTCGAGCATCGAGACATGGAACACTGGATGGACTAGTCGCATAGACTGGGGAAGGCGGAGGGTGAAGGAGTGAGATCCTACTTGGGCTATGATCTCGTATGGGCCGAGGAACTTTTCGGCTAGCTTCTTTGATGGACGGGTGGTTCGGAAGAATTGAGCTTTGACAAAAACTTGATCGCCGACCTTGAAGTTCGGAGCCGGAAGACGTCGGTTGTCGGCTGCCTTTTGGTAGCGCTTTTGAGACTTGCATTCCTATGGTCAACAGCGAACTCTCGAGCACGGCTAGAGGCAATGTCGCGTTCCGGATGCACGGCTAAGTTCGGATGATAACCCTTGTTGGCGAAGAAGGGCGATACGCCAGTGGCATCGTGTGGAGCGTTGTTGTAGGCGAATTCGGCAAGCGGAAGGAGAGTGACCCAATTGTCTTGTTGGTAGTTGCAGTAGGTTCGAAGGTACTGTTCCAAGGTTTGGTTGGTGCGTTCCGTCTGGCCGTCACCTTCCGGATGGTAGCCGGAAGTGAAATGCAGTTCTATATCGAGAGCCTTACCCAGGCCTCGGAAGAAGTGCGAGACAAATTCAGAAGTGACGTGAGAGGGGACACCATGCTTGGAGAATACATTGAGGACGAACAACTCGGCCAACTTGACGGCTGTGAGGTCGGAATGTGTCGGCACGAACACGGCTTGCTTTGTGAGCCTATCGACGATGACTAGGATGTCAGTGAAACCAGCGGAAGGCGGAAGCTTCTCAATGAGGTCCATGGATATAGAATTCCAAGGACGCTCAGGAACCGGAAGCTGCTTAAGGAGCCCATAAGGCTGGTGGTGGCGCGGCTTGACTCGGTTGCAAATAACACAAGAATTGACGTAGTCTTTGACAAAGTCGTGCATGCCAGGCCATGCATATTCTCGTCGGACCAATTTGAGAGTCTTGTTCTGGCCGAAGTGACCGGCTAACGGATGATCGTGCTTGGTTTGCAACACACGGATCCGCAAGTTGTTAATGTCCGGAACAAAGATACGATCGTTGAGAAGTAGTAGGCTGTCAGGGGAGAGAGTGAACTTGGGGTCAGAGGGTGCCGGAAGTTGAGCGGCAGAGATCGGATCGTTCGGAAGGGCTTCTCGGATGTCGGCATGAAGCTTTTCGATGTCAAGGGTGATAGCTCCATGCAGAGAGGGTGTGATCAGAGTTGACGCTCGGAGGGACGTAGCCAGCTGTTCCTGGGTAAATACTGGACGGAAGTTGTGGGGGTTGACAGTGGCGTAGTTGCTACCTCCCTCTTTAAGGTAGACGTCCCATCGTCTAGTAAGGGCATCCGGTTTGGCACCGAGCTTGCCAGGTCGGAAGCGAACGATGAGGTTGAACTGACTTAGGTACTCGGACCAA